GAGCAATAGTACTAGCTAGCAAAGTGACTGAGTTGAGTAGGGGTGTGGGACTTGCAGAAACTATCTTTGCAACTCTCCTACTCTCTCCGTCCTGAAAAAAAAACTCAATCCTGAGTTTGAATCTGGACATAGTGTACTCCCTTCGTCTCAAAAATAACTCAATCCTGTATTTGAATCTGGATTGGGTTTTTTTGGACGGAGAGAGTAGTCCTTTAGCTATGGAGCATGAGTGTTTGTTTGGGTTATTATTGGGTAAGGGCCAGTGTAATTTTCTTTCTGAAGTGACCATCGTCGAGATTATTGTGCATATCCTTTCAGGGTGTTCGATACTTTGATGTATATACGATAATACGACTTGGGGCTGTAGCATTACAACACCACTGCTCTAAGCTTGCTGCACTCGTGCAGGTTAAGCCAATAAGACTGCACCGGTAAACAGTTGTCTGACAGTAACTGAATAATTATTCTTTGGACACAATCAAGCGGTCAACTGTCTGTACAGCTTAATTGGTGTCCGAGAAGGAGAGTGTGTCATACTGTCATGTCATTATACGTCACAATGTGGGGTTTGAATCCAACGCATAAACGAGTAGAGTCCCATTGTTTGCTCATATTTTCTAGTAATAAGTTAAAATGGCTTATTAGAAAACAAAAATAATTTTATAGGTAAAACTTTTATATAAGTGTTCATGATAACTTAAAAATTAATGATAAAAAATAATGTTAAAAATATATTAAAATTAATATCAAAATTAAGTTTAAAATTCAAAATTTGACTTTTCCTTTAACTGAATAGGGTATCCGATGGGAGCCGTAGTCTGTAACCATGAAAATGGCTGTACCATACGTTTGCTACTCAACCATAAGATGAGCGGGTACAAACTGGCTAATAGTAGCCAACCTTCGTCTACGTGAAAGAGAGAGAAAGAGTGTGTGTGCTGGAGAGAGACGCTATGATCGAAGGTGTTTTCCCTTTCTTCTTGGACACCCCCGGCCCCAAGTCCCACTAACGCATATAAGAGTACTGTCCCTGTTGAGATTATAGGCATATAATGATTTAATATATTCCATAAATAAATCATGACATTACAGACGAAAACTAGCATGAACGCATTATTAGATCTACACATGTAAACTACACAATATAACATGAACAGATCAAATATGCGCAACATATTGAACACGTACCGAGGTGGCGGAAAGACCGGCTGTTCGGTCGAAACTTTTCGCAGGCGTCTACGAAGGCACGCAGCACGCGAGCGAAGAGGAAGACGAGCCGTCACGGACGAACAGGGAGCAGTCGCGCAAAGCGCTTCCCAAAAACCTTATTGCCGCCTTCTCTCGGTGCAGGACGTCGAAGGCAGAGGTTCCGGAGACCTGCTCTCCCAATCGCAGGTGCACGCCGGCGAGCAGGATGGAGTAATCTACGAGCGATGGCGCAGCACAGAGTAGGAGGCAAACCCTAGATTGATTTCGCGTGTGTTGCGTGAAGACGGCGGGTCGGTTTATATAGAGAAGGGTCGCTTGATCAGGGAGCCCGCACGATCTCCACTGCGCGTAACCGAACCGGATAAGTCACGCGTAACTTATCCGGACTCCACGCCGTTTGTACGCACCGGATTTTTTCGGAACGTTTCCAAAAACAAAAACGAATCCGAATTTGCAGCAAAACAAAACTGCAAAAGGAGGCTGCATCTGCGCAAGGTGAGGGACCAATTTTGGCGGACCATTCGACGCTTACGTCGTGCACGCGCGCCGCCTGCCCTGCGAGGTGAGCGAGCGCGCGCGTGTGTTCCCCCTCTTCTCTCCACCACACATGCTTCAAGTGGCTAGGAGGGCATCCTCCCTTTTAAGGAGGTTCCCCTATCCTAGAATAAGTAAGGTGGTACTAAACTCCACATGCATGTCATCCTACGAGGTGGGCTTTTGTGATTTTCCAAAGAATTAATTTTCAAGTGGGCTAAGGCCCATTCATTAATTCCAAAAGTCCCATGTATGAGTGATGATCTCTCGTACGGTAAGAATTTTTTGTTCCCAAAACCCTAATTTCTCCATCCCATGAAAACGTTTGAAGAAACTCGAAGGACAATTTCAAGCCCATTACAGGATGATCCACAACCAACTACCGTCGATGTCTTCGGCATCACTGGCAGCCAAGGAGGTGAAAAATTACGGCTAAGAGCGTAAGGGCTTCATGTTCTACATCCGGTCATTTTTAACCGCCAAGTTTCAATTAGATTACAGTTGGTGATCGGAGATCTTGAAACTCTCCGAATGCCACACACCAAATGGAACCTACCCAATTTTTTCCCTACAATGATAACGATATGTACTACAATTTTTCTTAGAATTTGTTATGATTATTTTTATTGGTGTAGATGAATTGTGCACCCAAAACTTTGCATAGGATGTGTTCCTACTTATCTGAAGGTCTAACGATAAGACTGGTCAACATTTGGAATAAGTCTACTTTGTCTCCCTCAACTCTTGCGCCTGGTTGAATCGCACCCCTCAACCGCAAAACAGGTTATAACCCATCCCTTAATTTCCAAAACCGTTGCAAATCGACTCTCTCGGCAGTTTCGTCCTACGTGGCCCTTATGTGGCGGGTTGACTTAGTCTTCATCCCATGTGGCATCGACATGGTATTAAAATAAAAACAAACCTGAATGGGAACCACATGTCAGTGAGTAAAATAATAAAATAAATTTTGGGCCCATCTGTCAGTCACCTTTCTCCTCCCTCTTTATCCCTAGCGGCGAGCGAGATGGAGAGAGTTGCGCAAGCTCGGCGGCAGAAGCGATGGAGCGGCGGGACCTGGAGTAGCAGGAGCTCGGCGGGAGCAGCAGGATAGTGGAGCGGCGGGGCGACGGGAGCTCGGCGGGAGCGGCGGGACGGCGGGAGCTCAGCGGAGCGGCAAGAGCTTGGCATGAGCGGAGAGAGAGAGAGAGAGCAGAGGTGAAGAAGCCTCGCCACCTCATCCCCATCCTCGCCTCCTCGGCATCGCCGTGGCCTCTTCTTCTCCCTCCCTGCCACCGCCGCCTCCCTTCTCACGCCTCTCCTCCGCCACCTCATTCACGTCATCGCCTTCTCCTGCGCACAAACCGGCATCCCGATAGAGACTGCCACACCAACATGTCCAACATAGCCTCGACGACGGCGGTGGGGTCACCTCCTATACTCTATCTGGGTCGATGAACCCTGACTCAGCATTGTTCGCCGCGCCGATGTTGTTGTTGTCGTCCTCCACCGCCTTGCCTCTCGCTTGTGCCGCGACCGCCACTTGCTGGAGCTGCGTGTGGAGCGCCGCCGCGGTGGACCGATTAGGCAAGCGCCTTCGTCCGTAGCCACGTCACACCGCATTCGAGGCCTCCGCCTCCTTCTCCCTCATCCGGCGTGCCTCCGCCGCGACGAGCAGCGACCGGTAGTGTCGCCACCTTACCTCGCCCAGCGCGCGGATGCGGTAGTGGACTGCGCATCACTGTTCCGACGCGGACGGAGCCGGAACACCGCCGCCGCAACCTCCCCGAGCTTTGGCGTCCTCCATCCGGCATTCGGCGCTTGTCTCGCTGCCGCCACGAGGGATGGAAAAGAGAATAGAGGAAGAGGCTGGTAGATGGGACTCACAAGCTGACTCAGCTAGTCATCGAAGTCAGCTGCCACGACATATGAAATCGCCCTCTAAACCACCAAGGGAGGTGATTTGCCCTGGTTTCAAAGCTGAAGGAGGTATTATACATGGTATTTCGGTTGAGGGACGTGATTCAACCAAAGACAAAAGTTGAGGGAGTACAAATAGACTTATTCCCCTAGCTTTTCCCGGTCGCCAGCCCACCGGGAGGAAAGCCTTGACGAACGAACTGTCTCGTGTTCCCATGATCCCATCCACCACACGACTTTTACGCACTCAAAATCCGCGTAGCTTTGGTCACGTCTTTATTGCGTGCCAATTATTTCGTACACTAGTCGCGGAAACACCACAAGTCCACAAGACACGCGTCATAGGTGGCACTGGCACAGATACACCACCTCTAAGAGCAAGTTTAATAGTATAGCCCATTACTAACTCCAATTTATCTATAGTCAATCTAATAGCTAATTTATACAATAGTTGCTTACTATACTATTAATATATGGTCCCACATGTCATACACACACTGTGTCTTGGAGTCCGTGCTGCAGCTGGCTACAGATCTGTAGCCCGCTGCTCTTCTCTCTTATCTTTTATCTCATTAAAATATGCTTATAGCTGGCTAATAGTCTGCTATTGTACCTGCTCTAAGAGCAAGGTCAATAGTATAGCCAGTAGTTGGCTCTAATTACATCCATGTCATTTTACAGTTAATAATAGAGCCAACCTATACAATAGAATGGCTATACTATGCTAATTACAGTTTCATAATCCGGGAATTAATTAAGCATGCACATACTTGCGTATGATCAAGAGTGAACTCTGTCTATGTAGGTAGTTGTGTTGTCGCCTGAAAATAAGTACCAGTGCCGCGCCATGGCATGAATCTGGCGCATGGGATCAAAAGGGGTGGTGATGAGGCCCACAATATGTGTTTTTAATCCGTGAGATCGACTGCACGCGAGCTTTCCGCATGGGAACTTGTGCTATCGCCGGGCTGCAGATATGTCGCTCGCTTTATTCTCTCTCCTTCGTTTTTCTCTTCTCCATGTAAGAATAGCATGACGTGGAAATTTTTGCAGCCTGCTGTGTCAGCTTATTGTACTGCTCTAATCGTCACGCGTCTAGGTAATCAACGATAATTCTACTAGTATACTGTTTATAAAGAACCTGTGAAGATTACATTACATTAATTAACCATATAAAAATTCCGCAAAACTCTTGCGCCCTAGACCCATTCTCGTGTGGGGACAGTTGACAGTGGGAGCGGGCTGCCCTGTGCGACGCGCGATGCGGCATCACATGCTGACACGCCCCCCGTTCCAGATCGCAGTCGCATCAAAAGGTTTCAAACCGTCTCGCGGTCTCGCCAAACGCGAAAAGGGCACTCTCAAAAAAAAAGGAGAAAAAAAAGTAGTCTCGGCATATCCCCAGTTCCCCACGCTTTCTTCCTCCTCTTCGTTTGAGCCCCTGAAACACGGCCACCTCCCTTCCCTGCGCGCCGAGAGCGGAAAACCCTAGCTCCGAATCTCCGATCTCCCATCCGCTTCGACGCGGAGGTCGATCGCAAGCAGCTTGGTGAGCAGGGGCTATGACGAGTGGCCTCTGAGTGTGCGAGCGAGCGTGTGGTTAGATCTGAGGGCCTCGTGATGGCGAGGGCGGCGGCGAACTGGGAGCGCCTGGTGCGGGCGGCGCTGCGGGGAGAGCGGTTGGCAGGCGCCTTCGGGGTGCCCGTCACCGGCATCGCCGGGAATGTGCCGTCGTCTCTCGGAAACAACGTCCACATCGACGAGGTGCTTCGCGCCGCCGACGAGATCCAGGATGAGGACCCTACCGTCGCCAGGATTCGTAAGTTTCGTTACCATTTCTCGCTCCGTTAGGCTTGTGAGCTGTATGGGTCGCCGCGGCTCAGAATTGCCCTACCTATACAGTTATTAGTAGTGTTCACTTAGTGGTGTTTTTCCTGGTATTTTCTGCAGTTAGCATCGGCTACACGAATTGATTATGCTAGTCCATTAGGAGTACTTTTGCTTTTTTTTTTGCTTGTTACAGCCTTTTGTACTACTAAATTTCGTCAACCGTTATGATCAGGCTTAGTACCATCTACCGTATTTAGGCCCTGTTTCTTTCAGCTTGGGATTATTATAATCCAGATTATTGGGAGCAAGTTGAAAGAAACAGACAACTTATTGAAGTAGCTTATTATAATCTGGAGTCCAGCTTATTATAATCTGATAAGCTCATTTAGGTGAGCTTTTTCCAGATTATTGGGTGAAAAATTACCCACCATGCCACCCCGCTCCCTCTTTAGACTTGCAAACCCAATAATCTATGCTCTAATAATTTAGGAAAGAAACAACTAACCGCTTATTCTACTACAGATTATAACAATCTAGCTTATAGTAATCTGACTCAATAATCTAGATCATAATAATCTTAAGCTGAAAGAAACATGGCCTTAGTTGTTACAGTCGGACTAATGCTTTACTGGTTTCGTGCTCCTACTCGCCTGAGTTTGCTATCAATCAACTCGTTGACATGGTTAAAGTGACTTTTCAAACTTGATTTGCTCTGATTGGATGTACACTGACCAATGTATGCTAGTGCCTTACAATCCGGCATTCTGCAATTAGCAATCTGCATCACCTGTCAGTCTTTAGTTCTTTTCATTAAGCTAAATTGAAAATCAGTCAACTTACTGAATCTGCTGCAAACAACCCATAATTAGTCCAGCTATGTTCTGAAATCTCTGTACTGGGATACTACTGCCTATGCTTTTGGCAATTTCTCCAGTCAGTTATTAATAGTAAACTTTTACTAACTCAAAGGAGATTAGTTAGTATTTATCCCTGTTTAGGTAAAAACCGATGTTAGCTTAAGGTTGTTTTATCGGTGAACTGTGCTTGGTTGCTTAAGGTTTTTTCCTGTTTTCAGCCACTAATCTGGCAATGAATTTTTTTATGGCTTTTGCTCCACAAAATCGAAGGGTATATCAACGATATGAATTGAGTCAGCTTTTAGCAACTGAATTCACTTTCCCATATGAAGTTTAAATGCAGTTCGGTGACAATTTCTTGTGTTTATACTTCAATGTGCAGTATGTGAGCATGCATACACACTAGCCCAAAATCTGGATCCAAATAGCGAAGGGAGAGGTGTACTGCAGTTCAAAACAGGTTTAATGTCAGTTATCAGGGTATGTTCATACTGTTCTATATGATTTATTATTATTTTTCATAATCACATGTTATTTTGTACATCTGGCACAACCTCCAAGATAGAACCTTATTGAGTTTCATATATACAGTCAAACCATGTCGGTAAAAGCCATACATAGAGAATACAATACAAATAAGTGATTTCACATCTTTGTTTTTTAAGAAGTAGAATGATAGTATGGACCTATGGTGTCAACCGCCACAATCTTATGCTCTACCAGCGCTACAAAAGTATATCATTTTGAACTGTTCTTGTGATGGATTTACAATGTTTATTTCATATGGCCAGCGCTCTAGTGTTTTAACATACAATATCGCCTTGTGAGTCCTCCTCATTTACAACACGTCACATCTCCGGAACCATGGCTTGTTGAATTATACAAATTAAGCAGATGGGTTTGACATTTAAATTTTATTTTTCTAAAAGTGATTATTTCTATCTCAATTTTTCAGCAAAAGCTAGCAAAAAGGGAAGGTGGTGCTATAGATCGAAGTCAGGATGTTGCTAAACTGCAGGAATTTTATAAGCTATACAGAGAAAAGCATAAAGTTGATGAATTGTGTGAAGATGAAATGAAGTTGAGAGAATCTGCTGTGTTCAGCGGTAACCTTGGAGAGTATGTATTTCTCTATGAAATTATGTCTGTCACTTAGCTAAAATGCTGAATTGGTAGTTTAATTTTTTTTCAAGATGCTTGTTTTTCAAGCACAATTGTTGAACATTAAATGTCACCCATAGTATGTGATTTAACCACCCTGATTGTTTGAGTAGGTTGGAACGCAAAACTCTGAAGCGCAAGAAAGTCCTTGCTACTTTGAAGGTCTTATGGTCAGTTATAGAGGAAATAACAAGGGAAATTTCACCTGAGGATGCAGAAAAGTTGATATCTGAAGAGGTTTTTGTTGCTCACCTTGATAATATATAGTTCATGCTATTTTTTTCCTACTAAATTTCAATTATGTTAAAAAAAAAGGAAACAAAAATAGGTCTGCTCTCCATGCCATGTATTTTGGTATTATGGTTGAGTGGTTAGTATGGAATGGGTTTTAACTACTGGTCTGCAGTAAGATACTGGTAAAGTGTTAGTGTATCAATGTATTCACTAAAATTATAAGAGTGAAGTGATGTACTTTTATGTGTATATAGATTTTCTTTTGAATGGAAACAGTGAGGGAGGCCCCCATGGTATTTTTTTCTTTATTCAAGCCTGAAATTCGCTCTCTTGGGGAGCCGAACCCAGGACCAGAAGTGCTACTTGAGCACTGTAACCGCTAGGCTATAGCCACTTTCGCATATGTATAGATTTTTTGTCATCATAGATAGTCTCCTCCGTCCCAAAATATAACATCTTTTAGCCTTTAGAATTTGTCCCAAAATGTAACAACTTCTGCAACATTCTCTTCCCAACCAATCACAACCCTCCATCATTCAATTTTCTCTCCGACCTCCACTTCTCATCTAATCACAACCTTCCCCCATTTAATTATACCTACTTTCTTAATAATTGTGTTCAACCCTAAAAATCCTTATATACTGGGACGCAGGTAGTAGCTTTTACTAGAAGACTATTGTAGTATTGTTCTAGTTGCAAATAAGTAAAATTAACAAGACAATTGCTCTGACAATCGGAATTCAACACGTTAGTATATTTACTGTCCATGCTATTTATAGAACATTCTTTAATAACACAACCCTTATGGACATAATGTTGTTTGTTGGTCAAAGTTGTATCTTCTGGTCTCTGAACAGTAAAAAGTAATAATTTCTGTCTGGCAAGGAATATTATTCTTTCTGACATTTTGTTGCTAGTATGATGTGTTGAATGCAAATAACCTCAGGTCCGCAGGCAGTAGTACCTTTTCTCGAATGTTTTGTTACCAGTTAACAGTGAGTTCAAACAGCACTGTTGAATGAATTCGTTTTGCTCCTTTTTTAACCCATTTTGAGATCAATAAAATGTTTCATATATTTTTTTGTGCATAAATAACATCCCTTTCTGTTATATTCAGATGAAAAGAGTCATGCAAAAAGATGCAGAAAGAACAGAGGATGTTGTGGCTTATAATATTATTCCTCTAGATGCTTTGTCTACAACTAATGACATTGTGAATTTTCCAGAGGTAAAATTTAGAGTCGATCCTTTTCGTTAGTATTTACCATTTTTTAGATATAACCGTGGTCTGTGGTTGTACTACTTCCATGTCGTTTCATCTCAGGTAAGGGCAGCTATATCAGCTTTGCAGTACCATAGGGAACTTCCAAGGCTCCCTGCCACCTTCTCTGTCCCTGATGCTAGGAATTCCGATATGCTGGATCTCTTGCACTGTGTATTTGGTTTTCAGGTCTGTACCTTTATGACGCACCTACTGTAGTAAACTATATGGATTGTGGTTTCAACCATAACCACAATCATATTGTAGGCTTATAACTTAGTGAGTCCATTGATGATACTGCTAACAGAAGATATGTTTTAATCACAAACTTAAGTGAAAAAGTTTCTGTTAGTATTAGTAATCACTACTGTATGTTATGCTGTTACTGACTTACTATCATGCATGATTCAGTTTGTTTTAATTGTAAATATGCTGTTCAATATGATTGAGGAAGTGCAGGTTCTCTCTTTTTTTGTAATTGAGTTTTGCCATTTGCAAAGTACTTCCTCCGTTTCATATTATAAGACTTTCTAGCATTGTCCACATTCATATATATGTTAATGAATCTAGACATATATGTGTGCCTAGATTCATTAACATCTATATGAATGTGGGCAATGCTAGAAAGTCTTATAACCTGAAATGGAGGTAGTAGTTTTATATTTGGATGCTCTGACTAACTGTTGGAGCATAGGTACCCCTATCCCCTAGACCTAGAGTGTTGGGAGTAGGCTAGAAACCCAATGGGAAATGTCCAAAGAGTATACTTGGAGGATATACCGATGGAGCATGCCCTGTATTTCGTACGATATACGAAATTATCCTTGCTTGGGCTGTGTAGTCAAGGGGCAGAAGGGGGATTTCCCCTTATGCCAACCTCTCTATGAATATAGGATGGTCGAACCCTAGAATGGGACACTCTCTCACTTTCCACATGACTTGGCTCTGTTCTTTCCCCTAAGTCCAAGGATACATGTACCCATCTGTTGTTTTATGTTACAACAGTAACCATGAAATTTATGTAGAAATGTGCAGCATATACATTTGAGATAGTTGAAACTGTACATTTCAACTAATTTCCTACCTGTAGTTTCTTCTTTATTTTGCTCCCTGATCTTGGATATTACATTCTGTCAACCAATATTATAATGTGATAGAAAACATAATGTAAGTTTCAATAAACCAGACTGTTGTAGAATGTGGTTTCTGAGCATGCCATTCTATATGGTCAGAAATGCTAAGAGCTAATAAACATCCATGGATGTAAACTCACATTTAGTTCAAGATTATGACCAAGATTTTATTAGACTGTTGAAGATGAGGGGAAAAGGAAAAAGAAAGAACATTTGCCGTAATTTCCTTGATCTTGATATTTTTCTTTTATTTTGTTCTCTGACTTGGACAATACATTCCAGCAAGCATTTAATTTTGATATAAAAAGAAAACATAATGTAGAGCGTTCTATATGGTCAGAAATGCTAAGAAGTAATAAAGATCCATGGATGTAAACAGCATCTAGTTAAAAATTATGATTAATATTACAGACGGTTGAAAATGAGGGGAAAAAGACAATAGATGTCAGCCTGTGTTATTCTGAAAATATTTAAGAAGGAAATGCGTCATGGGAGACAACCTTTTAGTGTGGATCTGCAGTTACAACTTCCTGGGTCATTCTTGATACATGCTGCAGTATTTCAGAATCTTGTTGCCTTCATGGAACTGAAATGTCACAATTGGTTGCAGAAAGACAATGTGACTAATCAACGGGAGCATGTTGTTCACCTGTTGGCAAATGAACAGTCCCGACTGGGGAAACTACCAGGGAATGAACCGGTATGCATACTTTGCACCCTAATTTTTTATGTCGTACAATATTTTTTTTGGGGGTAGAATTGGTTCCATGGCATAGAGTGATCCCTATTCTAGATATTTACTGGCAAAAGTTCTGGGTACTTTTTAATACCACTGAAATATTGCACCGTTTAATACCAGGCCTGGTGCAAAGAGTACTCAATTGCATGTTGCTTTATGTTGTTAATATTTTCATCCTTAGTTCGTTAGCATTGTTGTTATTTGTTGGCAGAAAATCGACGAGGGAGCTGTGCATGTTGTTTTCTCCAAGTCCCTTGATAACTACATCAAATGGTGTAATTATTTGCCGCTTCCCCCTGTCTGGAACAAGTATGATTTGTCATGTTGATCAACATATTTAATTTCTTATTCCTGTCTATATCTTATTTATCACCAAGAGATTTACCTGATTTTCTCTTAGCACCGAGTCATTGACGAAAGAAAAGAAGTTGCTATATGTGTGCTTATACTACCTTATTTGGGGAGAGGCTGCTAACGTACGATTTCTTCCAGAAGGTTTATGCTATATATTTCATCATGTAAGTTTGCAGAAGATTCTGCTCTGTACTATTTTTTGTGCATGCTTAATTGATTATTGCAAATGTTTACAATCGTGTAGTATTGCACCCAAAGAAGCTTTAGGTCGATCTGCGCCTGTTTTTCTACGAACATGCCTATGCCAGTTTAACATACAAAAATATTCTTCTTTGGTTCTTCCCTCCCTGATCTACTACTTTGTTGCCAAATTAGCGCACTGTTGTCTATGCTTGGAATTTGAATTGTTTTCCCCTAATCATTAGCATATTCTTCATTTTCAGTTTCTAAAGTGATCATGTCTTCTTCTAAGTAAAGAAATCTGCAAAATTCTGTTCATTCTGATGGTCTTCAATTCTTCTCTCTCTGTAGTCACCGATACTCGAAACACTTCTGGCCAAACTTTTCAAAGATTGACTATCAGTTTCCTTTAAATATTTTGAATTGGAATATGAAAGTCATGTGTAGATTTGTCTGTTTAGAGACAATATAATTTCAATATGTTTTTATAGCGTATAACAATAGAAATACTGTTCAAAATAATACTTATGAGGCCATTCAGATGTCCAAAATGACAAATATTTGTGATGTAGGGAATGGTTGTTAGTGTGACATATCCAATTGATATTGAATAACTAATCACCTTTGACTAACTTAATTTGTATAAGATATCAAATACTACCTCTGAAAATATAAAAAAAAAAGGGCTTGGACACAGGCATTAAAGAAGTAGGTGGAATTAAATAGGGTAAGATTGTGATTGGATGAGAAAAGGAAGTAGGTGGAGAAATTAAATGGGGGAAGGTTGTGATTAGTTGAGAAGAGAATGTAGGTGTTAGAACTTCAATGGTTACTCTCATTGAGAAGGGGATGGCACTCGAGATGGGGCAATTTTCTGGTTTTCTTCATTCACAAAACACAAAGCCATACCTTCCCGAGGGAGGTTGGATACATATATATAACCATAGCTGGCTGCAAGCCTATTGCTGCACCCTCCTAGTCTAAAAATTCGAAATTTGAATGGGATGCTGTCCTAGAGGGCATCCAAACTGAATAAAGCATAAAGGAGGCATAAAGGAGATGCTAATTGCTGCTGTCCTACTAACCGCAGCTGTCCTAGCAACTGAAAATATGCTAAAGGAGTAGATGCTGTCCTGAAAAGGTGAAACTACCCAAAAGCAAAAAGAAGAAATCAGGACCAAGGACCAAAGACTTATCCATCAGTAGGCGGAGAAGTTGCTATATTTCGGAACAAAATTTGAATGCTAGAAGTTACTATATTTTTGGATGGAGGGAATATAACTTTTATTGTTGAAATTCATGCTCCTATATTTCTTACAGCTAGCAAGAGAACTGGAGGAGATTATACGGAGACAGACTGCAGAGCCTGCTGAAAGCTGCATTTCAAATGGTGGCGTATCATTTCTTGACCAAGTCATTTCTCCTATGTATGAAATCATCGCAGCTGTAAGTGGGGTATCTGCTTGGAGCTACTTTAGCTTGCTACATTTGGTTGTACTTCTATTGAGTGGTTTGAATGCTGGGTACTCTACAGGAAGCAGCCAACAATGACAATGGGCGAGCGCCACATTCTGCGTGGAGAAACTATGATGATTTCAATGAGTTCTTCTGGTTGGTAGATCAATTGAGCTATTGAGTTCCATTAATTTGTTGTTATTTTCATTTTTTTCCATAAAGATCCACACTGTCCTTTTCAGGTCTCCGAAGTGTTTTCAGCTTGGTTGGCCATGGAAGATCAGCAATCCATTTTTCTCTAAACCTAGTAGGAAAGAGAAGGTTTCTTTCTGCTGATCATATACTTAATTGTTTGTATTTTGGCGGAACTACCAAGCTAATACTTGGACATCTCAGGATATCTTTTTTTTTTGTTATTTTTGTTGTGCACATCTTAAACATCACGTAGTTACTTGGAACACAGGGTTATTCGTGTTGAGGAACCGAGTGCACTACCTATTGAGAATATGGTATACTGGGGAAAGTCTTACTAGGTGCAGAAAAGTGACCCCAAAAAAATTACTAGGTTGATGATCTCAATTACATATGAAGCATTAATTACACAACATGAGTATCATGGATATTGCACTGTAGTTTTGTCCATGGAAGTTCTACAGAACCACCTAAAATTATCTTGCATATATAGGCTATTTGGATTGAGAGATTAGATCATCCATCCATTCAAGATTTTAGTGGGATGGCCCAATTTTCATTTTTCTACATGTGCTTTTGTGGGATGAGGTGGTGAAGACAACCCTTTCCCCCCTTACCAAACAGATGGTTCTTTTGCAGGGCTTGGTGGGTAGGAATCATCATTATGGAAAGACATCTTTTGTGGAGCACAGAACTTTTCTTCATCTTTACCATAGCTTTCATCGCCTTTGGATTTTTTTAGTTATGATGTTTCAGGTATAAATTTTTGTTCACAACTGGTCTCACTATCTTGCTTGACATTTGGCATCACATACTCACATTTAACCGTGTGCCTGAAAGTTGTTTTCATTTTCTTGAGCAACTGAGGTGCTAGATGCAAAATAAAGGGTTGTCTTTTGTCTATTTATTTTGGAATGGGAAATAATAAGGGGGGACCTGCCTTCCCGTGTGTTCAGTTTTTCTGGAGACATGTGACAGAATCTTAACTTTTGTCCGAACAAGTGCTTAATGTTTTTTGTATGTCACATTTTACATGGCATATATTTTACTGAGACTAACCACCATGTTAATCAACAACCATCTGGTGTTTCGTTCATGTACAACTTTTATAGTGAAAAGATGCTGCAAATGGTAGCTTAAAGCTGATGTTTTTAAGGAGAGTTGAACCTTTTATTATTCTTATTTGGTATGATATTTCCTTGGATGATTAGTTGCTCAATGTTAAACTAAGTGTTTTTGTGTTCATTCAGGGATTAATGATCATTGCTTTTAAGGATCGTAAATTTGACAAAAAAACAGTATTGACACTCCTCAGCCTGGGTCCAACCTATGTCATCATGAAATTTATTGAGAGTCAGTCACAGAACTTCTTATTTAGTTACTGTATTATGATCATCTGCACAATTTCTCTTCTAAGTGACTAATTTTTCTTGTTTCTTTTTCCCTTTTTTTTTTCTGTGGAAGGCATATTGGACATTCTGATGATGTATGGCGCCTATTCAACATCTCGTAGATCTGCAATTACCCGAGTTCTTTGGCGATTCTGTTGGTTCACCGCGGCTTCATTGGTTATTTGTTACCTATATATGTATGTTTTCTTTTCATATCTGAGACCAGAGGGATAATTGCCAAAAAAATTTCCGAAAAGCTTTTTTTTTTGTTCAACTATGAAAAAGAATACATGGGGTCTTTGCCCTAGTGAATTGCTAGACGTCCCCAACATTGATTTCAGAATTCAGGGGCTGGCGCACCAAATTCCAGGGGATGATACCTAACTCCTTTATGTGTATACCACTAATTTGGAATTTTTGGTTGCTTGATTGTTTCTCAGCAAAGCATTTCAAGATGGGACAAATTCGGCTACATTCAAGATATATGTCTTTGTAATTGGTGCATACGTGGGCGCCAAAATAATTATCGGCCTGCTTATGAGTGTTCCTTGCTGCCACGGTTTGACCGATTATTGCTACCGCTGGTCTGTTGTACGCCTTGGAAAGTGGATGCATCAGGTCTTGCTTGCTGCTGCATTTTGACTAACTAAAAGCTGTCTTTTGTTAAGTCATTGTAATCCAATATCTTTTGCTAATATTTTCTGACATTTGGTTTATATTGAAGGAGAACAATTATGTTGGGAGAGGCATGCATGAAAGACCTTCTGACTACATCAAGTAATCCTTTGGGACTTTGAATCACAGTGTTGTGATTTTTTTCTTCCAAAGTTGAATTCAGACTAGTGCTAACTTTATTTACCATGCAGATATGTTGCTTTCTGGCTTGCAATTCTTGGCGCAAAATTTTCATTCACTTATTTTCTCCAGGAAAGTTTTAGTTTATCTAGTTCCCCTCTGTTTTTTCCAGATCAACTTGCATTTCAAAATAGTGTTTCTTATGCAGATCGAACCTCTTGTTAAACCAACAATGGAAATAATCAATTTCAAACGCTTAGAGTATGCTTGGCATGACTTTGTTTCGAAGAGTAAGAATATCACATCCTCATACAACTTGATACCTAAATATTCCATATTCTTGTGTAGCTGAAAATAGTTGTTTGAGTCTTATCTCTTTCTAATATTCATGTTTTAAATAATTTTCTTAGTATGTTCTTTTAAGTTGCAACTGTCCTAGATGTTTGTGGGCAAAGCATGAAATCTACTTCTAGTTGTCTACCTTGTTTCCATAGGTTCCTTCATGTGTAATGATGCACTTTAATGTACTAATATTTGAAACTTTTCTTAATGCTTACAGATAACCATAATGCTCTAACTATTCTTTCTTTATGGGCTCCAGTGGTATCAGTAAGTAACCTTTTTTGCTCCTAACTTTGTCCTATACATTTATACTATGTCCCATCCCCTTATCTTGTTCTCTCTCAACTGTAGTGAGTTCAGGGTCATCATGTCCTTGCATTGAGTAAATAATCTAATTCTGGAGCAGTAATAATATCTACTCCCTCCATTTCATATTATAAGTCGCTTTGACTTTTTTCCTAGTCATTTTTTTTAAGTTTGACTAAGTTTGTAGAAAAATATAAAAACATTTCTAACACAAAACGAACATATTATCAAAATATATCTAATGTTACGTTTAATGAAACTAATATGATGTTGTAGATATTGCTAGATTTTTCTATAAACTTGGTCAACACTAAAGAAGTTTGTCTAGAAAAAAGTCAAAACGTCGTGCAAATATGAAACAGAGGGAGTAAATGACAACATGCCAAAGCAGCGCATAACTCCAGTGTGCTGAACCTGAAAGGATGGCAAATATATTTATAAGTTTTGTTCTTTAACATCCAACATGAGAGAGATACTTATACTTAGTTAAATCTAATGTAGCTAACAAATAAATAGGAAACAACTTGCCGATACACTATTCAACACAATCAGAAGTAAAAAATCAAACTGGGCAAGTTCACATTCTAGTTGTTTAACATTTCATCCGCTTTGCTTATCCCACACTTACTCGTATTTCTTACGCTTATTTGTGCTACAGGAAGCTGCTGAATTTGCAGTGAACATAGGAAAAATGCATCTCTAAAGAGAAATTTCATTTATGCAGATTTACCTTTTGGATATCCATGTATTTTACACCGTGATGTCTGCTATATGTGGGTTTCTCCTTGGTGCACGCGATCGCCTGGGAGAGGTTTAGCTTCTTGACTTTTAACTTTTGAGCTATTGCAATGTGATTCTCTCTTGTGTGTAAAATTGTTATTGTTTATGCGAGGAAATCTTTGCTTGTTTACCAAATCCCAAATTCTCCAGCATATTGAAATGTTCAGGATGTTTCTACCTATGAAAATGCATTATTTGTGGAAAGGCACTTGAAAATAATTTTGTACTATTAACATGCACATATGAAAGTAATTGTACCAATTTTGTTAAGCCCATTTATGTAAAATGCATGTTTTTTTCTAGACCATTTTCCTTGGCTCTTCATCTGTGTATAGCTAGTACTTCGATTGTTATTTTGCTTTTTTTTTTTTTGTCAATTTTTCTTATCTGGTGGTTGTATGCCATTTTCAGATTAGGTCTGTTGAAGCAGTTCACAGATTCTTTGAGAAGTTCCCTGAAGCATTCATGGATAAACTCCATGTTGCTGTACCGAAAAGGTCTTTGATGTTTTTATTGTTTTTGATTTATACTTGAGTGGTATACACTAAAGTGGTTCTAATCTGTTATACAGGAAGCAGCTGCTATCATCGAGTCAGGTACTATTATCTTGTTACCTGTATTTTGCTTGTTTACTTATTCTATCTTTTCTGTTGGTGGAGCTGTGGGACATTATTTGTTATCTTTCAATAACGCTCTTAAGTTGCTTTATTTATATGATATTGTCCTTTAGTAAAAAACTTGTACTTTCAAACCAGCTTTGGCTAACTGCCATCCGACAATATAAGAAAGTTCGAAAAACGAATTCGGAGGGATTTCTATGATGAAAGCACTTTCGTGATGAGCATGCCCAATTTTCTTATAGCTCCTAGTATTTGTAAACGGATATGCGGTTAAAGTAATTGTTCCATTTTGCTTGAATTTCTACATTTGTGGAGTATTTCCCCCCTAGTTTTTTATTTTAAAAAACAGAACTAGAGTACTACTCCGCTAATTTTATACTAGGTAATAAGAAGTATGGCATTGTGGTTCCATTTGTGTATTTCCATTAAAAGATTCACTTAAGTAGATAGGCATTCCTGAATGTTGTGTATTTCCACATAACTGTCTTTTTCCTCTGAATGTTGTTTCATGATTACTCTCGTCCTAACCCCCTCGATTACCAGTCATCTGCTGCTTTTGCCTTAAGTCACATCCTCCCTTAATGGCATTTTTTTAGCATTTTAGTATTTGCAGGTTATCTGATACAGTTTTTTTTTATAAATATTTTGTTTTCGGTTGTCCTGCTTGTATGCATGTGCTATGTAGCCATGATTTGTTGAATGAAATATCTTTGTATTGATTTGAGCTCAGATCAGTTGAGCTGTTCCTGAGTGTTTTCATCTTGACTGCTATGCGTGTTTAGAGTTTAGACAAGCTAGAGAGATCTTTTGTTGTTCATAAATTATAGATATAGCATGCTTTCTTCCAGTTCTTTATCTTTACTTCCAATAAGTTGACACTGGTATTCACAATTTAACAGCATCCAGAATTAAACAAGTTTGATGCATCTAAATTTGCTCCCTTTTGGAACGAAATTGTGAGGAATATGAGGGAAGAGGATTATATTAATAACACGTAAGTAAAGTTTCTTGGAATACTATGTTACTGTTCTTTCAAACGTCTTAATTAGATATGAGTTTTTTCTGATCTTTCATCCTTACAGTGAACTGGATTTACTCTTGATGCCTAAGAATAATGGATCTCTTCCAATTGTGCAGTGGCCTCTCTTTTTGCTTGCTAGCAAGGTCAAAAGTCAAAACTTATTTTAGCTTTTAAAAAGCTCTCCCTGCATGATTTGATGATTTCCGCATCTTATGTTCGTTTTGTCACTTTGGCGACCACTTCCATTTTCATTGCAGGTTTTCTTAGCCAAAGATATTGCAATTGATTGTAAAGACTCACAAGAGGAACTATGGCTAAGGATATCAAAGGATGAATACATGCAATATGCTGTTGTAGAGTGCTATCACAGCATTTATTATATTCTGACATCTATACTAGATAAAGAAGGACGTCTCTGGTAAGGGATTTTATTTATGTTCATCCTGTTCCTTACTTCTTTTCATCTAGTTCAACAGATGTTTTTTTATCCGTGGGAGGGATGTGTTGGTGATGATTTTATTTTTTTTAGGGTGGAGAGGATTTATGTTGGTATCCGAGAAAGCATTTCCAAGAGGAACATTCAGAGTGATCTTCATTTCAGCAGATTGCCCAATGTCATTGCCAAGTTAGTTGCTGTAGCAGGAATTTTGGTAATTACTACCCCCCCTATAGCTACAAATCGTAATAAAGTTCTTGTATGACCTAGCAAGGTTGAAATATAAAAAGGTTGACTGTAAAGATTCTAAAACATAGAAGAAAAATGGAGGCTGGAGTGAGTATAATGTTAAAAAACTTGAGGCTTCCATCTGCCATTTTTATACTGTTTGCCAGCCTTCCAGTGTGAAATATGATATATTTATGTTGTTTATTTGTTGTCTGCTGGAACTCTAATAACCTTGAAGTTTTTTTGTGGTTCATCGTATAGACATGAGTTATCAACACTAGCATGCCTTTTTTGTTCTGAACCTTGAATTATTTTTGTCTGCGGCTGGGCTGGACCAAAGTCCTGTACTTCAGAGATACATATTTATAAAAAAGTTTGTTATAGTTACTAAGGGCATGCGTGATTGAATACCTACGGGATATACCCCTGTGGGTTTGATTGCCTGGTTTGGGGATCCACATGGTGAATAGTTTCCCACATGGCCTAGCCCAGAAAAATCACAGATAAATTTCCTTTTTCTGGGGCCAGTACAGTGAGATGCCAGGTTAAGACAATATATGACATGCTTAGTGCACAGTAAGGGTTATTATTTTATATTAAGTTGGAAAACAAGGGTATTAAATTTTATTAATTATTTAATACTAAATAGATATCTTCTTACGTTAACTAGTGTTTCCTACATTCCTGATGATCCAAACAAACACCATCGCACACCAACTCACGATCTCATGTAAAGCAACCAAACCACATCTCTTGCATTGCATCTCTGAAGTTCCCTCCATCATTGACGATTTTTCTTTGTACATTTTAATGAATCATCAGGACTTATGGTAATATCCACATACGCACAAATCTATTTCCAGATGGTTAAACCACTATGAAATTGAGCCTTAAAGGTTATAATATATTGATACTGACTTCTAGAATTGTGAAGGTTAGATACCTGGTTTAAAGCTCAGGGGACCCAGTCTTTTTGGAAGTACTGTAGGGGATGATATGAATCTTAAATATTTTAGAAGTTTGTAAAAGTTATTTTCTGTTTTATGCCTTTTTAGGCTTGAAAATTTTATCCAGGCTCCTCTAGTATTTGTTAATGTTAAGATGCTGCTTTTTAGAAAGAAACCGAGTCTGCTGATCTGAGGAAAGGGGCAATTAATGCTATTCAAGATCTATATGAAGTTGTTCATCATGAAGTGCTGTCTGTTGATATGAGGTCTGTTTTTTTTTACAATTTATCCTGTTCTAATGTTCTGTTTATAATATTTCAAAGCTGTGTTCTGTTTATAATATTTCATTCCTAATTCTTTTGTTTATGAATTCTAGTGGCAATATTGATGAATGGGAACAGATTAAGCAAGCAAGAGCTGAAGGCCGTCTCTTCAATAATCTCAAGTGGCCAACTGACTCTGGATTGGTATTTTGTCTTAACACTGGTTTTTCTTGTTAAATTTTAATGTTCTTACATTATCTGCTTGTGAATCTTTATAACCATTAATTTAATCTGTGTTGGTTTCATGGAATTTAGAAGGACTTGATCAAACGATTGTACTCTCTTCTGACCATCAAGGAGTCAGCTGCAAATGTTCCTAAAAACCTGGAAGCTAGACGGAGATTGGAGTTCTTTACAAACTCTCTGTTCATGCAAATGCCTGTTGCAAGACCTGTTTCAGAAATGCTTTCTTTCAGGTGAGACTTCTCTACAGTTTTCTGCTTGTTCTATCAGTTCAGAGTTGCTTCTGTTCAGTGTCTCATCCTACAGAAATGTGCCGATAGTCTGTAGAAACAGCCTATAACCAGCCTCCCCTTAATTTATTTTCTTTTTCTTAGACTAGTACTCACTCATGTGTTTAATTGCTGGAATCAAAGAATAATGATAAACCTGGTTAGTAATGTGTTCAAAGTTGACCACAAGTCGCTTCAGACCTTGCATTCTTGAGTCTGCTGGCCATCATGGGCAACCTTCGTTGCCTTGACGCCTAGTCTGACCTTGCCCACCTTACCAACTTGATGCCCTTGGCGCCTTTTTGTCTCATCCTGTGGCAACGTTGGTGCGTATGCGATTTTAGCGTCCACCAACATATTCTGAGACTGAGTATGACTTTGAAGGGTAGTTGTGGTCAAAGAGGTGGGTGGTATGGCACACTATAGGGTGCCTAAGGTCATAAGCGATGTTTTTGGAGGTAGGGCATGATGATGCATGTGGTAGTGGCACGGTGTGCCGGTATGGCGATATGGGGGCTCATCGTGCAACTCTGCTAAAATTTTTTGCTGATGAAATTTAGGAAGGAACGCCATATAGATATGAATTCCTGATATTATTCTATATACAAATTATTTTTTTGTTCAAAGCCATGTTGAGATGACTAAATCTCGTGAATCTTGATGTTAAAATTTCTATTATTTGCCGAGCATTCCTTTTTGTGTGTCTATTTTTCTTGGTTCAGTTGCTCCTGTTTTCTGTGCCTATGATATGCACCACTTCGTTTTGCAGCGTATTTACTCCATACTACTCCGAGACTGTTCTTTATAGTAAAGATGAACTCCAGAAGAGAAATGAAGATGGTATAAGTACACTATTTTATCTACAGAAGATTTATCCAGGTTTGTTCACTCTCCCTCCACTGTTACTATTGAAAGCATTGTTTGGATTTCTCTTGTAAGATGGCTTTCCTACAGTTTGCTCTAGAAGGAAAAATTGTGGCATCTACTGCCAATGCCTAAAAGTTAGTGCAAGTGCCTGCTGCTATCTGTGATTTGTGCTTGAAGGATGCAATGCAATGTAATTACCTCTTCCTTATTATGGTTGCACAGTCTAATGAAGTTGGCTTATGTAAACAGATGAATGGAAGAACTTCCTTGCTCGCATTAACAGGGATGAAAACACAACTGACTCCGAACTTTTTAGTAGCCCTAATGACATGATGGAACTACGTCTGTGGGCTTCTTACCGTGGACAGACCTTAGCACGAACTGGTTTGTTATCTTTCGAAACCTATATGGTCATGCCATATACTATTTTGCTAGTGTTTCGTTTCCATGGTATTTATTTCTTACTAGCATGATTTTTTGATGATTTGCCACCCCAAAGGTTCACACTTGTTAAACCGTGAAAATTGTGTCCATTATATACTTTTTAAAAATATTAATTGTGGTGATTTGAAGATACATTCATTTACTGTTCTTTTATCTGATGAAAGAAAACCTTTTGGTTCTACAAGTTCTTCAAAATGTCACTGTTTTTGAACTATGTTAATCCTGCAGTTCGTGGGATGATGTACTATAGGAAAGCCCTTATGCTGCAAAGTTATTTGGAGAAGTTGCAATCTGAAGGTATTTCTACTACTGCCCTGTAAGAAACATTAATGTTGTTTATGAAGTAATAAATAACCTGCTGTGTTGTTTTCCTTTGCTAGATATTGAATCTGCAGTTGCTACAACTGGTCTTGGTCTGGCTGATATACATTTTGAGCTGTCTCCTGAGGCACGTGCTCAGGCTGATTTGAAATTTACATATGTGGTTACTTGCCAAATATATGGGGTACAGAAGGCAGAGAGGAAACCAGAAGCTGCAGACATAGCTCTACTAATGCAAAGGTACTCTTCACTTTATATGTTAGACATATTTGCACTCTTTACTTGCTTTCATGCTAAATGAAACTTTCCTCCACTTTGTAGAATCTGGGGAGCTCTTTGCTCTCCTTTTATTTTGTGCGTGTTTCATAGTACTACAGTGCGTATAAGATTTGTTTTATTATTATCTTTCTCAGAAATGAAGCACTCAGAGTTGCTTACGTTGATATTGTTGAGAGCGTTAAGAATGGAAAGCCTAGCACCGAGTATTACTCAAAGCTTGTTAAAGCTGACATTCATGGAAAGGACAAGGTCAGTATAAATTAATTTTAAGTTTGTTTTCTCCGCCTAATTGTTGTTTACCCTTATCTTATCTATTGAAAGAACCTTCTCCATTAACACTATTAATTGTTTTATTAGGTTTCAGACGTTATTTTGCCTTTGTACACTCTTACTGCTAACAATGTATTCTGCTGCTTAAGTTAGTTTTAATGCCTTCTGTGCATTGTTTTTCATACTGTTTTCATTGTATCCAACTTGACACTTGATATCCATAAAATTGTTTATTTATGCTCTCCTATAGTAGTATACCATTCTTTCCCTTGTTAAGTAAATATCATCAGCTAAAGTAGTTTATATCATGTTTGGTTATTTGAGTAACGTATTAATTCTTCTATGCACCAAATAACTTGGCTGCAGGAAATTTATTCCATTAAATTGCCTGGCAATTTTAAGCTGGGTGAGGGGAAGCCAGAAAACCAAAATCATGCCATAATATTCACCCGTGGAAATGCAGTGCAAACCATTGATATGAATCAGGTATGCTGTTGTCTTTATATTTTGATTATTGACGAGCTCTCGTACGAAGTTTGGTCCTTATACATATAGGAGCAAATATTATGTATATTATATTTATTTGATGGACCTTCCTTGGTTTTCCCCAATATTTAAATAAAAGCACTTGCTCAGCTCATTTCTTTGTAATCCCTTACTATATGTTTAGCCTCTTTTATTGAATGGTACAGATCTAAGGTGACTCAATATATATCAATACAATGTTTTTCACATTTTTTGAAGTTTTTATTATGCGCATATTTTTTTTATTTCTAAAAAGGCTATAGTTATGGGAAAAAATGTTATTGAAATAGCTCCTATACCGCACCTCTTCTTACTATTGCCAAGATACCATTTTTGTTTCTGAAATAGCTCCTGACTTCTTTGTTCCATCAGTTTTGAGTTTTTCTTTTGGTTGTCCTATTGAAGGATAACTATTTTGAGGAGGCACTCAAAATGAGAAACCTGCTTGAGGAATTCTATCAGAATCATGGCAAGCACAAGCCTTCAATTCTTGGTGTTAGAGAACACGTGTTCACGGGAAGGTGTTGTTTCACTAGATTTTTGTTCAGTCGTTTTGTTGTGGCTTTACTTCAGTAGTCATCTCAGTTCAAACTTACAATCTCTCTTTTGTAGTGTTTCTTCGCTGGCCTCGTTTATGTCCAATCAGGAAACTAGTTTTGTCACATTGGGACAGCGTGTTCTGGCCAATCCACTGAAGTAAGTGCTTTTACATAATATATATTTTCTATTTCATGAGTCATTTCAAGTTACATACTGTCAACATTTGGAATTCTTTTGCAGAGTAAGAATGCATTATGGCCATCCAGATGTTTTTGATAGAATTTTTCATATAACGAGGGGTGGAATAAGTAAGGCCTCCCGTGTCATCAATATCAGTGAGGATATTTATGCAGGTAGGGCTAGTGGCCTTATTATTCTGTCTTTTTCTCAATTCTGGTTGTTGCATGTTTAGTCTATTTCAGGTTGCATTATTAATAATAGCCCATTACATTCTGTGAAATTGGCATTTGCTGTGTGGACAGCCTGTGTGCTAGTTAGTAGGGCAAAAATGACTTTATACCTCTCTTCTCGCTAGTGAATTCGATGTAGTATTATTCTAATGCTCAGCGTGTGTTTCTGTAAATGAGGCTATTTGGTAACCTAGAGACTAAAAAATGAGTATAAGCTGCTTGCGCATTGTAAACTATCATATTTTTACCTGTAGTTCTCTGTGTTGTTAATGCTGTGCATATTCTTATATTGTTTTAGTTGTAGGGGGTCTCTCTCTCAGGTTCTGTCAATGCATATTTTTGTTTGGTTATAACCATATCACTTTGTCCATATATGCTCAATAATCTTCCTGTTTCTGCCTACCATTTACAAATTGCAGACCACAACAGTTAGCTGTAATTTAGTTACATTCATGGTATTGTATCTTTTTACTGATGCATCTATGAACTCCAGGGTTCAACTCAACTCTGCGCTTAGGGAACATAACTCATCATGAATATATTCAGGTCTGAATTTTCTTCATTCGTGTTTTGAATTTTCTGCGCTAACATCTAGCTTATCAGTCAAGAATACCTTAATCTCTGAATGGTAGGCCAGAAAAATCTTAAAAAGGAAATTCCATTTGTTATCGCCTATTTGTCAATTGGTCTCATAATCTGTTTACTTTTTTTTTTTTTTTGGGGGGGGGGAGGATGTTTTGGTATTTAAAAGTAACATAACAGAGGATTGATTTAATAGCAAAAGTGAATTGACTCATTTACCTTTGGAAGAAGTATGTCATACATCATTGATGTTCATGTAAAATGAGATAGTTAAAACTCTTGATCTGAGGTCATCCAGTAATGTGAAGAAGTATTATCTTCCATTTGGTGACAGCTAGCTATCGCTATCAGTATCTGAGGAAAATTCACAATGCCAGAGTTCTCTGTAATTGGACAAATTCTGGGGTTTCTTACATTTGGGAGTTAATATTCTCAGTAAACTCAAGACTACATCGATTTGCCCTTGATTTGTTGGCGATTCCAACATCGCACTGTTGATTTGCTATCCAAAATTGTTCGTGGCGTTACCACAAATACTAATTATTGTTCGTGGTGATTTTTTTCCCGAACTAATTGTTGCTGGTGATTAGGGAGAGAATTGGTGGGAAAAGCCTTGTTCACCTGGTTCAAAATGTTTTATTACCTGCAACCTTCTATTCTGTATGTACACCAGGAGTTCTATGCTGATATTGTTTCACAGGCTCTCCTGCTACCAATGTGAAACAAACTTGTTCGCTGCACCATCTACTCTAGCATTATATAACTGTTGCCAACACTCTTGCTGTCTTGCGAGCATTATATTGATGTTCCAAACATAATTCTGTAGGTTGGAAAGGGAAGAGACGTTGGTCTTAATCAGATTGCACTGTTCGAAGGAAAAGTTGCTGGAGGAAATGGTGAGCAAGTGCTCAGCCGGGATATATACAGACTTGGACAGCTTTTTGACTTTTTCAGGATGTTGTCCTTCTATGTGACAACTATTGGGTTCTACTTCTGCACCATGGTAATTAGATTTTCCTTGCTTGTTATTCCCTCATTCACGAATAGATGTCACTTTAGAATGTCTTTAGTTGAACTTTTAAAAGTTTGGCTACCTCCATTTTTTATATGGCGTAATGGTGTTGATTAGTTCAATGATGCTAAACATCATATAAAAAATGGAGTATAATGCAAAATTGAAGTCAGTAGATTCTCTTTTTTTTTTCTTTTGAAATAGAGAGGTCTGATCTCCATTTCAGTAGAACTGGTAACGGCCATCAGGTTACAGCTCAAGAGGAAAAACAAAACCAAAATGCCAGCAGCTTGTCACAATTGTGATGCCATCCGATCCCTGTCACAACTATTGATGCCAACAAGACTAAGAAAACTCAATAAAGTTGCTACAAACACAACCTGGGACGATCTGAAAGCAAACCAGAAGTAATTCTGGGGGACTGGTGGTTGATCACATGATTATCCTGGGCAACTAAATATCTCAAGGCCTTCGATACCTTGTGCCTGATGATCTATTGGTTAATTTGGAAAGAAAGAAATGCACATATCTTCAACCTGAAGTACAAAACAGCGAATCAACCTGTGGCTGAGATCGCAGATGATATTTTAGTCTGGAGAGAAGCAGGTCTTTTCACTTTAGAAAATGACTAATCTTGCTGCTTGAGGCTGTGGGGGTGCTGGTGCTGACCTGGGCACTGCCTTGTAATTTCTCTCTCGACAGCTTACTGTTTGTCCTCTTTAAATTTTCTCCCACAATCTTAATCTATTAGGTTGGCCTGTTCTTCGGCCAACCCAGCTAAAAAAGATTTGAAATTCAACTAGACAACCAAAGGAACAATAAGCCCAGCAACTACTTCCCAGGCAGACAAACAGCAGCATCTTTCAGTAATTTCTAATTTTTACCTCTCTGCCTTCGGGCTCCATCCATCATTCCAGCCATCTAGCCCCTGGTCTCCATCCAAATCTTGATAATTAGACCTCATCTGCTACCTTGATTAGTAGCATGATGCCCCAACGTAGCTTTTCTGCCCTTTCTTGCGACATCTTCAGTATTGACCAGGAGGAAATCTAAAAACATATGAATCTAATCAGCTCAATTGGGTGATTTAGAACATATGAATTAAAACATGCATTATTCCTTGACTTCAGATTGCCCACAATACAGCAGCTTGACCTAAAACAATTAATATATGCATAGGATTTTGAACGGTACCATTTTTATTATATTATTAAGTACATGCATAAAATTAAATTTGTACAAAAATAGATTATTGATGCTACATATTGATCTTGTTGTAGGTGCTATCCCCCTGAATCTGCAATCATGATTCTATTATTCTAAAATAAATTCTGATCTTAAGTTGTTTGCTCTTTTGCAGCTAACTGTTTGGACCGTGTACATATTTCTCTATGGGAAAACCTATCTGGTAAGGCAGAAAATCAGTTCTACTTTCTTTGATATTAACATCTCTCTATAATAACATGTCACTTTACTTGCTTATTGTCCACCTTTTGTAATGACTTCACTCAGATTGCTCTATGCTGTCAATTGTATGAAGTTTGTTATTAAGATTTTTTTTTGGTAATTAACGCATCTTGCTTGCATTGTTCTATGTCTGCTATGTTCTTTATTTTATCTTTTGTATATTAAGTTGGAAACATTCCTAACCACGCAAGACAATATATTTTTTAAGTAAAATGTGCTGGAGGCATAAGCACTGTTTTATTGGGTGGTGCAACGCTTGCATGCTGTGTGCCTTCTATATTCTACTTTTGCACCTGTAAAGCTAATAGATGTTATAACGCACGTTAACTTTCTTGCTAGTACCTTCTAGAAAATCCTGTTATAAATGTTCACTCAGTGTGTTCCTTTTATGTTCTACCCTTTCACGATTTTGCACTTTCGTTACCTTACGTTCCAGTTTCTTGGGTTCAGTTTGTGACATTTTTTTTCTGCCATATCTGACCAGGATATTATATTGTACTAGTTGACATATTCCTTCTATATTTGTTTCGTAGGCTTTGTCTGGAGTTGGAGAATCAATTCAGAATAGGGTGGATATATTGCAGAACACAGCCTTGAATGCAGCTCTGAACACACAGTTTCTTTTCCAGATTGGTGTATTTACTGCTATTCCTATGATTCTGGGTTTCATCCTGGAATTTGGTGTCTTGACGGTATTCCTTTTATCTTGCCAACAAATAACCTAAGCTGTTCCATCTGAGCACTCATGGTCAATTATCTTCCATGGAATTATTTTCCTAAGAAATGTTTTCAACATCTTCTTAATGCAACACAGTATTTGATATAACTCAAGTCATTTTTCTTCTGGTATCAACAAAGTCTTCATTTATTCAATCTTGTGTTTTTGAATTCAATGTGCTTCACTGCAACATAAAGAGTCTTCACCTATTGGCTGTTGTAATAAAGTTGGTTGTTGTTGAGTGGAGCTTACCTTTCTAATCTCGTATAGATTTTTCTGCATTTGTTAGCTTTATTTGCCTATGTTGTTTTTTATTGTCTAATATATTTTGCCTGGAGAAATGCATTTTTACATTTGAATGTGTGACACAGGCTTTTGTCAGCTTCATCACGATGCAGTTCCAACTTTGCTCTGTATTTTTTACTTTCTCCCTGGGTACAAGGACCCACTATTTTGGCCGCACAATACTACATGGTGGTGCAAAGGTAGGGTCCTTTGTTTTTAAGTGATGCTTATCTACTTCTGATTTTTACTCTGTATTGATCTGATGTGTTTCTTCTGGATTACCAGTATAGAGCAACCGGTAGGGGTTTTGTGGTACGACATATCAAATTTGCTGAAAACTACCGTCTTTATTCCAGGAGCCATTTTGTGAAAGGGTTTGTTATCACCTGATTTTGCTCTCAAAATTGTGTGCAACTACAGTCTGTGATGATTGCTTTTGTTTTTCACAGGTTGGAGGTTGCTCTTTTGTTAGTGATCTTTTTAGCGTATGGTTTTAACAATGGTGGAGCAGTTGGCTACATTTTGCTTTCCATAAGTAGCTGGTTTATGGCAGTTTCTTGGCTTTTTGCTCCATACATATTCAATCCATCTGGATTTGAATGGCAGAAGTAAGCTGCTAAGCATTCTATGCATGTGTTACTCTGCGTAATTATATTTGAAATTCGAATTATCAGGATTAAAATACCTCTCTCAGGGTCGTTGAGGATTTCAGAGACTGGACGAATTGGCTGTTTTACCGAGGTGGTATTGGGGTTAAGGGAGAAGAAAGTTGGGAAGCCTGGTGGGATGAAGAACTGGTAACTGAATTTTGCCTGTATATGATTAGCATTTTTAATTGTGTCTAATATTTTGTTCCATACAATGGAAAAACTAGTTCTTTTCACTAGTTCATATGTCCACAAATGTAAGCATTCCAGAGTGCTACTTGTCACATAAATCACCTCTCACTCAAATTTATTCCCATCTTACCCCCAACCATCCTCCCATCTCCATCCATCCCTCATTTAAGGAGGGCCACCAAAGTCTTTTCTCCTCAACCTTAATATCTACTAAACAGCTTAGAAATGCTTATATTCGTGGACGGAGGGAGTAATCTTATTGCAGCTTGACAGTATCATGAGAATCTACTGTCACATTTGTTGTAAGGTCTTGAGGCCACTTTTGTTATTCTTTTCGTTGATTCCTCTTCTGCAGTTACTGGCACTTATATTGGCTTCTATTTCTACTCTTAGCATATGACTGAATTGACGAAAGTAATGATGAGCTCCAAAATGGATGCTTTTACCAAGCTTGAAGTCATTGAATGATAGTTAATATCAGAACATTTCTTTTTCAGGCACATATTCACAATGTTGGTGGGAGGATACTGGAAACTGTACTGAGTTTAAGATTTTTCATCTTCCAGTATGGAGTTGTTTACCATATGGATGCAAGCGAATCAAGTAAAGCACTATTGGTATGTTTTCAGCATCCATTTGATTTGCTTGTTGGCATGAAATTCGTTGACCAAATATGTTTCAGTTTTTTTTTTTTTACTTTCTGAAAGTATTTTTTTTATTTGAATGTGCTATTAATACTCTGATATTGAACACAAAGAACTGATATATTTTTGTAATCAGAAATTTGGTAACATACTATTTGATTATATATTTTGATCTTCACTTATTGGTCTAGTTAATGGAGACAATATAATGGAACATTTAATTTGATTTGTAGATATATTGGATATCATGGGCTGTGCTTGGTGGCCTTTTTGTCCTCTTACTGGTATGTGAATTCCTTATTACTGTATGAGGTATCTGAGTAATATCACATATCTGGATATTAACTTGTTTTCTTTATTGTATTAATCTGCAGGTATTCGGTTTGAATCCCAAGGCGATGGTGCATTTCCAGTTGTTCCTCCGACTTATCAAAAGCATTGCGCTACTGATGGTTTTGGCGGGCTTGGTTGTGGCAGTTGTGTTTACAAGCCTTAGTGTCAAAGATGTGTTTGCTGCCATCTTAGCATTTGTGCCAACTGGCTGGGGAGTTCTTTCGGTGAGTTTCTATAGAAACATCAATGTCCATCTGAGACAGGATGGTGCAAAAGTGAACTCAGTTTTGAAAATTGTTCCTGCGTAGCAGATAATATGTTTCATGAAGTTCACTATTCTCCTAAAGTATTTCACAGAAGTACTCAACCTCCCAAATTTCTTTTGGCCTTACTCCTTGCACTATTAAAGCTGCTTTCTCTGGTCAAATCCCTAGCGTTTGATGTTTTCCAGATAAACTTTGGAAGCTTTGAGTATCAATAAATCGTGAAGTGCTTGGTTTGAAAACATAAAATTGGTAGTATAGATTTGTCTTGGAAACTACGCATAATCTCATATTTTAGATTTTATAAACTCGCCTCGAAGACAGTAAAAATAAAGTCGAGCTTCCTATATTTTTCTATACTGTTAACCGGAGGGAGTAGTTATTTACCCAATGCCAATTGTCCTTTTTACTTCTCTTTATACAAGTGGTATTTTAAGTTTAAATTTTGTACTATTTTCTTTGTTTGAAGCACCTAACACCTACCCCCTCCGTCCCAAAAAAAAACCCAATCCGGTTGGATTCTTTTTGGGATGGAGTAGTACTTCATGTTCCTTTTTGTATTTGTTTTCTATCATTAATATTCGTGCCCATGCTTTTTTTTATATATAATACAGATCGCTGTGGCGTGGAAACCTATTGTGAAGAAACTAGGTCTATGGAAAACAGTGCGCTCTCTAGCTCGCCTGTACGATGCTGGCACAGGAATGATCATTTTTGTCCCGATAGCCATCTTTTCCTGGTTTCCTTTCATATCCACCTTCCAGACCCGACTTCTATTTAACCAGGCTTTCAGCAGAGGTTTGGAGATCTCTCTCATTCTTGCTGGCAACAATCCAAATGCGGGAGTATGACTGTAGCTGCTCCCATCCATCTAAGCATCTCCATTCAGATCGTGGAGCTTTACAATCACTGTTGTTCTCTCTTAGCAGTAGGATGTATATATTTCATGGACGGGGAGTCGTGGATGTATCCTGTTGGCCACATTGTTGTATTGATCTTAGTGCTTCTAATTGTGATTGCTACTGTTGTTTTGTAGCTTTAGTTGTGGAGTTAGCTTTTCATGTTTGCTAATACAACTGATTATATTATCCTATTAGATTTTGTTGATGTATTTCTTTTGATCGTTAATATTTTGATACGTAGAATGAACAACCATTTTATTAACTTAGAGAATGATTTTTTCGAAGTTCAAATTACCTATGGCTCCAAAATGTTCTTTTTTTCGGATTGCATGTAAAACGTTGACCTTGCGACTGTTTCCTGTTCTTACTACTCTACGGGCGAAGCGAAATTCCCAAATTCCTAGCGAAGCTATTTTCGCATGGCTGTTATATAAGCATAGTGTGCCAAACTACGGAAAATATCTAATTACCGTGTTTTTCTCTAAAAGTGAGTTTGGGCAGTGTCCTACGACTAAAACCATAGAATAACAATGTCCTGTAGCAAAATTTACCACAATTTGATCATACCTTGCAAAAAAAATTTAATCACGTAACTAAGGCGAGGTTTTGACCCTATAATCATATAGTAGTAAGTAAAATGTGTCAAATTGAATTTTAGTTTTTTTTTAACGGAGGGAGTACACACCTTTGTGACACTGACATGCGAGAGGGCTCAGCTCATGCGCGTGACCTTCGCTATTTCTCGTGCGCGGCGGTAGAGCTGCGTTCGTGTCCACTCTCCACTCTCCTTCTCTATGTTCCGCCTCCCGCCGCTCCACCGCGCCGCCGCCGTCTTCCTCCGCCTCCGCCTCGCCTCTCCCCGCGCAACCTTCTCCTCCAAACCCGCCAATCCCCGCACCAGCAGCGTTGCCTCCGCCGCCGCCCCCGCCGCCGCCGCGGTCTCAGATGCGATCGTTCGCCTCGTCGCGGCCGGCGGCAGGAGCCTCGAGGCCGACCTTGACCGCCTCGACCCCGCCCTCTCCCACCCCATCGTGTCGGCCACCCTCCGCGCGCTCACCGACCGCGGCCTCCCCGCGGCCCGCTTCTTCGACTGGCTCGCGCTCCGCAGGGGCTTCTCCCCGAGCGCCCACGCCCACAACCTGCTCGTCGAGAATGCCGGCAGCCTCGCGGACTATCGGGCCATGTCCCGCGCCATGGAGAGCATGTCTACGCGGCGGGTTCCCCTGACCGAACGGGCGTTCGCCTTCTTGAACACGTCCCAGGGCAGCGCCAGGGATACGGCGATAGCGATTCTAGCGACGCTGGATGAAGTCGGGGGCCCTTGCCGTGCGTCCGGCGTGTTCTCGCTCGTCAAGGCGCTAGCTTCGATCGGTGAGTTCGACGCGGCGATGTCTGTGATCCAGGAGACGGCGAGGGGGGCACGTTACTACAACGCCCTCATCGCCGTGAAGTGCAAAACTGGGGACTTCCATGGCGCCCGCGAGGTGTTCGACGAAATGAGGAGGTCGGGCTTCGGCCCGAATTCTAACTCCTGGAACTACCTCCTCGGGTGCCTGCTGAAGAACGGCAGGGTTGCAGAAGCTTGTGAGCTTGTTGAGGCCATGGAGAGGTCTGAACACAACGACATCCCGAACTCGCTGACCTACGAGATTCTAGCATACCATGCGTGCAAAGCGGGGAGGATGGATTCAGCCATGCGGATTCTTGATCAGATGTTCTTGGAGAAATTGACACCGAGGATTACGATTCACACAGCCTTCATCAAGGGGTACTTATACGCTGGAAGAATAGATGATGCTTGCAGATATGTCAGTGCTATGAGCACCAGGGACAGGCGCTCAGTGAACAGGAACTACAGCCTGCTAGCCAAGCTACTGTGTAAGGCAGGGATGATCGTTGATGCAGGAAGAATTCTGTATGAATTGATGGAGAAGGAGGCACTCTTGCCTGACCATTCTGCTTACATTAGAGTGATCAAAGATTTGCACAAGATTGGCAAGGGAGATCTGGCTGCTGAATTGAACTTGATTTTGCAGAAGCTCAGTGTACATGCAGAATCAGCGGGATGAAATTTCAAGTAGTCTTGGAGCAAGTGATGAGTCTTGTCTTGCGTCATTTCTGTCCTCTCTCTATGATGTGGATGTCAGAAGGACTTGATGTAAATCAGAGTCACCTGGCTGATAAAGAGGAGAGCAGACATGAATCATGCACAAATGGTGCAAGCTGTTGTCATGTAGAGAGAGGACCATGTGATTTCCTGCAGAAAAAAAAAGACAGTCACTAGGCAAAGCCAAACAATCGTACCACTGGATTGCCACATTGCTTCCTTGGATTTTAACTCCAGTTTCGGTAGTTTTTTCCTACTGAAGGTAGACAGAATTTGGTACTTCTATGTGCAAATTCTTTGATAGGGACATTACTTATCTACAGGATTGCAGTACAAATGAAGATGAGTGGAACAAGTACTTGAATATGCAAATTCTTTGATAGGAAAATTACTTGTGTTCCATACTGCCATTACATTCAGCCTGTAGATGGTTAAGGACAGGTGAACATTTGTGTGACACTGTTTTCCTTTTCCATCACTGATTAGAATAGTGAATCTGTGTTGAAGTGTAATGTGGTAGGAAATCACATTCACAGGCGAAATTTCTGCTCGAAAAATAATTCACAAGGAGGCACTCTTGCCTGACCATTCTGCTTACACTAGAGTTATCAAAGATTTGCACAAGATTGGCAAGGGCGATCTGGATGCTGAATTGAAGTTGATTTTTCAGAAGCTCACTGTACATGCAGAATCAGCACAATGAATCTTGTCTTGATGTCCTCTCCCTGAGATGTTCTGTGATGTAGATGTCAAGAGGTCTTGCCGTAAATCAGTCACCTGGCTGTTATAGAGAAGAGGGCAGACATGATCAGGAACAAATGGTGATATGAAAATCACCATCGCCAGGCAAAGCCAGACATTCATACCACTGGATTGACTTAGGGTGTGTTTGGTTCTCTGCATCGCACCTGGCTCGCATCCACGGGTGCAGGCCTTTGGTGTTTGGTTGCCTGCACGGCCACCCGAGCCTGGCTCCACGCGTGCAAATCGGGCTTCCGAGCCAGGTCCGAGAGAAACGGTCGATCTGAGCTTCGCTCCTCATCCGGGCTGAGCGCGTGCAGGCGGGGGACGCGTGGGTGCAAGCTCGGGGACGCGCAGGTGCAGGAGGCGAGAGGGGTTCCAGCTTCTGCTCACCTTCCCATCTCATTTGTCGCTCGGTGCCTCCCGTCTCCATCGCCGCACCGTCGCCGTCATCTCCATCATCGTGCCATATTCGACAAAGCCATCGAAGCTTCCTCAACCAGAACCGCTAGAGCCCCTCCCCTCGAAGCCGCCGCCGCCGCCAAATCCAGCCCCGCTTGAAGCCGTCGAAGTCGAATCCGGCTCCTACCAAAGATGCCACTTGCTCTTCTTCATCCGAATCCAGATGTGACGACGAGAGAGGGTTGTCACTGCTGACGCCCGGATCTTCCTCCTAGTCGCCGCTGTCACCGCCACCATCGCCACCGCCTTCGTCTATAGCTGCTGCATCGGGCCCTCTTCCTCTCCCTTCTTCCGTCAGATCCAGAGCCCAGGAGCTCGATCTGGTGGCCTCAGGCTTCTGGTTGCCGGATCCGGACGTACTGATGGCGGCGAAAATCGTCAGGATCCCGCTATTGCCGGATCTACGCCCTGCCACCGCGGCGTAGTTGGCTGTCTCGGCGACGAGGCCACAGTCACCTGCCTTCTTTTTCCTTTTATTTATTTGCTGTTTTTTCTCACCACTTGGATGAATTAATTGAACATAACAAAGTTGATGCAATACTGTAGCACCCGATGTGGTTCATATACTATTTTATTCGTCAGTGTAAGAAATCCAATGACTTGATTTTATATACAGTGATACACTGACTAATACAATCCTATGCATATTTCGCATTTGTTAAAAATCGATATCATATACTGTAAAACGATCAGCTTTGAGATGATAGAAAATTTCATCCATTAGTTATAGACGGTAATCTTACCCTCAAAGAAAGGAGGTATCCATACCTCCAATCTATAACAACCAAACAGCTACATATGTATCCCCTCAACCAGATCAAACTAAGCCAGGATGGGAGAGATGAGCCAGGCTAGATGGATACGAGCAAACAAACACACCCGTATTGTTCTTTTGGATCGTGCCAAAAGCTACAGAAGATATTTTTTTTTAGATAATGGAAAGAACATGGCCTCTACATCTATTTCGGATGTACACAGCCAAAACCTTCAGAAGTTAGATAGAATCTGGTACTTCTATATGCAAATTCTTTGATAGGCACATCATGTATCCGCTGGACAACTGAAGATGAGTGGAGTAAGTACTTGAGTATGCAAGTACTTGAGAAGCCAAACACTCATACCAAATTACCTATTGAGATTAACTTCAGTAGTATTCTCGTTTTATTTTTCTTGTGGGTATAGCATTCCCAGTTCTTACTTGGACTGTATCATCAGTTTCAGTAGTTCTTCTATGTACTGAAGATGGGTAATATCTGGTATCTGTATATGCAAATACTTTGATAGACTAGGTACTTGTTTGCAATACAAAGCTGAATATGAGTACAATTTCGTACTTTCTCTGAGAGGTGTAGAATACATCACTAGACTATGCACTCTTTGATATACCAATTTGCTGTCTGTGTACATAGCTGTTGTCTCTTATGTGTACATGAGAAGTAGAGAACTTTGGATAGTTCTCTTCAAAATATGTTATGCGTTTTGGCAAATGCTTGAATCATCTACTGACCATATCTTCAGATGGCAATCCATGGATGGTCATAACAAACATTTCACAGTTTTTTGACACAGTTTTCGTTTTCCATCACTAACTAGAAGTGTGAATCTGTGATCAAGTGTAGTTTTTTTTTTTTTGAAATGAAGGCAAGAAATTTGCCTCATATACTGATAGAAAAGAAGTGAAAAGGTGCACAAGTATTTACAAAGAGTAGAACAAGTACCCAACCAAAGCAAGAGTAGATGCAAGCCCACAGCTAAAAGCCCAAGTCCAAAGGAGAAATCACGAATTCCAGCCCAAGTTTTGAGCCCGGTCTTCACAAATCCGATGACGCCACGTCATCTATCCGGCCTTCTCACGTCTAACCAATCACTTCTCTCCATTTACGAACCACACGGATCGAACCCCTCCTCCCCGCCACGTCACCGATCCGTCCTCCCAAGCCGTACCCAATCATACCCGTCCATTTCCGATCCATCGCGCGAAACCCCCACCTCCCACGGATCGCTCCATTTTCACCTCCGCGCCCAAACGCCTCCTCCCACCGCTATAAATACCCCGCCCATCTCCTCCGCATCTCACAAGCAAAATCCCCAAATCCTCCAGATCGTCTTCGTCTTCCACCTCGAGCTCTTACGCATCGTCAGCCATGTCGGGCCGCGGCAAGGGAGGCAAGGGTCTTGGCAAGGGCGGCGCGAAGCGGCACAGGAAGGTGCTGCGCGACAACATCCAGGGCATCACCAAGCCGGCGATCCGGCGGCTGGCGAGGAGGGGCGGCGTGAAGCGCATCTCCGGGCTGATCTACGAGGAGACCCGCGGCGTGCTCAAGATCTTCCTCGAGAACGTCATCCGCGACGCCGTCACCTACACGGAGCACGCCCGCCGCAAGACCGTCACCGCCATGGACGTCGTCTACGCGCTCAAGCGCCAGGGCCGCACCCTCTACGGCTTCGGCGGCTGAGTTCCCGGCCCCCTGTGCTCGATCCAGATCTGATGCCGTTAGCGTTGCTTAGGGTTTCGTTGCGGAAATTGTACTACTTCGTTGTTTCTGCTTGTGCAAAGTGAATGGATGGTTGGATTAAATGAATCATTTTCTCTCTTGATTAGTACATCCGACTTGCTGTCTTCCAAAAAATGATCCATTGGTCGCTTTGAAATGTTGTATGCGCTGATCCATTTTTGAATTTGAGAGGCGGCTATCTTGAAAATTTCGTTGCAAACTGCGCAATTTCGCGCTCCATGTGAATGCTCGTAATTTGAACGATGTATCAGCTGAGTGGTCTATTGGCTTTCAAAATTCGAGATTCGAACTGGCGGTTTTCCTCCAAAAAAAGTTCAACGGGTGGGTGGGAAAAATCCAAATTGGGCTCTTCGGGACTCGTTGGTATCTGGGCCGAAAGCCCAACTGGGAGTCCAAGCCCACAGCCTCGTTGCCGAATTTTGCCACCTCCCCGTCGCGGCGGCGACAGAGGCAGCGATCACCCCCACCGGCGACCACCGCCGGCTGCGCCGCCGCCGCTCCGGTGTTCCACCCCCATTCTCTCCCCTCGTTTGCCCATCTCCAAGGGACCCGCCGCACAGGCAGAGACTGCGCCTTGACGCCGCGAAACGGAACCCTCGCTGCAAGGGCACGTGGCCTCCTGCTGCTCGGCGCTCTCGCGCCGCCGGGCGATTGTGGGTGGCGCCGGATTTCTCTTCGCCTCCTCGTATGCCGGCGCGACTGTGTTCGGGCTGGCTCAGCGTGGCCGCTCGTCTCCCTCCCCTTTGCATCCCCACTCCTCTCCGGCCTCCATTGCCACTCCCAGGAGGATAGTAGATCGGTCGCTTTGGCTTCCGAGTCTCATCTCGGGCCAGCCGCGCTGGTCTCCTCAGCGAGTGAACTCCCCTCATGCCTCGCGGCCCCAATCCGAATGCTCTCGCTGTTACCGGAGGTGGGGTGCAGGAGGCATATTGTGCCGCCGATCGAACAACAATGACGGTTGCGTACTGGAACAGGTATGCTGCTACACCCATCACCTCTTTCTTTCTTTAATTTGGGGCTGTCAATGCAGCTTGCAGGTATTTGATTCTCAGTTGGGCACGAAATTAGCTCTGAAATATGAAGTACTGTATGGGTTATTTGGCATGAGGTTGTGGCACTTTAGCATCTCCGACATTGTTGCATATGGGCGAAATGAGAAAATGGGATGTCGGATAGTATTTCAAGAAAACAACTGCCCATTGCCTTTTTGATTTGGTTATGCAGAGACGTTCTCTGAATTAAGTGTGTGTTGCACTGATGCTTGATGTCGATTCAAATTAACTGTAACTTGTTGTAAGTGACCTATTCAATCTTTAGCTGCAAAATTTAGGGACCATTTGCATTGTCTTTACGAAGAATGTGGATTTCAAGCCATGTCTATAATATTAAGGATTTGTAGTTGTACTTGTCTATTTAGAAGGTTAACTAAAAAAGGTAACCTTATTTAACTCTTGCTCACAGCTGTGCTTTGCCACATATCACCATTTTGATAACTGTCCTGAACCAAATTTATCCATATCTGGATGTCTGATTCAGCATGAAGTATGTAATGCGAATATGTGATACATTATACTTGTAAGGTATCACAAACAGAAGGAAGGCGCACTGATAACATACCGCGCACTTCTATCTTTTGCAGAATATCTCACAGCTTTCCACTGGTTGGTGGGTCGGCATGACTGGTGAGTGGTGGCTGCTGTGACAGTTTTTGAACACGTCCGCTTTCCAATTTTTCCTTCTGCTAAATCCATGATAATTTCCAGTTTGTACAATTGGTTTGTGCGAGCTAACATATGCCAATCAAATATGGGGACCAAGTTTTTCTGGTGCATCTGCTTACTTTGATGGCATATAACTTGTTTTAGATGTGTACTGTTATCTCACTGCATGGTTGAAGCCAGTTGAAAATTGCTGTGCACCTCATATACATGAACGAGAGCTGCCATTGTTATCAATTACAATTTAGTTCCATGTCTGTATAGCCACAGTTTTTCGTGTAGTGTTTAGTCAGCGTCAGGCCTCACTGTAATGTATCAACATAATAAAGAAGTACCAATCAGTGCGCTAAGAGTTGTGGGTGGTCCTTGCATAAGATAAATTCTCCTGGCTATGGAAATTTCCATGAAAGTGACTTATCTTTGAGAGAGAGAAAAAATGTGTGTACATAAGCTAACTATGATCATTTTAGACAGTTTAAATGTTTAATTGTTATTTTGATGCATAAACTTGTACTTGCACAACTGGATCTTAAAGGGGGAGACTTGTATTGCCATGCAAGGGTATGATAGGAAAATATCAGTTGTTTAATCTATTATAGTTTGAATGTATGTTAGCAGTCATGAGAAAGCTATGAAGTATCCATAATGTAGGATATAAACATCATTACACATCACATATAATTTTAACCGAGAACATGACTGGTATATGGAAAAACAAAAGAACATTGTGGACTGGTTCATAATCTAGCCTTTTAAACTTTATAACTCTACATATAACTTGAGGCGAAGTCACTCTTTATGTTTGAAAGCGTAAATATAATATTCAGAAAACCTGGGTTTATAACGTAAGTTGCATGCATTTTGAAGAAATCTGCTTGTTCACAGGGTAGTTACGGACTTGCGGAGTTATATTGCAGACTTAGCTGCAGGCTGCCAGCCTACCACAATTGTTTCATCGTTCTTGTGTTAAGTTGAACTTTTTTTCTTATGTTAGTCTGGAAAGAAAACCGGAAGTGCTAAGGGTAATGTGGGCAAATATAAGCCCTCTTAACTTATGTGTTTGGATAATAGCAGAGATTGAACATTACCATAATAAGCATGCAAGTAGGAGTTGTTTATAGTAATCGCTTGGGGCTGTATATCTTCTTATATAAGGTTTTAGTAGAATCTTCTGAGTACATCTAAAATCAATGTGTTTGTTGATTAAGTTCAATTTGTGCTTCTAGGATCACGAAATCATGGCCAAAACACATGTGAAAGCCCTGCTGATGGCTTCTCATACAGAAATTCTAAATTCTAGTACTTGAACATAAGTATTGTTTAAAATTCAATTCAGTGGATTGTAGTTTTTTTTTTAAAAAAAATTAATGAATTCTGAGTTTCTGACAGTTATTAAACACAAGAAAATTCTGAAATTAGAAATGTAACAGACTATCAGTGTAAACTTTTTGAACTGTTCACTCTATTTAGGAACTTAATTTAACATGTCATTTACTTTGATATTTGATTTATTGGTTTATTTCCTTAACCGCAATATGAGTCCATTCTTCTTGTTTTAATGCTCTATCCTATTTAACAAGGTGGGTTTATTTCTTTGCCTCAGAACTGAAAATGACGGTTCCTTTTCACCACTACCAATTTTCCCCCTTTTCATTTTAGCTATATATATACTATGATGATGCCGGTTATCAACTTATCATGATGCTTTTTTCAAGAGGTTTCACAATGATAAAACTAATAGACAGAGTGCTCTGGTAGCACATTGTTCGTTTCACCTTGAACTGTATCATATTCAAATTTCAGAAGCTCACAAGATATCTTGCTTTCTCAAATTGTCAAGAGAAAAGGAAGCATGCTAAACATGTGCAGGTTCCTTTATTATAGCTTAGAAGCCTGCAGTATCCAATGAACAAAGACAATTATTCTAACTTTTGGTTCGATAGCGACCTCAGTTCTATAATTGCTTTTTTCCTGTTGAAGATTGCATTTTGACATGTTTTCCTCCATTTTTGTGCTTGCGTTTACCTGCTGCAAGCTCCAAAAACCTGCATCTCTGTGTTCCAAGTTATTCTGTTTAATTGTGCTAAACAAGACATACAATGAGAACGGACCAACCGACCAAGTTTATTCCCTCCCTGTATATGTATTTGTTATGATGTTTGCATAACTTAGCTTCAAAGTATACTGTACAATGCTGTAAATGGTAAATTTCCTGTCTTCTCTTACTTTTGCAGTTTCTACCACCAGATATGAAGCTGGCAAGCAGAACTGCAGTAGTCTGAACTGGAAACTGATTGAAGTTAATGACAATTTATGCTGTGTCTTTTGGCTCTCCAATGCTATGTAAGATTTTCCTTGACATACATCGGATCGAGCTAGTGTTCTAGGCTCCTAGCTGCAATGATATAGAGCCAAGATAATGGTCCAATTCTGAATTTAGAATATCAGAATTTGATCTTTTTTTTGTCATCTATTAAGGAAGATACAATAAATTATGGTACAGAGTGGATGGGCTGCCAGGAAGATAATGGTCCAGCAGGCAGCAGCAAGGTTAAATCAGAACATGAGTTCTTAATTCAGATTACCTCTGAGCAATGCTGTCAGAGTGAGTCCTCAAACTTGGCTTATTAGATTTAGTGTAGTAAGTGAGCCACACCTTCTGACTTCTGAGTGTTGGTTCCTACTGTTAGTGCTGCTATAAAAGTGCTATTACTGATTCTTGCACTCACTATGGCCAGCAAATCAGAGATAATAAACCATGTGAAAGCCTCACGTAGTGACTGGACATGACATAAGCAAATTCTTTGCGAGTTGTCTAAACTACTTTACTTTACAGGGTACTTATCGTCTTATGGATTTTAATCATCAGTCGAGAAAATGACACTGGTGGGAACTGAATTTGGAGTTTTGGACTGCTACAGGAGAAATACGAACTTTATGTCTTATGGATTGAACAGCAGGAACTGTCTACAATGGAAACAGATAAAGTTTTCTGCCCTGGTTATATTATCATCATAATATTTCTTCAGGTATTCAGATTTCTTTCCTTGTCTGGGTACAAGAAGATTCTTGTGGAAGGTACTATACTTGAACAAGGGCTTACTTTTTGGGCTTTCAAAAGTTGGGAGGCTAAGGGTGGCCTATCCTTTCGGCTACACTGTTCTGTTTTCTTTTCTTTTGATTCCTCTTCACCTATAATCAGAACCGACACTGCATTCAGCTCTGCAACCTTTGTGATTAAATAACTTTTGTGAAATGCTTTTGAATGGAATATATCTCAGCATATCTTAATTCTAACTATTTCCGTATCCAGGTTGAAGTACTTTGCTTGCCTCTGGCAGAGGCCACTGATCTATCCGTGGATGACAATGTGGGCACTCAAGGTCTGATCCCAACACCCCCTTCAATGTTCTAAGAATTATTCTTTGGCACAGTTAATCTATTGCGGGTCAGTTATTTTTCATCAAAACTGGTACTGCTGGCAAGCTAGCTATCTGAACGGTGAACTGAATTGTGTAGTCCTCAGGGGAAATATATCGAAAGTTGAAGTTCTATAGCCAGTTACGCTTATTCCTCAAATTACATTACGATGTTTAAGACTATATGTCATCCAATTGTAGGCTTGGTGTTTAAGAATAAGACAAAAATAAAGATAGGTTGTGTGTTATCATACAAAGGCAAACAGTTTAGATGTAGCTATCATAGAACAGGCTCTAGTAAAGACCTTAAGCCCCTAATCATTAGTTTGATCAGAACGTAATTTGTCTCTGGCAATCTGTCATCATTGTTAAGATACATTAGCTGATTTGCTGGGTCCAGGTGGGCTAAATTCTCCCTTTATCTGCTCTTATTCCTTAAAAGCCATGTGAAGTTGTGGAGATTTGTGCCTCCTTTACTAATCAAGCTGGTTGATCGTACTTCACCATTTCATAATATTAAGTAAATACTAAATCACTGCACTTTTATATTTTAAATAGATTGCGTCATGTGTGTCCTTCCTGGTCACTCTAAGCTGTCGGATCGACCGACTTGTTTTACCATTCATGTTACATTACATTGGACACCTTGTTCCTTTTTCGTATCATATCGTTGCCACAAATCATAGACTCAGTTAAAGTTGTGCCATTATTCGTATTTACTAATGTACTTGTACATGATACGCTTGAGGCAGGAGGGAGCTAGATACGTAGAATAGCTTCCGATGGGATGGTTTTGGAGATACTCGCTATGTGTGGTGGGGAGAAGCATAAACTCGAAAAGGGGAAAGGAACCTAAAGCTGGGGCGGATGGATTGATAAAAAGGAAAAGTGGCCCACAAGCTATGCATCAGCAGCCGCAAGTTGGAGGGCCTCAAAAGCGCCCGGGACCCAGCTCTTGCACTTGCCATGTAGGCTTAGCAGAGGAACGTGTCGAAAGCCTGGCTATCACAGTACATTTGTTGGATAACCACCTTTTCTTTTTGATAGCTGCTGAGAGATCGTCACCATCATTGGTTCATTGCATACCTAGCTAGAATGAATTGGAGAGTATAATTCGATCATGGACCAACCAATTGTGTTGTCCCTAACCATAGTTCAAACGCATCCTAATCAGTGATCTCTTTTATTCTGATATGCCCATGTTTGTAGGATAAAATGGCTCTTTTAGCAGGCTCTTGCTGACTTCAGTAAAAGGACGGTGGTTTGTGGATATATTATATTTACTGAAAACCATAGTAAAATGAGATAACTGTGGGTCAAATGTGAACGAAATCATTTTGGTATTAGTGGGTCCTATTTTCACCTTGGATTTCTGGTTGCTCACTAGATCCAACAGAAGCCTTTTTCAATCCTTTCAGTGTGGACAGTTGTGAGCACAATCTTTAGAGCAAGTTTAATAGTATAGCCAAGTACTAGCTCCAAATCATCTAGAGCCAATGTAATAGCCAATTCATACAATAATTGCTTACTATACTATTAATACCCGGTCTCACCTGTCATACACTCGTTACGTCTTGGAGTCCGTGCTGCAGCTGGCTACAGATCTGTAGCCCGCTGCTCTTCCCTCTCTTCCTTTATCTCTTTAAAATATGTTTATAGCTGGTTTATAGCCCGCTATTGTACCTGCTCTTATTAGGGTCCTTTGTTTCTGGCAAATGGGCTTGCCAAATTTGTCACCTTGGATGGATGCTTGCCAAACTGTGAAAACTGAACAATGCAAGTGTCATTTGATTCCTTGATCTCATGGCTGTTGCATTTTTTTAGGGTCATGGCTATTGCATTCTAGTGTTATGGCTGTTGCATTTTTCATAATATATGTTGTTTATGTACTATTTTAAATCGTAAGCCAGCTCCTTGAAGTAGTTTTATGAGCATTCACCAATTATATCTTGACTTCCACTGCATGCATGCATGCATGCATGCATGCATGCACATTCGTTCAGAGTACTAACCTGAAGTTTGCACAATATACAGAAATCAATCAAAATATATTCAACACTAACTTTTCTCTTGATAGTATCTCCACAGGTGACCAGCTTAGTAGCTTACTGTCGGCCAGCAGGCTGCATCCATCACATCGGTTACCGAGCATGGCATCCACTCTTAAACACCCAGAACGGAAGAATGTACAGGTAAACTTGAGCTCAGCATTGTGCTTCTCAGTTGAGAGACAGTTAATCAGCTCCTTGACAAAGTATTAGTACTATAGTACATGGATTAGCTGCTAATCATGCAGGGCACACGCATCGAGGCAGGGCCCCCGGCAAAATCTACATGGGGGCGCGTGTGTGAACGTGACGTAAACCGTCAAAGGGAAGGGGGGGAGGCTGCCAGGGGCAAAAAAGCGCGCGAATCGAGTACCAACCTTGGGCCCCTCACTCTTTCCAACGAGAGCTGACTAGGCACAGCCATGGTGGCCCCACAAAGCAACCAATGGCATCTCTCCATCTCTGGAGCTACAGGGCCTCACTTTATTGGCAGCCAAAGACAAGGAGAGAAGATTGGGATATTTCTCTATTCACCGCTAAAGCTAACTGACACAAGACAACAGAAAGCAAAAGCACCCAAGGTGAGAGAGAGAGACATAGAGAGCGAGAGAGCTGTACATGGAGGAGTAGTAGCTTCTTGAGAAAGTTGGCAAGAATCCAAACATATACATAAAATACTCTCGGAAAACTTGCTATAAAGCACACTCCCTCCCGCAGCCCCTTTCCCTCCCTCTCTTGTTCTTCCTCTCTCATGTGCCATTAGCCAATAGCATCAAGGTCTCCTCTCTTCCTCCTCGATCCTCTTCATTTTGTCTTACTTGCATGACATTCTTGTTAACTCATCTATGTGTTATTGTATGTTGCAGGTTTTTGTACATTGTAGCTGATTATAATTCATTCATATAGCTATTCAAACAAGTTCGGTGGCTGTCCACATTTTAGCTTTGGATAGCCGGCTTGCCAGCTGCCTGCCTAGCTCTAAGCATCTCTTGCTGTTGGAGTTTTGAGAGGAAGGCTAGAGGAAGCATATGGCGCCCGTGAGTTTGCCTCCAGGTTTCAGGTTCCACCCCACCGATGAAGAACTAATCATCTACTACCTTAAGCGGAAGATCAACGGAAGACAGATAGAACTCGAAATCATTCCAGAGGTTGATCTTTACAAGTGTGAGCCTTGGGATCTGCCTGGTATGTTCTTAGTTTGCTTGTTCTAAAGATATCTATTCCTAGTTTTTATGTTGCTTGTTGGTGGTAGAAGTTAGAATGCTGTAGCCCATGCTAGGATATATATATTTCAATCCAACCCTAGGCCCATGCAGCTATCACCAATTGGCGTTCTTATATATCATTCTCTTGCTATATAGGAGTAACAGTTTCTTTCTTTTTGTTTTAAGGGTAGGAATAGCAGTTTCATGATATATAATTTGTATGAGACTTTTGTATAAATGCTATAAGGACAAGTTTTAAGTTTATATGCATGTTAAAATTCAGGTTAACAATTAACTATAGGCAAGCATGCACCTTTATTGTTCTCCAAGGAAAGCACATATATAGGTCCAGTATGTTTATTGGATGCCGTGTTATGTAGACACTAAGCAATCTTATTCAATTCTTATACTATTATGCCCTCCCAAGAAACACCAGTGCCTACACTACTTGAGGAAAGAATAACCACATGTTCCCTTCTTGATGAGCACTTCATCTAGCTATTTGTAGTTGAAATGTATGTAATAATAATCACTAATTAATCCTGGCTATAAATGTGTAGCTCTATCTGTTGTTTTAGTTTTTCTTTTATTTCACATAAGTAGCTTTTATGTCATTTATGTCACAAAAGAAAAGGTTTCCATGATTAATTCGTAAATTTTGGTACATTTGAATTGCTAGTTATATCAAAGCATATTTGATTTTTTTTCTCTTTATATATAAAAAATCAAGCATTGTCAAAAGCGATGTTTCACTGTCATAGCTTTGTGTGAAAACAAGATTAATCATACTGTGAAATTTGCTTTACTTTCAAACATCTTATGCACACCGAAAGGAGGGATATTGATAGATCTTGATCCTTTTGTCAAAAGAAATTTACCTTCAAAAAGAAACGTCAAATTTCTGCCAAGTGTAAAGGTGACATTATATACGTCCATGCACTGAGATACTTGAAATGGAAAATAAATCCTTTATATCAGTAACATCAAAGTTAAAGTTTATATATTTTGGACCATGTCACAATCACAGAGAGATTTGAGGAAAAGATATATTCTCTCTTTATCCACTTGCTGTTTGCTTTCAAGCTTGACAGTTTACTACAAAAACACCATGTAGCATTCAACATTCTACGAAGCGAGTGCTGTAAAAATATCGAATAAAAAGAGAAAATAAAGATGAGCCTTTTTTCTTGGGGTGACAAAATAAAGCAAGAAACTAAGAAAGGAACTTGTGATGAACATATAGGTCAAGAAGATGAACAAAAGTCCGCACAGCCTCCAAGAGATATAAAGTGACCTTGGTCTAATTTTCTTTCAGCTATGGTGGGCTATCATGTTAAATAGCCATATCTTAACTCTGTCATTAGATCCAATCATGATAGTAGACAAGTACTTCAATGTTTATGCTGCATGCATGATTATGTATGACTTTTTGTTTGTATGACACCCCCTAACTGATCGTTCAATATTCAGAAAAATCCTTTCTTCCGAGTAAAGATCTCGAATGGTACTTCTTCAGCCCTAGAGACCGCAAGTACCCAAATGGATCAAGGACGAACCGTGCAACAAAAGCCGGATACTGGAAGGCAACTGGGAAAGATCGAAAAGTGAACTCACAGAGGCGTGCAGTTGGTATGAAGAAGACTCTTGTGTACTACCGTGGTCGAGCTCCACATGGTTCTCGCACCGATTGGGTCATGCACGAGTACCGCCTCGATGAGAGGGAATGCGAGACTGACACTGGCTTACAGGTGTGTTACTATTAATCTTGTTGCATTTTTAAATCTACAACCATAATATATGGATAAACCATATATGTTATATTTAGCCCTTCTTTTCTGAAATTATAAACCTAGAGTAAAATATGTTACTAGCTGCTTGACATGGACGCGGCCTCTGATATGCAACCTCTTTGCATTTGTGTGTCTATATGTAGGATGCATATGCTTTATGCCGGGTGTTCAAGAAGACAGCGCCCGGGCCAAAGATCATAGAGCATTATGGTGTGGTGCACCACCATGTCGAGCAACCTCAATGGATGACGAGCAGTATCGATCGCTCCCCAACGTTGGACGTGTCGTGTGATGGAAGAGGTGATGACTTTGAGAGCAGCAGCTTCTCTTTCCCAACAGAGACGCCAATGGACTCCATGCACGGTGGGTTTGGAATGCAGATGAGTGCACCTCACGAGGATGGCAAATGGATGCAGTTTCTGAGTGAAGATGCCTTCAACGCCACCAATCCATTCTTGACGAACCCAGTTTCTGCCAACTTCTCATGCCTTCCATCCAAGGTACATATACATATATAGTCAAAAATGAAGGTTACTTACTGGTACAGATGACATGTATATTCAGGCAATGAGTTCTTACCGGTGCAATGATATTCATATGCAGGTGGATGTTGCACTGGAATGTGCGAGGCTGCAGCACAGGCTCACCTTGCCTCCCTTGGAGGTGGAGGATTTCCCACAGGACGTCAGCCTTGACACGAAGATTGGCATACTTCGCAGTAACCCCAACGAAGTTGACATTCTCCAAGAATTCCTGTCAGTTGCGACTGCCTCTCAGGAGCTAATTAATGGCTCCACCAGTAGCTACCCTGAAATGTGGTTAGGAGCTAGCACAAGCAGTGCTAGCTACGTCAATGAACTGTCCTCTCTAGTTGAGATGGGCGGCGTTGGCACTTCTAACCACCACGAATCCGCAAGGCTACAGGTCGAGATCGCTGACATGGAGGTGTTCAAGGACGAGAAGAAGCGGGTGGAGAACCTTAGAGGAGTCAAGTTGGTGAACAATGACCTTGGGGAGGTAATTGTTTGCATCATACCTATACAAGTATATTCCCATCATTATATATATACTACATCTCATGAGACTGATTACTTTCATGCTTCATTTGTCTCAAGCAGATTGTTGTAGAAGGAGATGAAAGCAATCCAACAGAAGACATCATCGCGCAGTACCCTATAAAAGTCACTGCAGATAATTCAGGTATGTAATATTTAATTTTGGCTGTTTTACATGGGCTCCACAGAAGTAATTAGCAGTATTCCATATTCGATACAGACTGTATACAGATACAGTTCTTGCATGCACTAACTCAGAGCTAGATTGCAGGAGAAGCCGGTCATCGCATGACCGATCCCACTGACGTAGGCGGCATCGACACTGCCCCGATCTTCTCGCAATCTCAACCTGACGACTTTGCTGCTGGTTTCGACGACGTCAACCCTAATGCATCTTTCGATCTGTACGAGAAGGTTGACGTCAACCACAGGCTATTCGTTTCAAGGGTCGCTGCGGCGAAGACATTCTTCCACCGCATTGAGCCATCGAAGAAGGTCAGCTTCCACTCGAACCCGGCAGCAACCGCCGTCAGTAAGGCGACCGAGAAGTTCCATTTCCCCGTTACGACCAAAGTTAGTGGTAGGGTTTCCATTTTTAGCAAGTTCAAGGCACTCATAAGGGACAAGTTCTTGATGATGAGGCCATCACATTCATACCAAAGGTTGGGCAGCAAAGAAACCACAGTGAATGAGCTGCTGCAGATTGTGTCACTCCTTTTAGCACCGAAGCAAATCAATGGCTGCCCTACTGAGCAAGAGCTGGTCAAGAAGAAGGCGAAAGAAGTGATGAAGCCGGGATGGGGTCGTGAAGGGAGCAACAAATTGTGGCTTCCGCTCTCCAAAGGGAAGGGCATTTCCAGCATGTTTTTGAGTGGGAAATGGACGTTTCTAACCTCCGCGTTGGCCATCAGCACTCCAGCTGAGTGCGATCACTAAAAGGTCTTTTCCATGACTGTCAATTAATGACACTACTGTTATATAATCTGCTATAACCTCAGTAGCGCGAGCCTAGCTAGTGCATGAAGAGAAGGTTAACATTAATTAACTGTCTTCGTGTCTCTGTTATTAACTGGTGTATAACTGGAGAATGTATGTCAATTAATTATTATTTGTTCGTCGTCCATTCTAAGTCTAACCCTGTTGTATCAAAATACTATCGTTAATTTGTAAGTGCAAATACAGATGTATACATATATATACATGTAAACACACATAATGTTCAATATTAATTGTATTTGTTTCATTCACGGTGGCGGCCAATTTGAGCTCTGAATGTCGTGATAATGGTTGGCATTGTATTTGGCGGTCTACTGAATGAGAGATGCCCTCTTGGTCAAAGCTAGACTCACATTGACTGTAGCATGTTTGATCTTAGCTAGATGTACTCGTCTGCAGCAAGCGGTGCAGATGTTCTAGTGCTAGTGCGGCTGATCGATTTGTTTGGTTTTCACGATTCGCACACCACACACGCTGCCTTACATGGTGCGGCGAGCCGGCGATGAACCTTAAGCTAGCAAAGCTGGCAGCTCTTCTTCCAAATGCTACTGCACAAAGTTAAGAAAACCTATCCTATCAGCAATACAACTGTAAACTGTACCAGACTCATCTCTCCTAGGAAGTGGATCCTCTTAACTTCTGTTCAGGGTGCAGCGTTTCCACCACTTCGCCGCCATGGAGATGGACGCAGAGCTGTGGCGCTTAACCCCGTCCGAGAAGGCAGAGCTAAGCCATCGCCGCAGGCCGACCATGGTATGGTGGCAAGCAGATCGGAGCAACGCGAGCCACCATTGGGGGGTGAATTTGGGGGCGGTGGTGGTGGCGGCTCCCGCCCCAGAGTTTACTTTACCGCCAGTAACCGTGCGGTTACCGCGGTTACGGGCTTATCGTGGGGGCACGGTAATATAAATACTATGGTAACATCTTTAAATTTAAATAAATTTAAAAAAATTAAATTTTTGATAAAATTTGCACGGCTTTTCACGGTTACCTACCGTCGGGGTACGGTAAACCCGGTCCTGACGGTTTGGGAAACCTGGCCCGCCCCCGCGCGCTCTCCCCGACCCGGAGTCCACGCGACGACACGCATATATCGTCTTTACGAGCCATGAGCCTATGACACCTGGGGACGACGACAAGTACTCTCCACAACCTTTTCTGCCCAGTAACGCAACAATGGCGAAGGGATCGCCGACGCGGCCGATGAAGCAGAGCAGAGCGTCGCTGCCTAATGCGTCTTCGCTACTGCGAAATTTGTCTCGGGAGTCATCTCTGCTCCATGTATCGTTGTTCTTCGCTTTGTGAATGGAGTGCCGGCGGCCTGCGAGCAGCCTCCTCCAGTTGGATCGCCGGCGGCCTGCGTGCAGCCTGCCCAACAACGTTGAAAGACTACTTGTGCTTTTGTAGCCGATGTCGGCAAGAACCTGGTATTCCCTCTCTTCACTGCGTGGATTGCTGTGTTTGCCTCTGCTATGCATGGTCGCCACCACCCTCGTCGCCGCCACCCTCGTCGCCGTTCCGGACAGACTCGTCCACCAAGCCGCGTCGTGGACCGTGGCCGAACACCTTACAGGCGCCCGGGAACGGCTCGGCCTCCCCTTGGGGTCGCGGAACGCGCCCCGGCCCACACGTCAGCGTCAGAGCCCCCATGACAGCAGCTGTCAGCCTCCCTAGCCCACGCGTCAGTGGCCGAGCGCCAACAGCTCTCACGCACACGGGCCCACGCGTCAGCGCGCACACGCATCCAATCCTGGGCCACGCTAAGCGCGCACAGCTGCGCGTTGGGCTGCCCAAAGGCCGTCGCTTCCCAAGCCGTCGTCCCCCTTTTGTTGGGCCGCCATCCCTTATCGGGCTGTCTAGCCAAGCTGGGCAGAGCCGCCCATTTGTTGGGCCGCCGTTTCACCTTGGGCCACCAAACCATTTTGTGCCGGCACCTTCACTACCAAATCGAATGAAGGCAGGTACATGCCCCCAGAGAACTTTTGTTGATAAATGGCACAAAGTCTAGATGTCATTTCTTGGAATGTACGAGGATTAAATTCACCTGCGCGCTGCAACACGGTCCACGAGCTTATGCTGGACACAAAGTGCACCTTAGCCTGCTTCCAAGAGACAAAGCTCCAGAACATAGACGACGGACTCGCTCGTTTCCTAGGAGGCTACAAGCTCGATAAATTCGCTTTTAAACCGGCAAGAGGCACGAGAGGAGGAATCCTCCTCCTTTGGAACAGTGGAGTTTTGGATGTCCAAGAGGTTCGAATCGGCCGCTTCTCAGTCTCCGCACAAGTGACGCCCATAGTCACAGGAACCACGTTCCTACTCACTGCCGTCTACGGGCCCACTAGGCACCATCTCAAGGACGCTTTCCTCCGGCATATCAGAAGACTAAGGCCCAGCTCCGGGGAAGGGTGGCTAATCCTTGGAGACTTCAACATGATCTACCGAGCACAAGACAAAAATAATAGCAATATCAACCTAGCACGCATGAGACGTTTCCGATCAGTCATTGACAGATGTGAGCTCCATGAGATTCCCCTGCAGAATAGGAAGTTTACCTAGAGCAACGAGCGTCGAAGGGCCACCCTCGTCAAACTTGATCGATGCTTTTGCAATGAGGAATGGGACCTTGCTTTCCCCCACCATGTCCTTCATGCCTTACCTACTGGACCTTCTGACCATTGCCCGCTGGTCCTCTCCAACCCGCATTGCCCACGCAGTCCGAGGAGATTCAAGTTTGAAAATTTCTGGACAAGGATACCGGGGTTCAAGGACAAAGTCAAGGCTCTCTAGAGCCAGTCATCGTCGCACACCGAGCCTATGCACCGGCTCAACCAAAAGCTCCAGCGCACTGCGGTCGGTCTTAGAGATTGGGCAAAAGGCATCTGCACGGAGGCCAAGCTGCAGTTCCACATGGCGCTCGACGTCATCCAAAGGCTCGATGTTGCTCAAGAGCACAGAGATCTATCACCTCAGGAAATGTGGCTGAGAGCCGCCCTCAAGCGAAAAATCCTCGGACTCGCTTCCATCGAACGAGCAAGGAAAAAACAGGCCTCCAGGGTAACCCACATCCGGGAAGGCGATGCGAACACGAAATTCTTCCACCTCAAGATCAATGTGCGTAAAAGAAAAAACACTATCCAGAGACTGCGAAAGGATAATGGCTGGGCGGTAACGCATGGGGAAAAGGAATCAACAATCCATGACCATTTTGCGAGCTTCATGGGCCGGTCGGGGCCGAGGCCAAATGAACTGAATTGGGAAGCACTGGACATCATGCCGGTCGATCTAGCCACTCTGGGGAAACCGTTCTCCGAGGAGGAAGTGCATAGAGCAATTAAGGAAATGCCAGCCGATAAAGCACCAGGACCAGATGGCTTCACTGGGGCTTTCTTTAAAGCTTGTTGGGAAATCATCAAGGAGGACATTCTACTAGTGTTCAACTCCATCTTCAATCTTAGGTGTGCGCACCTCAACCTAATCAACTCAGCGAACATTGTCCTAATCCCAAAAAAGGATGGGGCCGAGAGTGTTTCAGACTACAGGCCAATTAGCCTGATCCATAGCATTGCCAAGATCTTCTCAAAGTTGCTTGCATTGCGTCTCAGGCCCCACATGCATGCCTTGATCTCGGTCAACCAAAGTGCTTTCATAAAAGGGAGAAGTATCCATGACAACTTCCTTTTTGTGTGGAACATGGCCAGAAGTTATCACCGCCTGAGACGGGCAAAGTTGCTTTTCAAGCTCGACATAACGAAGGCTTTCGACTCGGTGCGTTGGGACTACCTCCTGGCCTTGCTGCAGCAAAGGGGCTTCCCGACAAGGTGGGTGGATTGGCTAGGGGCTCTGCTATCCACTTCCACCTCCCAAGTCCTCCTCAATGGCTCGCCGGGGCAACGAATCAAGCATGGAAGAGGACTCCGGCAAGGGGACCCCCTCTCGCCGCTTCTCTTCATCTTGGCGATAGACCCTCTACAGCGTATTCTCTCCAAGGCAACAGAGCTAGGCGTAATCTCAAAACTTCGGGGAAGAACGACTCGACTGCGGATCTCGATGTACGCGGATGATGCTGTCATCTTCATTAATCCCACCCGAGGCGATGTCACGGCTTTCGCGGACATCCTACATCGTTTCGGCACAGCCACTGGACTTGTCACCAACCTCCAAAAATCACAAGTAGCGGCCATCAGATGTGACAACATAGACCTGACTGAGGTCCTCCAGGGCATCCCAGCAATGAGGGCAAATTTTCCCCTAAAATACTTGGGCCTCCCCCTAGTTCTGGGAAGGATGCGGAAAACAGATTTACAACCAGTCTTCGACAAGATATCAGGGAGGGTTGCAAGCTGGAGGGGTAAGAACATGGAAGCTGCCGGGAGGACCACGCTCGTCAAATCTGTGCTCTCAGCGCAGCCAATTTACCTCCTGACTGCCTTGAAGGTGACAAAGGAGTCTTTGGAGCAACTGGACAAGCAGCGACGACGATTCCTCTGGGCAGGCACGAGTGATATCACCGGGGGAAAATGTAAAGTCAATTGGACAAAGACGTGTTTGCCGACCAGCCAGGGGGGCTTGGGAGTCCTAAATCTGGACAAGTTCACTAGGGCCTTGAGATTGCGGTGGCTTTGGCATGAATGGAAGGATCCTACCAAGCCGTGGGCGGGACTGGAGACGCCTTGTGACGGTTTAAACAAGGACCTTTTCGCCGCCGCGACAAAGGTAGCCGTCGGAGATGGGAATACGGCACGCTTCTGGGACGCCGCATGGATTGATGGGCAAAGACCAAAAGACCTCATGCCACTTGTCTATGCTATCTCCAAAAATAGAGGAAAGTCCCTGCGCCAAGGAAAAGAGGGTGACGCCTGGGTGAATGATCTGACCTTCGATGCGGCCACGCCTATCACAATCAGCCTTGTCGAGCAACTGGTCTGCCTGTGGGAAACGGTTCGGAATGTGCATCTAAACAGTGAAGAGCCAAACCAGATTGCCTGGAAATTCACAGCTAATGGGCACTACACAGCCTCCTCGGCCTATCATGCGCAGTGCTTAGGGGCGCCAAACTCAAATCTAAACTCCCTGATTTGGAAAGTCTGGGCGCCGGGAAAATGCAAATTCCATGCTTGGCTCATCATCCAAAATAGAGTTTGGACATCTGACCGCCTTGCAACAAGAGGCTGGCAAAATAATGGGCATTGCCCTCTCTGCCGTTCTGAACCTGAGACAGGAATACACCTAGTCGGCAAGTGCAGATACACGAAGAGAATCTGGAGCCTAGTTGCTTCTTGGACGGGTTATCAGCAATTGGAGCCTAATGAGTGGGAGGAAGCACGGTCAGTCCAACATTAGTGGGAGAGTTTAGCAAATACACCTGGCGTCCCAAAAAAGGGCCTTCGATCCCTCATTATGCTAGTCGTCTGGGAAATTTGGAAGGAGAGGAACAGACGGATATTCGACCACAAAGAGATGGCAACAGGCTTCCTCCTATCAAGAATCAAGGACGAGGCTAGTCTTTGGGCTCTAGCGGGAGCTAAAAGATTGCGCGATCTAGTCCCGCACTTTGTATAGTGTATACCATAGTTCTCTTTCTTTACCCTTAGGGGTTGTATTTTCTCCTGCTCTATTCAATGAAAAGGCACATCTGTGCTGTTTTTTCCGTTCAAAAAAAAATAATGGATGGATCCTCCATTATTTTCACGAGAATCCTACCGATTCCGCGCCGTGACAAAAAGAGGCCGCCACTCTCCAGCTCTTCTTCCGAGTAACACCACCACACCTGTCTGTCACGTACGGCCTCCCTCGCTCACGGGCTCCCTATCAGACATTCAGACTAGACTACTACTACAACCACAATGCCCGACAATAATGCCAAAACGGAAGAAAAGAAAAGAAACAGCAATGCCCAACTCGAGCTAGTCTTGTTACTATCTTATACTAGCTACTTCAGAAGTTTTCAGGCTCATCCGAGTAAGAAGAGATCGGTGATGGGTTATAAGTGTAGTAGCTGCCTGCAGGCGGTGGTGCTGTGGCAGTTGCTCCTGCCGTGGACGCACATTGCGGTGGCGGCTGGCGCGAAGAGCTCGTCGCCGGCGGGGAAGCCGAAGGCCGCGGCGCCGCCGGTGGTGGCCGGGCCGGTGTCCAAGGTGGAGGACGCCACCAGGTTCCAGATATACTACGGCCAGAGCTTCAAAGTCGTCAAGAACAACTGGAACGGCAAGAGCTACCTTCTAATGCAGGTAGGTACAGTACGCATTGCTCTTGCACAAAAAATGGCACATAAACCTCTGCTGATTTTTTGGGATTTGGTGAGCTGCGTAGAACACATCCAAGATGGCCACCAAGACCAAGTATTGCACGGGGAGGATTAAGTCGTTCGTTATCCCTCTTGCCAATTACTCCGTCGACACCACGGCTTCTCCAGGTAGAAATCAAGCACACCCTGGATTATGTATGCATTTATGCTTGCACTGAAGTTTAATCCACTGTTATATAGTTGTTATGTTAACCATTCGATATTAATATGTGTACAAAGTATGATCTAGCAAAGACTGCATTTCAATTCAAACGGTCTCTGTTCGGAGTGGCGCCATAGCTTGCAACAGTTACATAATGCAAACTGACACACTGAAAGCAGCACATACGAAACTTCAATTCGATATTTTTCGTTCAAATCTTCAATTTGTTTCATAGCAAGTACTTAGAGTTGCTTTTTCTTTTTTGTACACAATATAGGAAACTGATCAGATTACTGTTCTTTCCTGTTTCATCTGCAGTGTCATTCTTCGAGGTGAGCAATGCGGGACAAATTAAGTACTGTTCAATGCGGAATCTGTACAATCGTAGATAATGAAGCAAAAGCAACAGCTGAAACTGAACAGGAAAAACATATCATCTGTAGAAGCAAATGTTTTATGCCTCTGACTCTCATATTAATTGATCCCTGCAGCACTTTTTGACACTCTATGCAGCTACTTGGAGTATTACAAAACTTGAAGGGGATAACATCTGATCAAATTGCCTCCCAGTGTGTGCTCCAATCATATGCAAGTGGAAATGTCCAGCTTTTTAACAAGACCGATGCACAGATGCTCACACAATTTAGTGCACATTTCTTGAGCACTACAGATGAAGGCTGCAATTTCGCAGCTTATGTACCCTCTGAAGAGGGGACACCATTGCAAGTAAACAATGATTATTTTTTTTAATGCTCCATTTGAAATATTACAGCATTCAAACACACTAATATTGTGTTTCAAACGTCTATGTCCAGAGGGCTGAGTGGATCAAGTACTTGGGAGCTTTCACAAATTCAGAAGATAGGGCTAACACAGTTTATGACGCAGTTAAGACCAGCAAATTTAACTTTATTTGCATTGATATGACCATGCAAGAACTTTGTCATTTATGCGCTCATAATGCATTTACTATAGTACCACTTTAAAGTAACTGTAGTTTGTAATTTGCTTTTTGTTGTAAAGGCGGTGCTCTGACGCACTGCATTTGTACAGTTTTCCCCTTTTACTTAATATACATCGGTCGGCATTCTTCGCCGTCCCGGCGAAAAAAAAAGTAACTGTAGTTTCATTAGCACAAAGAAACTAGTTTAAGACCACTTTAGTTTGCAATGTCCAATCAAGTACCTATAGACAATTGATCTCATTTATCTAGCATGTCGATGCAGATAAAGGCAAACTACTTATGCTTAAGCAAAGCAGCTGCGAATCTTAGCACAAGATTCAAACCTATAGTGGCATGGATTGAATTCACACAGGTAAGCAGTTTACTAAATAAAATCATCACTTTCTGGTCCATATAAGTAACTTTTGGAATGCACCATACTTTGTTGTCAATATGTTCCTTCTACCACTGTAGGGTATGTGGACATTTGTTAGTGATGGTTGGATTGTACAGGTAATGTCATTTGTTTATTGCAGCACTTTGAACATAAAACTGTCAACTAAACAAATGAAATGGAGACAACTCATGCGCATTTGGTATTTATGCCATAAGCAGTATGTCACAGATGCAGGAGCAGAGGTTGTTGATGCAACTATTACTAATAAGAGATTCAACAATTCTGATCCAGAGGATATGGATAACTTCCATGCTATTCTTTGTGTGAGTATCGATAATACATAACTGTCAGAGTAATCATCTGTCTCACTATTTCTCATGATGCACTAAAGATCCATCGTTTCTTTTTGGAGAGCTGGAGAACTGTTACTTAGTTAAAATAATGTCAGAATGCTAATACTAGACAAGGGCAAAATTGGACATTTCTATGAAACACCAAAGGTTTTAGTACTTCACAAAAGTTTTAAATGACCCTCACTTGTTAAGCATCTAACATTAAGCTTTGGTTTATGTATTTTTCAGACAGTTGATGTGGTCATAGATCAGACATATGCTTCAGATCCTGCAGAGTACAAACTATCCACATTCTTGGAGAGCATTAATGTGGACCGTGACTCTTGTTTTAGTTTTGTAGCCAACCGTAGCATATGGAGATTTGATAAAAGAATAGGATATTCGAAGAAACTTGGTAATTCTTTTCTCTATGCTCTACACTAGGTCTCTTGATATAGTTTTGTTTTTGTGTTTTTACAAAACCATGCTCAAACTCCAGTGCCATGTTTTTCAACCTATGTAAAGGTCTAATGGAGTTTTGCTTTTGCTTTTCTTTTTTTTTTTAAAAAAAAGATTGGTTCGATGGAGCTATCTCCCAGCCCCAGTTGGTTCTTGCTGATCTAATAGAAATTTTCTTTCCAACGGGGAATTACACAACAATTTACTTCAGGAATCTAATGAAGGTATTGCTGCTAATGCCCAGGCTAACTATTTTTTTTCTTAATTTAAACTAATTCACTCACTCTCCAGAACAAGGTTACTTATCAGTAAAACAATGATTACTCAGGATGAAGGGGTCACTGAAGTTGTCCCCGAAATGTGTAGTAGAAGCATATCAACACCCATGGAGCCAACAATCTTGCCCTGCCAGTGATGACCTTAGATGAATATGAAGACAGAGGACCTTACAGCTACTGTACCCACAAAACTATGGCAATTAACCACTGAGACCATTACAGGTTGCCGATAAAGTGATTTGAAGTTTTAAACAAAGCAGACTAGATTGCATATTTGAGAAAGAATCATGGTGACAAAGGACAATGATGTCTAAGGAATACTATGTATCTATCTCATCATTTGACAATGAAAGAATTGTTCTCAATATATGATATTTCAATATCTTCTTGAATAATCTCCTAAATATAGTATAAGATTGAGGTACTAACTGTTGTAATTTCAGTTACTGTTGGTTACAGTATTTGGGTTATCTTTGTGTGATACAGACAGGAAACTGTGAAAAGAGCACTGAAATAATGAGTACTATAGTTGAACTCTGGGTTAATTTATAGTCAGAAATAAGTTGAACAACTCCTGTTCTTGTCAAGTAAAATTGGAGTCAACAGAGTACACTGTCTCATGTATTCTCATGCCTATGGACCTATCGGGCTATCACAAACACGTTAGATAGGAATCATAACATCATCCATAGATTCAGGTAAAGGAATTTCACATTTTACCCATTGAAATGATCCTTTATTAAATTTATATATCAGAAAAGAGATTCCAATCTATTAGTTTGGACGGTCTGGAGTATCTCTATTCCATGACAAGTACGAGGGGTCTCCAAGAGTCCTGAAAGGAATCAAGCATGATTTTCTTAGTGCAACAGTTCGAAGTTCAAATTTCTTCAAAAAAATATACATGGTATGTTCGGCAATATCAACCATGTCAATGCTGAACATTGCATTACGCTGGTCCCTAGAGCTCAGGTTTCCTACTTAGGACATCCTCAATGTTGAAGATCAATTGAGCCATAAGATGAGACCCACATTCTTATGTTTTTTTACCTATAGTACATGCTACAATGTACTCCCTCCATCTACTTTTGATAGGTATATTTCAAAATCTGAAAAATTTATTTTTGATAGGCATATTTCAATCCAACCACCTATCCTCTTAATGATTTTATTGGATTTAATGCGTGACTCTCCATTCTTCCACACAAGATTGGCTACATAGGCATCGAGAAATGTAAATATTAATGAATCACTTGTTTACGAGGAATAACTAGTAGCATGTTTAAATGGATGATACGTAGAATTACTTATCCTTGGTCATTGTGCCAAGATGAAATATGACTATCAAAAGTAGATGGAGGGAGTATATGGTAGCTTCTTGACCTTAAGGTGGGACCCACTGAGAAAAAACACATATTTACTCAAGATTGAAAGTGTGCATGCATGTTGTAAAGCCATGATATATTTTTTTAATTCTTATGGTATAGCCTTAAGCTTAAGGTTGCCCATAGCACTATTCTCTCCCTAGCTCATCTCCCAATGTATAAAGGTACAACAAAAATTACTACTTTATTCCTTAAGTTTAGTTTTCATGCACATTGTGGTTGCCCTAAAGCAACGATGGAAATAAATAGTTCTATATCGCATCTTCGTACCAAAATTAGCACAATGATGAAGCGCGTCATACATAATCAGGTAAAAATACATGGAAATAACAGAATAGCAGGCTCCCCATGAAGGGATCATGTGCGAGGGAGGTAATCCTCAAAACATGCATGTGTGCATATGAAATAGTAGCGAGCACATTATACCAGCAAGGCAGCAATAACATGGCGTACCTTGGTTTAACCATGTAGAGAAGAACTACGAAGCCCACTGCAAGGAAAATGCATAGGCCTCCGATAGTCAGATATGCAACACCAATGAAGTTGTTTTTGCCTCCAATCCAAGAAGTAGTTGAAAGGACCAACGCTTTAGACCCTCCAAAACTATATGTGTTATAGTTATTCTGTATAACCACTGTTAATTGATCATTTGCCATAATATCTGTCTCGATTCTGCCATAAAGCTTTCTGAAAGTTGGGAGGGCAGCGGTTCTCATCCAAACAATGAGGTCTTCTTGCTCACTTAACTATTTATGACAGGAGAGACAGAAAAAACAAAATGTCAATGAGACGAAAATGTATGAAATAAAGGTAACAAAATATGCCATGTCGTACATAGGGGAAAAACACATACAGGTATGCTCTCATTTAGTTTAGCACCGCCTATTAGACTGCCCTTCTGAAAATTACTTGGGTAAATATCACTGCCAAATTTATCGGTCTTGTCACTCTTCCAAGCTATATCCTTTTTATTCACTTCAATGGCCTTCTTGTTCACCGAAATTGTATATGTATCATTGAACAAGCTCCAAGCAATAAGGCCACATGGAATAATTGGAGCACCATCAACAGTATTACCTTCAGGATCACAATCCTTTGTCAAGTGCACAGCATTCTTATACCGCAATTGTTTATCACTTCGACTTTTCACATACCTATATACATAAGAAGTCAACAATTGGTCAGATTATATCAACATAAGTCATGCAGACAGGATGCTCTCAAAGTACACATAATTCAAATCAAATGATGTCCAGTAAGAATACAATAAATTTAGGGATCAAATCAAAAGGTGTCAAACCGGTAATTTCATATTTCTTATAAATCCCAAACTGGAATAAAAAAGGAAGTATTTTTTTAAAAAAAACAAAATGAGGAATGTCATGCACGAATTACCGTCGATGGTTTTGATAGAAGTCGCCGATCTGGTAATATATCTGGATTGGGCTCTTCATATGTTTAGGCACCTAACACATACAACAAAAAGATAATCCATCATGGATCTTTTTTTTTCTTTAGCAAAAACAATTGAATGCATATTTCTAAGAGATGGTAAGGGCCAACATGATAAGTGGTAGGCAAGGTATATTGACATTTCCATTCGATACTCACAGTCAGTGTTCTTGTGCATGTCTTGTCAGTATCGGTGTTCTGAATGAACCCAACCTTGTCAAGCGTGGACACACAATTTGTGTCATATCGATCCACCAGTTCGACGATCTACAATGTACCCGAGTAATAGAATAAACAAATGCACCATAAAAATGACAAAAGACAACAACAATCTGGCCACGCAAATTTGCATTTACCTCTTGCGATGCAGATAGAGACGCGAGCCCAATTGGGACAAATATGATACCAATCAGCAAGAAGGTAGCAACCACCTATGTATTTTCACGTACAATCGCATAAAAGGAACTCATAAATCTAATAGGTAGTATAATATGCATATTTGAAGATAGTAAAATTGGTGATGGGCAAGTTACAATTCCAGGAGTTAGTAGTGGCTTGCATGCTGGAAGCTCCTGTTGCGTAAACTTAGAATCTGCATACAAAATAAATCATCAACCCCATGAAACAATATAAAAATCCCTAAAGCAATACAACATGTATTCGAGGCCAATTAAAAAATGGCACGGGGACAAAAAGAGAGTACATTTGGGCTTATTGTTGGATTTCTGTGAGCCACCTTCAGATTCCAAAGGATCCATCTGTATGAGAAACCAAAATGGAAGCAGAAACTTTTAACAATTTACACACACGGAAATGGAAAACGAAACAGGAGCCCGACACAACTGGATTAGTGAGAACTACAGAACACAGAATCTTCAACGCCATCAGAATCAAAACCTGTGGAGTTTGGGGTGATGGGGACCCACTAGATACTAAACAAAACCCTCCATAGAAAAAGACAGTCTCTTTTACTCACTAATATAATGGCCCATCACGATATGACTGCCTCTTTCATGCTTTATCTCCTCTGTCTCTGTCTAAACCGTGATTACGTGATAATGATACCTTTAACCCTACCAAGACCACACCCATATCTACGTCCGCCAATCGCATGGGGATCGCGACATCTCACCCTAATCGCGCACAGGAGACCTAATTTTTCTCCGTTTCACATGCATCCGCGCACCCCCGAGCGGCACCAAAATTGTGATTACAACCAAACAGTACAAGGCCATAGATACGGAATCGAATCGGAGAAATCGAGGGAGGGATTGGAGCTGGCGAGATCGAAGCATAGGGAAGCTTACCGCGGCGACCCCGATCACCCCCTCTGCTTGATGACGAGGGGGAGGAGGAGGAGGTGAGGCCCCGGTGGTGGGCGACCTCCGGTGTGGGTGGGCGGTGGAGAATGGCGGAGAGCGACGGCGAGAGTGGGAGAGAGAGAGAACCGAGAAATTTCATTATTTGACATCCAATTCGCAGGCCTTTCAGGGCAAGCCACTCAATACACATTCCTTTCAGATTTTGTCACTGAGATAGCGAATTCCTTTATTCCGTGCCACTCCGTCGCCGATCCGTCCGTCCGTCCCCAACGCCAGCTTTTCCGTCGTCTTCTCCACCTCGTCACGCTCGTCACCGGCGCCGGCGTGGGCTGCGCTCTAGAGGGGCTCGAGCTCAGATTCCGGTGTGGATGTCAGGAACCAGTCGTCTTGTAATCTCGCAAAGCAGCAGCCGATCGAAACGGGCGAGCCGAGACGCACGAGGCGGGGCCAGCCGCAGACGTCGCGGCCGCCCTCCACACCGCAGAATCGTTGGGCAACTCGGAGAAGAAATTTCCAGCGTCTTCCACCTCGACGTAGCCGGCGAGCGGCCACCTTCGCGAACCCGGGCCACATCGGGAACGAAGGCCATATCTAATCCCGCAGACGTGCGACCTCAGCACCAGGCAGAACTGCAGAGCTAATCTCTTCCATGCCATAATCAGCAAAAAATTGTTAATCTTCCCAAACAAATGCATTGAGAAAACTGACAGAGGAATCTACTGTTTTCATTGATAAACTACCAAGCGTGCTCCTCAGAAGTCAGAACGAAGAAGAAAGAAATCACATTACGCAACTAATTGATGGGAGAGAACGAAGAAACTAGGGAAGAAATTAGCGAGCTGCAATTAACACACAAGCTATATCTATGCACAATCAGTTGCTGCTGCTTCGCAAGATTAGAGACGACTGGTTCCTCCCATCCGTGCCGGAGTCCGAGCTCGAGCCCCTCCAACTCTCCAAGAGTTTGGCCCACGCCGGCGCCGGTGACGAGCGTGACGAGGTGGGGAAGACGACGGAAAAGCTGGCGTTGGGGACGGACGGACGGATCGGCGACGGAGTGGCACGGAATAAAGGAATTTGCTATCTCAGTGACAAAATCTGAAAGGAGTGTGTATTGAGTGGCTTGCCCTGAAAGGCCTACGAATTGGATATCAAATAATGAAATTTCTCGAGAGAACCCGAGGTAACACGTTTCTCTCGCAGTGGCACGCGTCGACCCAATCGCTGAAATTATTCACGTGGGCTGACAAGGTGAGGCCCAATTCAAGATACCACATGTCCCCAGGCCCATTCGGGAGGATTGAGACCCAATTTGCTTGGGACGGCCCGGCTTGGTTTTGATACCTGGGCCGACGAGATTAGGCCCATTTGGGTGTCAGTTTGCCCTTGCAATTTCAGGGATTCAGATAGTTGTCACATGCGAGTACACGGCAAGAACATGCCTCAAATCTGCCGCATTACGAGCAATTAATTAATTAGCTTTGATCTGGCTGATGATGAACAGCCGCTGATTCTCGTATAATCTCAAGAGGAAATCTCATGGGGTCATTAATGTTGACAAAGATCCTAAAAAAATATATAAATTAAATAATAAAAAATCTGAGCACAAGTGGTGGTGTCCGCGTGGGCGTAGAAGAAGAAGAAGAGTCCCATGGACGTGATCTGGTCAGCGATCACCGGCGGCGGCGGCGGCGGGGCGGGGGCGGAGGATGCGGCACTGCTCGGAGACCTTCTGCTGGAGGTAATACGGGTGGAGGGGGTGGTCGCGGTCGAGGAATCCCCAGCGGCGGGCGTTGCGGGTGATCTTCAACAGCCGGAGCAGCAGCGCCTCCGCCATGTCGCCGTCCCGGTCACGCGCCACGAACCGCGCCACCCGCTCGATCCGCTGCCTCTCCTCCGCCGACGCCGACGCCGATGGCGCCTCCATTGATCGTCTCGTCGGAATCCGCTTGAACAGATCGATTAGACGGGGGAGAGGAGATCGATCGGTTGATGGCGGGCGCTGCGATTTCCTAGCCTTTTATAGCGCGCGGAGAGGATGACTGGACGAGTGGCAATCTGTAGATTTGAAAGAGGCACGGAGAGCACTACAGGAAACAATTTTTAGCCTTTTATATCATCTCCATATATGGCTTTTTTCGCATCCGTCCATCCGGGCCATATATGGCTTGTGTACGTGGGTTTACAAGGTAAAAGTGGCAGCTTTCTTCTAAAACAGTCAGGCCCTGGCCCTGTTTAGATTTTAATTTTTTTTCTTCAAACTTTCAACTTTTCCGTCACATCGAATTTTCCTATACAAACAAACTTTCAACTTTTCCGTCACATCATTCCAAATTCTTCAAACTTTCAACTTTAGCGTGGAACTAAACACAGCCTAAAATTTCCCCCTCCCCAATCGAAACCAGGCTTGATCGCGCTGCACTCTGAATAACAGCGAGATTTAATTCCTCGTCGTCGCTACGAGTAATAATATATACTCTCTCCGTCTCAAAAAAAGGCAAACCCTGGGTTTCCGTGTCCAACTTTGACTGTCCGTCTTATATGAAATTTTTTTATAATTCGTATTTTCATTGTTGTTAGATCATAAAACATGATTAATATTTTAGGCGTGACTTATCTTTTTAATTTTTTCATATTTTTTTAAATAAGACGGACGATCAAACGTTAAGCACGGAAACCAGGGTTTGTCTTTTTTTTTTTTGACGGAGGGAGTAGTTATGCAGGTAGATACGCCCTGATTCTATCAGTGAAATCGAGAGGACAAAAATGGCGACTCATTGGCATTGATCACTGAACGATGAACCAACCAGTAGCGAATATTTTACATGGTCGTGCAAGGAGCAAGTATTTTTCTTCTACCCAAATAACAGATGATCATGGCAGAGTGAAGAATCACAGGCACCAGCACCAGCAGGAGATTGAGGAAGGTATGTGCCCGGTTTTCCGGATCTGAGCCGCCTGCTCTTCAGTTCTTGCTGCTTCTTGGTTCTTCCTGGACTCAGCGGCCTCCCTCCTCGCCTCTGCCTTGTGCCTTGCAGCTGCCAACTTGCTCGAAAGCCTGTCCTGCTCGCGAGCTCTCTTGATCTCTATCTTTGCCTGCAATTCAGTCAGAGGTAGGTGATTGTCAGAAATTGAAATTGCCTGAAGCTTCTTGGGTTTCTGTTCAATTCTGTGTCTTGGACTTGGATAGATGTGTCATGAGATAAACTCATAAACAGTCCCATTCCAATGCAGAATAAGACACTTTTGGTGCTAATGATGTACTCCTAGCCCTTTTGCAGAGAAAGTTTAATGATTTTGACAAGTTACTGAAGCTATTTTATCCAGTGATAAAAACTAGGAAACTGCATATATTGGCCTGGTTGAAGAGTATACATGGTATCATCATCAAAATAATCAAAGGGAGATCGATGGTCTACCTCCATCCTCTTCATTTCAGCTTCAATTTTTGCTTTCTGGTGGTTTTCCCAAGCTTGAATCTTTACCTCTTCCCTCTGAAACCTAGAATTGCAGGGTAGGAGAAAAAAGAAAGATAAACATGCTGTCAGGGAAATGTGCAAATTCTTCAGATAAGCCTAGCAATATGAAGTTTTGATTTCCTTGCCATGCGTTATATTTCTACGAGATGGGCTACCCTAGTTGTTCTTAAATCTTAATATTAATCAATGCAAGCTTGCATGTTTTCCCTACTTAATCCTGATTTGAGAATTATCACATTACAAGCTCACTAGTATCTGTTAGTAGATAGCCAAGAATGAGCACACACCTTGCAAGATATTTTGCTTTCTCTGCCTCCTCCCAATCTGCAGCACGAGCCTCTCTGTCGATTTCTACAGCCTTGTCGGTTATGACATTTGCGAAACTTGTTGTAGATTTCTCTTCCTTGCTAGCCCATGCAGCTATAGTTGTCTTTCCCAGCCGTTGGCCAAGATCCATGATTTCCTTTCTTGTATTCATTTGTAGTTCCTCCTCAGACATTTCCATCTTATTTGGACCAAATTCACCAATACTGATTTCTGCATTACGTTGTGGTGTTGGTGTCCGAGAGGAGGTTGGACTAGAAGCTATAATAGGAGTCCCAGTCCGAGAGGGCTCCTGGCTGGCAATAGGAGTCATTTCTGTGCCCATGTCTCTCATCGAAACAGACCTAACTGCAGGAGCTGGTTCATCAACTATCGAAGCACTTTGTGCAGGATTAAATGAAATAGGCTGTGCGAGAGCTGCAAACAAAATAGAACAGGACATTTCCGTCAGTGGCATACTGAATTTTACAAAAGGTAGAAGCATAGAGGAAACAAAATTTATTTGCTGTCATCTAAGAAGTATAAGCCAGAGAGATTTTGAATTATAGCAACTAGTAAGTGAAAGATAAACTATCCCTGGAATAGGCATTCACCCAACATACCGGAACTGTTCATTTAAATGGGCGATACATAAGGCACATAGACTTATAAGCAGGTTTATCTAATGAAAACAGATGGATTTGTTTGCTTTCTGATTTTATATTTAACAAATTTGTATATGAATTATAATATTCCTCCTGTCATGAAAAACAGCTAAACATCAATTTCAGACCCTTTTTGCACCGGCTACTCACAATGTTACGTGTCTTCTCAATTCACTCTACTCCACTTCAAATTTGCCTACCTAACACTACGAGTCTCCGAACAATACTTGGTTCAACCTAACAGTAACAGACTACATCACAAACAATCAGGAGAAATGCTAATTCAACCTCTTAACTTGCAGACAAAGATAGGCTGAAATTCTAGTCACACCAAACCACAGATGTGGCTCTCACAGGTCACTAGAACATCATCTAAAACTTCTTGATTACACCACAAATCCACAATCCTTATCAATTAAGATATTCAAGAGCACAAAAAGGAAATTAAAAAAGGCATGGTGAAGTTTCTTGCTTACCAACTGAATTCTTCACCAAGGTTCCAGTGTTGATGGGGACCTCAGCAACCACCTTAGCAACGGCTGGAGGCCGGCTTACATGTTCAGGAAATGCCAGCGCCGATTTCTTCGGCGCAGCCCCAGCTGCACTCCCCACACGGCCACCGCGGTTCGCCGTGGGGCTAGAAATCCACTTCTCTGCATCATCCCACTTCGACGGCGTCGGCCTAGAGAACGGTGGCAGCAAGGCGGTCACCGCCGCCGGCCTCTTCACCGTCGGCGGGCCCGACGAGCTGCTCTCGGAGTCGAAGCTGTCGTCGTCCTGAGCTCGGTTTCTTGATCTGTGGCCACTGTTGCTCGACATTTCGGTGGAGGTGGAGCACTCCATGCTCCCTGTTGACGCAATTAGCGATTTGGTGAATCCGTAAATGAGAATGATTGAGCTGTGCAACACCATTTCTGGGGTAGTGGACTTACTCTGGTCGTCCAGCTCGCCGGAATCGTTGGCCTCAGGCGATGTGTCCTCCCCGTTGTGCTGATTTTTCTCTAGTCCGAGAAGCATTGCTCGTAGCTTAGCTGGGGAGAATCCACCCGACTGGAGCAGGAAGAGGAAAGAAGGAAAGATTTTAGTGGAAGCTGAAAGAAATTGGGGAAAGCTGTGGTGAATCAAATCAGTAAATGAGGCAAAATTAACTGCGAAAATTGCCAAATTCCGACGGAATCACAGCAGAATGGACAAAAGGATCCAAACTTTTTAGTGAAGTGTGCACTCAGATAACCCAACCTATCTCAATCCCCTCCTTACCAAAGCCAACATTTGAAAGCTATGGCACAGAAAGCATCACAGAAATTGAGACAAAACTGGCAGAGCAGTGACCCGGTAGAGCAGCAAACAGGATAAAAGCCCGCAAACTTTTCAGCAAAATGCGCGCCGAATTAGCCACACAGGCGATCGTTCCAGGCCTGAACATTGTTGGCCAGTGGCCACCACCACAAAAGTACAGTGCCGACCAAAATGTCAAGGCGAATTTGAGAGGAGAATGGAAGAGACGAAAAGGAGCACTGCAGGGGAATCTATCAACGGCAATATCCCGACCAATCGATGAGAAAACATCGAGTTCAGCAATGGCAGGCGTGCCTGCTTTCCAAGAATATTAGCAATCATTAAAAAGGACACACCTCCAGTACGAAGAACAGCACAACTCCACGATGAAGGAATCGAGCAAAATTTACCAAATCGAAGCAAGATAAGTGGCGCTAATGCCTAGTATTTCAGTTCCAGCCATCGAAGGCGAGAGGCGCCATGGACTCGGAGATGAGCTCGGACTCCGAATGGGTGCAGACCGCCAAGAAAGAAGAAGAGCAAACCAAGAAGAAGAAGAAAGTCGAAAAATCCGGGAAGAAAGAGCAAATTCACACGGGAATCGCGGGGAGGAGGCCACCTGACGTTGGAGCGGGGGGCCGTGGATGCGCTCGTACTCCATTAATGGCGTGCGCGGCCTGAATCGGTTGGTGGTGGCGAGATGGCGTGGGAGTTGGGGAGAGGAGAGGAGACAAGAAGCTTGGAAGGGGGAGTGGGATGTTAGTGGACTTTGCGATTTCGTGCTATGCTAGTGTATATATGATCTATTTGTACCGTATTATAGTGTGGTTAGTGGTAGTGGGGCTCATTAAGCTGATTAATTAAGGCTTCCCTTAGGCTGAGTTCGGATGGGGGAGATGGGAACCCAACTTCTGCGCACGGAAAACGGAGCAGTCCATTAACACGTAATTAATTAAGTATTAGCTATTTTTTTTCAAAAAGGGATTAATTTGATTTTTTTAAGCAACTTTTGTATAGAAACTTTTTACAAAAAATACACCGTTTAGCAGTTTGAAAAACGTGCACGCGGAAAACGAGGGAAAGGGGATGGGAAAAGGTGAATGCGAACACAGCCTTAGTGCTGATTTGGTTGGATCCTTTCTTCCTTGTTTCGTGAAAGACTATTATTTAGTCTATAATAGGATAATAGTTTTTTTTTTGTTGCAATGTGCTTGGATTTGGAGCAAATTACACAAGCATTTTTTATGAGGCATTTTTATCGATAGCAATATGCTCACCATATATATACCAATTCTGCCGTGAAGTGTTTTACAATGTTCTAATGGGTAAAAGAACTAATTTAAGCCGTTTTTTTTCTAATCTAATATCATACTACCACATCAACTACTAGTAAAAAATATTTTGCTAATAGCAGAAAATGATATCACTTCTACTGCGATAATACTAATACTCTGATGGAGGATATGTTTGTGAGAAACAATTAATTTATAGTTAGCTTTTAAAAATATAGAAAAGTTAGGCTTTATAGCTTTTCGTTTCTAGTTTATTTCTAAAATTTTATAACTACATTTTTTTAAAAAAATCTAGACAAAATGTTGAATTGTTTAGAGGAGCTTCTGGATTTGGGAGAAACTGCGGTTGTCAGAAACTCTTCTAACAAATCTGGACTATCATACCGTAGAAAGCACCATAAAGGTGCTCTATTGCCATTCATATGTTTCCTATGTTACTTGACCCTGTTTGAATCTTATTTCATTTTCAATAATTGATATTTTTAGGTAATCAATATTTTGGACGTACTCTCTATTAAAAAGTCAACCTCTAACTACGAATATAAGTTGATTCTTTTTTTAAAAAAATACTACAGAGGTAGTAAGAGCGTGCCTGAAGGTAGGAGTCGAAGTTGTCACGCATGCCTCGACGTTGGAAGCGAGAAAACAGGCCTGAATGTAGCAATATCTCGAGCCGTACAACTTTGCCATTGCAGCAAGCAAGCGAGACAGACAAACGTGCTCTCCAAACTTCTTCAGGTTAGGGTGTGTTTTCATGCTAAAATTAAAAGTTTAATTAAAATTGAAACGATGTGATGGAAAGGTTGAAAATTTGTGTGCAGAAAAATTTTGATGTTATGAAAAAATTAAAAAAAATTAAAAAAAGTTTGGAACTAAACCCAGCTTTACTTTTTAGTTCGAGTAAACAGGCCTGAGTGACTGCTACAGCTCCAACAAATAATTGTAGACAAACTGAATTATTGCTGCAGCTCTAACAAATTACTGCTACTTAATCCAACAGACTTTACGAGTTGTGTGACACTGTGACAGGAGATGCACGTGTGGAGGGCAATCTGAATCTCTGAATCTGAGTGACGTGCTAATTAATTATTAGTCCATTAATATGTGAAAGAAAACTTGGGTAGGACGAAAATATTTGTGTCATATAGTGATGAGACGTGACCGGAGAACCCTAGGGGCTCACATCAACGTGCAGCCCTAGCCAGTAGGCAGGCACATGCTTCAGCGTCCAGGCTCTTGTTGCAATACAATGCTCGGGTTTTTCGTTTACAACTCTATCCGTGCACATATTTCAGAACTACGAGAATACTCCGTTGTTCGTATATCTTATCTTTAGGCCATATTTATACTGAGATAAATGGAGTATAACTCAATGCTTAAGTTAGAGACATATTGTTTGTATATCTCTAATATTCCTTCTATTTTTGATTTCTCAAGTTTCCCCCTGTGATATAAGTTACCACCCTTTGATCACTTAAATATAACTATTTCTAGTATTTAAATTTTATTTTAAAAGGATTGTTTCGTATCTAGACAACCTCCATCCGACTATCATCAATCGGGACAATTAATAAAGAGTAATATAGTTCTTTTATCTTTGTTTTTTATTCTCTATCAAAGTCTTCAGAAATAAATATACTCTCTCCATTTAAAAGTTTAAGATATATTTCTTTTATCATCAAGACCAAGAAAAAAAAACTCATCTACCATATGACAAATCAAGAAACTACTCCTTTCGTTCCACTGACTAAGCTTGAGGTGCAGTCAAAGTTGTAACAATTTTTAAAACTAACTTTTAACTTTGAAATTCTTAAATACTACGATGTTTATAGTAACAAAATCACAATTATATGAAAGTAAATTCAAATATCAATCCAATGAAATATTTATCAAATAAATCTTAATTTATAATGAAATATTTATCAAATAAATCTTAATTTTATAATGAATCTTAAAATGTGTGCGTGCCTTGTTCAGTGGGACGGAGAGGGTACTTACATGCATGCAACCAATAAGTATTAAAATGACTTCTTATGTTTTAGTTAACAATTTAATTCGGTACATATAAACTATAAATATACCTATCTTATTTAAAAAACTAAAAAATTAAATATACCTTAGATTAGATTTTTGGATGAATGATGTATTTTAGAACAAGGGAATGGTATTTGTTTGCACTTTCGTCGGTTGCAAACTTCTTTGAGACTGTCTTCCTAGCGTAAAAAGGAAATGCCATTTTCACCCTCTCAATTCCTCCCGTAAATGTTATGCAACGTATTTTTATTACACCATTTTCCATATATTGTTCATGTTCCGTATCTTCTTTAAACAAAAACTTATGCCTGCTCTTTGGTTCATGCTCTTTGGCACGCCCTTTTCCAAAGGTGTATGATTAATTTTTGGGCGTGCAAACATTAGCTCAGGGAACATTATTCTTGCCTTCTTGGTTTCTGGTAGCAAAAGCATTTCAATGTCAGCAATTTTTTTTAAGAAAAAATTCTGTCCTCCTTTAGAAACAGGTGGACGTGTTCTACTACTACCTGACAAATGACAACAAGGATCTGCATGGGCAGCTAATCAAGCATAAATTGCTCCGACAAAGATGCCTAATTGTTTCTTAGTGGGAAGCACAGATAAGAATGCTAAATGCTCAACTTGCTGATATCTAGTACTGTTGTTTCGCATTCCTGGTCAGTGTTCTCCTTCCATGGCTAACATCATAGGATAATCAGTGGGTTAGGTTCATGTAATTATGCAATCACCTAATGATAGGCAATACATGACTTTGACCAAAAAGGGTGGCTTTGCTTAGTTGTCCCGATTAGAAGAAGTGTAGTTGTGGTGTGTTTTCTAGGCAAAGTATTGATGTTTACAAATGGCAATGAACTGTGTACATCAGATAAACAGGAACAGATATGAGAGCTAATCAATGAATTCAGCTACAACTACTAGCCTACTACGTAAATTACGGACAATGGAATTTAGTTTAGAGATGATCCCAATGTTAACCGAGTACTTTTTTTAATGATCAAGCAACATAGGAGTAATAAACTACTCTAGCCACATTTCAGATTGAATCCAACCAGAAGGCACAAAAATGCAGTAATAAGCTTATCATGGATAAGGTGGCCAAGAACCATCTGCTACGAGCTAGTGGTAATTTATAATCAAAATCCATGCCGTCTGAATTCGAAATTTAAAGGGAGTAGCAAATTCAGGAGTGTAAGGCCGGCATTCGTTCAAAAAAAAAAAAAGAAGTGTAAGGCCGGCCGGCACCAACTACCTCCATAGTCCACTAATTCCTGCAAACGCATAGGTCCCAAGTTGGGAGCTCAACGCATTTCTGGATGGTGATCTTCCAACTACCACTACATACTACTTTCCAAAATATAAGCGTGCAGGGTTGTCTTTGTAGGTTTTCACCTTTGTGTGTGGATGTTTGCTAAGCTACTCTAAGCTAGGCCATTTTCCCCAAATGTAATTCAGTGGTAAAGCATCATACTTCAGCCAGGAAAAATATATCACCGGCGAGTTACCGCTCGTTTTGTTAGCACTAATCAGTTCAGTAAAAACAGTTGGGGAAAAAACATTACCTGAATAATGTGTTAAGTGACCGTTGCTATGGCATCTAAAAAGAGTTTTTTTAGAACAGAGGGAGTAATTTGCTACTTTGGCATATAATTAAGGGAAAATTGCAAAAATCACCCCATAAGTCATTTGAAGTTTGACATTCCACCCCATAAATTATTTTGTTGCAAATATCCACCCACCTACTCAATTTTGTTGCAAAAACCACCCCGGTAAACATATGCTTAACCGAATCAACATATTTTTATAAAATGTGAGCCATCAATATGGCCTTTGCCAAAACTAAATACTTCTAGAGTATTCGTGATACATTTTTTGTGAGATTCCACATATAAAATTGTTGACGAGAGCCTAAACATTGTTGCACTGAGTTTTGCTATATGCAAAAAAAAAATCAATCAAATATGGAAAATAAGTCTAATGCAAGCACTTAGACAAGATTGACTTGGCTAGCTTAGCCTGTGGTAATCCTACATCAGCAATAACGAATTGATTCGGTTAAACACGTGCGCATTGGGGTGGTTTTTGAAACAAAACTTAGTAGCAGGTGGGTATTTACAACAAAATGACTTATAGGGTGGAATGTCAAAATTCAAGTGACTTTCGGGGTGGTTTTTGCAATTTTCTCTATAATTAATAACATGACCACAATAATGTTTCTGAAAGGAAAGGTGTAGGTGTAGCCGTTAATCAATGAATGAACAGTACCACTATCAGTGTATATGTCCCATTTACAACTACTGCGAGTCCCTGTCGACCCTGGTTAGCAAGGGTACTACGTTACCCTGCTGAACTGTACTGTACATGAGATACGTGTTGTCTGTCTGTGGTACAACTTACCAACTCCGCACTTGCTTAGAAGTCAATCATCCACGGTAACTACTCATCAGAAAATGCACTTCAATAAAAGAATCATGCATTAAAACACACACACACACACACACACACACACACTATATGGATGACAGCATCAGCCAAAGCCATGGATTCAGTATTCAGACTTGAGCATGATGGATGGCCTGAAGGAGAGAGCATAGCACAAGAAGAAGAAGAACATCAAATCCAAGCAAAGAATCCGTGGATGCTGAATTCGCTGGGGCCATGCGGTTTCTATGGAGATCCATTTCTTGCTGTCAAAAGGTAGCCGAGGAATGGATGGATAAACACTGACACATCTGCTGCCCAAAGCACAGCAATCTCTCACTCTGTCCGGTGTCTGCACACGAGTCCTTCCTGTTGGGCCCGTCCTGCCGATCCCTTCCCCCTGCCGGCATCCGAGAGAGCATCCAAGCATTTTACTGTCTTGGACCAGAATCCTGTGTTGCATGTAGCAGTAGTAGATGTAGAATGGAAATATGGAATGTTCAAATTTCACAAGATCTTTACAAGAATTTCGTCAGAGTTTGTCCGGACAAGTAAAGCAGAGTTGGAATTACTAATTCAGACGTACAATAGTTCATAAACAGTCCAGCAGGGCTGGTCCAACGTCATTAACGCTACTACTCCCAACAGAAACGGGAAATGGCAGTTAGATTGGGAGTTGAATCGCAGTTGGATTGAGATATTCCCAACAGGAACACACAGCTACCAGTCAGAATAGAAGCCTCTAAAAATGCACTCCTAAGGCCTAAGATGAAGATGAGCTTTGTTTATACCCTCTCCAAGTCTCCATTCCTCTGCTGTCAATTGGACAACCTGTTCGTGTGGTTCTGAATTTGATGCTCCCGGTATATACAAGCTGTCGACCTGATTGACAGGTGCGTGCTTTCATTTTCTTTCATATACTCATTTGTTCCTTCCACGTATTCCCTTCATCCCAAAATCTAAGGGATTTCGGACGGGTAAGACACTAGATTTTGGATATAGTGTCACATCCGTCCAAAATCTCTTATATTTTGGGACGGACAGAGGACTAATAACACTGGTAACTTGTACCTGGAGGTTCGTAATTTTCTCCAACCTCCTTAGGCCTATTTGTCGCTCGAAGGTTGCAACTCTAGAATTTGCTACTCCTTATTATATGATCATCTGCCACTGTTCGTAATATGATTTGCTTAACGGCGGTTTCACTCATGATTCGTCACCTTCGATGTGTTCTCTTTTTCTCTCTTTCTTTGATCAGACAATTATTAGGGATTCGACCAAACTGGCTTTGGTTCATTGGAATCAATCTGGTGCCTATATCTCATACCCACCCAAACATATTTGACAACTGGGTGATGAAAATTTGATAAATTTCTTGAATGTCAAGGGCTCAGCACATCTGTCCTGTTTCTACCAGTTTCAGCTAATGATCAATTTGAAAATGATCTCCAGATTGAAAACAAAGGAAACTAAAAGTAATACATAAAACTCAGCAAATTATGTATGTAAATACCTTTTGGGTGGCAAAACCTATAATTGCAATGTTTGATAGCAAAACATGGATCTATCTTCTCTTCTCAACAGTTCATTGCTAGACTTCCCGCACTATGATCAACTTTGGAATATCAGTTGCTCAAGTTTACAGATGTTAACGAGGCCCAATGTCTACTACACATCCAGGCCCATCAGAGCTTGTATAAGCAATCCAGTGAACAGGAAGGTGTAAAAGGGAAAATACTCTGCCAAGGAACACAACATTGCCCAGTATTGTCCAGGCTAAAAAAAGGTAGTAATGAACAATGTGTACCACTGGGGAGTCAGGAGGAAGCGTGCAAGGGGCTTTTTACCAGGAACAATAAACCAAAGCTGACATTATTACAAATAATCAAACAAATAATCAAAGCATATTTGTCCTTCAGTTTACAGAAGAAAACCTGTAGTTGCAGAATACTCCTGGGTCGCAGTACAGCAATTGCAGGAATTTGGGATGACGGGATGTTAGACTTTTTACAAACTATATATATCCCAGAATTTTTGTTGAGCTTTTTTCACATGAAAACCAAGCAACCTACCTACAAAGAAATCCGTGGTTAAGATTTACATTTCTGTACTCACCAGTTTGAAGGAACAATTTGCAAGGGCACATTGGGGATCCCTGGACTGATCTAATGGATTGGATGGTACTGTGTGATCCCCCGTTTAGGTGGTAGTTTCCTTAATATGAACAGCACCAAAGCTGAAGGTACAATCTCAACCAACTGCCAAAGAGAAAATGAACGCTATCAACAAGCACTCAGTAAGTACAATTATTGGTCTAGACATATTCAAAATAACACGACAAAGAAATTGCTTTTGCAGTTTATTCTTGGCAAGCCATTTTTTAATGACCATTCTTACAAAAGCAAATAAATATGGCAGTGACTGTCTTGAGTCTCAATTACTTCATACAATCTGAATATACTCCAACAGCAAAAGCATTTTGTAAACTCATTCGGCAAAATCAATATGCTATAGTTTGGAATGCTTATGCACAGATAAGCACATACAATTTCTGTGTTCTGCCAAATAAATAGCTTTCACTAGTTTCCTCTCTTGTTTTATACAATGTAGCAAAACCATTTTTCCTTGAGTCACATTCCCAACAGAATTTCAGTTCAGCTCTTTTTGTAAACACAATCACTTAATTAGGATATCAGCATACCCACCATGTGCCCCATGTTCCAATCAGGGTAAAAACAAGCAAAAGAAACATATCTTCCACAAGTCTATATCACATTCTAGCATTATCCCTTGTTTGACACCAGTTAAAATTATGTAAGAAATGATTTCCTCGATGTGAACATTCGAACATGGCAAATTAAAATGACCAACACAGAGCCTCTAACATTAAACAACAATGACATTAGAGGAGATCAAGATATAAATGCCACGAGATAAACAAAAACAATGTATAAAACTACAAGGTTGAGTACAAAGCAAGTGAACAGGAAGACATACCAAGTAGTAGAAGAAGTTTAGGATTGGATGGTTCAGAACATCAAGATCGGCTTCTTTATCAAACGCATTTAAGCACATCTGTAAGATGCTCTAATTAAGTGGAGTAATTAAAGTCTGAAGACCTCCCTAACATAATATTGACATAGGACGTACCATTACGCATCTGATCAAGAAGCCAGAAAAGCATATGGTTGTCACATATCCAACCTATGAAAAAGTAGATGTGTTAGAAATGCAAATTATCTAAAGTATTAATTCTGGAATAGAAGCCAATGATAAAAGATAGTACCTCATTCAACTTTTTACGCCTTCCTTTTGATTCAACTGGAAAACGCTGTAACATCAGAAATAGCCTACAAAGATAACCACAAAATTACACTAAGTAACATGCTATGAAAAGAATCACCGCAACCAGTACCCAATAACTGCACACCCACCCAGGCATGCCTACTTCCAATTTCCAAATAATCCAATATACAAAAGCTCATGGACATAACATGTGGGAAATAACTTCAGAAGCATACTAATTTCTTGTCCATAATTCAAAAGACAAACACCCAAAACAACAAAAATAAGAAAACCAAGGACAGCTTACCTCCCTCCATAGAGAAGAAATCCAAGGGCAGCAAATAAAGATGTCGCTGGCAAATAACTTTGTATTAGTAGAATAAATGATAAATTATCATGTATAACAAGAAAACTCAAAATTGCACTACGCCTGGTTTATCATGACTCAATGTATTTCCTTCATGTTCATTAATATTTAGGGGATGTGAGGAACTAAACGTACGCGAGAATTTTTTTAACTTATGATCAGATAGTTTTCCCATCTATCTCCAGCTATGATTTCCACAAGCTCTCATTCAAAATAAAAAATCCATACTAACTGCAAGACAAGGCAAATTACACAAGATTTACCTGCAAAGAACATCTTAGACAAGATGACCATTGCTCGAACTGGTTTCCACCACAACGCCATCCAAAGTATTATCTGAAAATCATGCAAAGATCAGATCATTCCAAAAGTACTTCAAAAAGGAAAGGTAGCAAAACTTTGTGTAATTCTATGTATTGAAATATGCTCTCAATACGGTAGAAATTTGTGAACATGTCCACACTGAAAAATGCTCTGAATGGCAAGTGGTAGGTTAATTTGACATCCATGCCCACCAAAATGTAGCACAACAGAAAGTGTACATCCAGGGAGTCCCCACAAGCTAACAGCCATCATTGTCTCCACAATAAAATAAACTATTTGTGCAATGATGAGTAATTGTACATTATGCAGTCAAGATTTAGTCAGTTGGAATCATGCTACGCTAACTAACTTATTTCGAGGGTTTTATGATAGTGTTTGCTTTATTTTCTCTGTTTAACCTTTTTTCTGATAGCATACTATCAAACATAACAATTCAATTGGGACTCATCCAATCACTTTACATTATCAATGGATGATCCGTCCAGTAACAAGTTTTCCAATTGTCATGATAATGAGTTTCATGTATGAGTTTGTAGAGAGAAGCAATTATATCAACAGTAAGAAATGTGGATGGCAAAGTCACCTGGATTGCATAGACCACTCCATTGATTGTATAAAAAGCTGGTCTGAGCCCATCAGTAGACATTGCCCGTGCCTAACAAATGCCATCATGAACCAATGAGAACAAAAACACCCATGGGACAAAACCAAAATATATCCAAGTAAAACTAACCTGATAGTAAATCTCAGCCCAGAAGAGCACTAACAGAGCATAGGTTGTGAAGAATGCAAGCCCCGGAAAATCAATGAGCACATGTTGAAATACCTACAATGCCATATGGTTACGCATCATTCCTACTTTGCACCTTCGAAAAAAATTGCAGAAACAAGTCAGAGAAACATAAACTGTTCCCCCCACAAACCTCAGGCTGCACAAGTTGCACATCTCGTCGGAGCACAAACACGATTGACCGCACTGAAACAAACCAGTCCAAAATCATAAACTGAAGTTCCGAAAAAGCTAGCATGTATCAATGAAGCAGTGGCAAAGTGCAAAAGTATGCTCACCTCCATTCACAATAAAGTTCATGAAATGGAACACCTTCTGTGTCGTCCATCCGTACTCAGGTACTCTACATTCGATTCTGATCAATTGGACCTGCAAAAATTCTCCCAAAAGTGCAAACGACTCAAATGAGACTGATGCCCATGTCTCCATCACTATACAATTCAAGCATACGGTAAGCTACAAAGTTCCCGCACAAAACATCAGCTTAAATCAAATCTAAGCCCTCGATCGAGACAATTAAAGACGAAACTTCCAAACTGCTCGGCTACACGACCCAATATCCTCCCCTATTATTAGCCCATGTTTTTCAAAACCTAAATCGATTCTAACGTGTCCCGTAGGGCTAGGGCTTACCAGCGCGACGAACGAGACGGCGCCGTATAGCGTGGCGAGGGCGTGGAAGGAGCGGTCCTGCCACATCGGCGAGTTGTTCACGTCGTTCCACCAGTCCGGTGCCACCGCCGCCGCCGTCGAAGCCGCCATGGCCGCACCCACCACAACCACCACCACCTCCTCGCCAATCAGGGGCGCGCCGGAGGCAGCAGAATCAAATCAAAATTCAGGGCTACGAGATGCGGCGCGCAAGGCGTGATGCGTGCGAGAGGATTGCGAAGGTTTCGACGCAATCAACAGAAATTTTATCGAAAAGCGAGTGGATTCTGGATTGGGGATTGGGGATTTCGGGAAATCGGCGTCGATTTCGTCAGCGTGGGAGCCTTGCGGGAAAGGGGAAAGGAGCCTTTGCCGTGCGGTGAGGAGGAGATCGGCCAAGTTTTTTCCGGTTTTTTTCTCATCCGTGTTCAGGGCTTCAGGCCAATATGCTACTCGAGGCGTCGTCACGGCCCATGTAAACATATGGGCCGAAATTTTAGTTTTTTAATTTACAGCCTATACACACGTGAATTGGAGTAGAACGTGAGGAGATGAGCTTATACATGAACACCACAAAAACCACCTGATTTTAGTTTGAAACCTCAAAGATAGATTGAATTCTTATGCTCAAACGTTCGTGTGTGTTATGATTTTTGAGAGTGGAATTTCTGAATCGAGTGCCTATATATCTGATAAAGTTGGAAGAGTGAACTCAGGGTGTGATTAGTTCACACTAAAATTGAAAGTTTGGTTGAAATTGGAATGATGTAATAGAAAAGTTAGAAGTGTGTGTAGAAAAGTTTTGATGTGATGAAAAAGTTAGAAGTTCAAATAAAAAGTTTGTAACTAAAATCGGTCCTCAATTTTGAACTGAAGAGCTCGAAGCTAGTAGTAAGCCTTTTAATTTTAGGGTCACTATTGTTGGCGGCTGAGTTTTGGCAGCTGGTGGCCTGGTGTATGTTCCGCAGGCTCCACGAACACCATCATGCTCCCGTCCTATTCCCAGGCTTTTTCTCTCTGTGGTGGCTGGAGTAGTACTATCCATCAAATCATCGTGCAGATGCAGCCAGCAGTGGAGAATATTTAAACTGGCATAACCACAATCACCAACGACCAAACCTAGCTGCTGCTAGCTATAGCTACGAGCACAAGAAGATACCCTGGCTGGCATCCCATTCGTTGCTATACTCACACGGAGGAACATCATCACATGAATTGTCCATGGAAACCCGATTCTCAGAATTATCCATATTTATGAATTTAACTACGGCTGTGTTTAGATCCAAAGTTTGGATCCAAACTTCAGTCATTTTCCATCACATCAATCTGTCATACAGACACAACTTTTCAGTCACATATCTCCAATTTCAAACTTTGGTTGTGTTTAGTTCAGCGCAAAGTTTGTATTTTGGTTGAAATTAGAGATGATGTGACTGAAAAGTTGTGTATGTATGACAGGTTGATGTGATAGAAAAGGACTGAAGTTTAGATCCAAACTTTGGAACTAAACACAGCCTACTAACCAGTATTTATCCATATTTATGAATTTAACTAGTAGTATTTAATAGAGACATCAATACGATGTTGGTATATTAGAAACAAAAAAATACTACTTTTAAAAAACGATATTCGATCAATTGGCTTTAGTTTCGGGCCCATTGACAATTTGCAGATCGACAGAGAGTACGTACGTACACAGAGCCTGGCTTTCCATTGTGTAACCCGTAAAGGGCGCCACTACTCATTCGATATTGCCACACTGACTGACTGACTTTAGCATCTGCTACTACTACTACTCCATGGACACACAGCACACTACCTGACCTGTCACCACGGCGCCGAGCACAAGAGAGAACACACAATGATGATCACACACACTCGATCGATCTCACTGCTACTAGTAGTAGTAGTAGTACGCGTGCAATGCGAGGCGGGCATGGGAATTTTTTTACATGATGGAGCAGGCGTTGACGTCGTCGTCGTTGAAGAGGTTGCTGACGGGGTCGGCGCCGCGGTGGGGCTCCGGGAGGTGGCCGTGCTTGTCGCCGTTGTAGCCGTGGCGGTAGTAGTTGTAGCTGGGGCGGAAGGACTCCTCGTCGTGGAAGTAGTCCTTGGCCGACGTGAAGTAGAGCGGCAGGTCTGGGTTTGGCCAGAACTCCGCCTTCTTCCCCGCCCGCCTCACCTCCTTCAGCACCCGCTGCCTCTCCACGTACCCCGTCACCGTCACCTTCTCCATCTCCAACTCCACCTCCACCGAATCAACCCCTACATGCATGCAAATTTCACCAAATTAAGCCATGTTTAGTTGCTCCAAAATGACAAAAGTTATACTGTTTTGGAGCACTTTTTATCAATATGAATCGAAGCCATAGTAGTAAAAATTGGCAATTTAACATTTGTCATTTGGAAGTCTAGAGTAGCAAATTTTATCAAAAAAGCACGTTGGGAGCCGTGCTCTCTCTCTCTTTGCTAGTAAAATGACAAAACTTTACCATGCATCTATGCACCAATTAGTAAAACTTCAATGCCAAATTTTTTACCGCCAAAACTTTTGCCAAAAAAATTTGTCACAACAAATTGATCTAAACCCTTAGTTGCCAAGATTCAAAAACTTTTTATGATAATTGAGATTTGCAAACTATACCTCTGAGCTTCATGAGAGCATGCTTCACGACCCTCTCGCAGCCTGAGCAGCACATCCGAACCTTGAGCTCCACTGTCTGGGGGAAAACAGAGGAGACAACCGTTCATATTTTACTGTATGTACTCGCATGCAGCAATTCAATCAATCGCACGCATGAATGATACATACACCTACTGTAGTATTTTGCTACTGGTACGAGTACATTTTTACTGTCTCCAACACCGGCGCATGCGGCAAGCCGAGGGAAAAGTTTCCCTTGTCCTATGTAAGTTGCCCTTTTTTTTTCCTTCAACCTTTTATCGCTCTCTTTTTCGCACGCATGCATGAGCTTGGTTTCGCGGGCTGTTCTAGACAGCAACGTGCACAGCAGCACAGATTATCGCTACGAGCATATGCTAGGAAATTAATTAGCGTTAAGCTAGGAGACAGCATCAGAAGTGGCGGACAAAAATCTGAGGAGAATAATCTGAACACGACTAGTCGCAATCGCAATATCGCATAAACAAGCTAGCTTGCAAATACGTATTCATCTGAACAAAGAATATGTCCGTCTTCTGCATGCGTAGCATAGCTAAACAGAGGAAGCGAGGAACAGAGCAAGCAAAGCAAGAACGAACGAGCAAGCTGAAGAAGAACAAATACCTGCAGTGACAGTGGCCTGCTCCTGCCCATCCTGCGTCCGGCGAGGCCACCCTCGTAGTAGTAGGTGTTGGTGCTCGTCGGGTGGCTGCTGTAGTAGTACGCGCCGGCGCGGTGGCCGTGCCGGTGGCCGCCGGTGGGGGAGAAGCAGCAGTAGAGGAACGACGACAGCGCGGAGGAGACGGTCGACATGGCCGGCAGCTCACCGCCGCACCAAATTATACCACCGGAAAAGAGACAGTGGAGTGCACGGCAAGCTCGAGCAAAGCTTAAGCTAAGCTAAGCTGAGCTGAGCTAACCTCTCGCTGCAGGTTAACCTGAATCTTAGCCAAGAGGGTTAATCTTCTGCTTGCTGCTTCAGCTGTAACTGCAAGGAGAACAAAACAAAAATGCTCAAAGTGTTTTCTTGCTTCTGCTACTACTTCTGCTTTTATTCTCCTCGATCACTGCTACTGCCTTGCTCGATGGTGCAATGGTTTTATACTTTTTTATAGGCTTTTTTTTGGGGGAGGAAGAGGAGAAGAGGGTGTTGCAGTGGCAGTGTAGTGTAGAACCCTTGCCTTTCCCCCTCATTTTATTGCTTGAAATGGGGGTGAAAGGGGGCCCCCGGTTTGTGAGGAAAGGGCGTAGGATTGATCCAGTACACCTGTTCTGCCACATCATCCGTGGATTAATCCTTGGAATCTTGTTACAGGTAAGTACTAATTATGCTAGAAAAAGAGAGACGAGTATTCTCAAGATGCAGGGAAATGAGCTGGCGAATGATGCTCGTGTCTAGCCTTTTTGCATCAGAACGGACACGAATGGCAGCGAGTGTCTTTTGGTGAAGTTCACATTTCAGCGTTCCCGTTTCTTCATGTTTCTTTACAAATTACAATACCAATTGTCCAACAACAGAACAATGGTCGGAAATTCAGAATCACGCATGCAAGGTGTCATTTTTTTTCCCTTTCGAAACTCACGCTCGATTGCAACGCCTACTAAACACTCAGAGACACTGTCACTGCAAAGCGTGGGAGACAAGAGATTATGTAAATGCAGGCTTATCAAGTGTTTAGTATCAAGAGTGTTTAGTGACTGATTTCTCTGCAAAAACGAAGTGTTTGCTTAGTGATTGACCGGCTGAGAGAAGTGGTGCAGAAGGCAGGAAAAGTGTTTGTTGGAGGAATATATGTCAGGTTTGGGAGGAAAGGCAAAGTTCTCTGAAATATTCTAAAAAATCTCGCGACTCTTTTTTTCTTCTCTTCTTCAGATTTCAAGCCAGTGTCGCTTTGGAACGAGTTCCAAAGCTCGTGCCTCCCTCAATGATATTATGCCTTGTGCTTATTCTGTCCAAGCTTTTGTACGCAGGGCATGCACCACTGTTGCATGTGCTCTTAACTTAGCAATCTCTGTGACTCTCAGAGGAATTTTTTCCTTGCTTTCTCTGTGTAATTTTATCCTGTCTGTTTGGTTTCTGAATTTTGCTGCCGTGTTTATTCCAGCTTTGGAACCTCTCACAGTGTTGATGCAATAATAGTGCTTTTATCAGAGCATCTAGCTATCTTAGGTAGTCTTTTTTTTTCTTGTGAAATAATTGAGTTGACAAGACAAGTTGGCAATGCTAAAACAGTTGTTAGTGGCTGAATTAGCATAGGATGGTCACAGTTCATACCTCGGTGCAAAAACTAATGTCGAATCGTTTGCTCACGTATGCTTAATTAGCTAGTGACTACTAGCATTCCAGCAATGCGTTTATCAGGAAATGCGCTACACGTAATCGAATTGAACGTAGTGCAACTTGACATGCGGTGCCGGGAATTCATGCGGCGAACATGTGCTATGTGATCAAGCTATAGTCCATTAATTTGATTGATCTCACCTACATGATGAAATATTTGAAGCCTCAATGGTCAAACTGTTAAGAATAGTGCCTGCCTTATCTGATGATTATAATAAGCGCAGCTGCAAATTCTTTCGGCTATGGCCTCGTCCTCATTATGCCAACTAATTAAGCAACTTAAACCTAAAGCTGCTCTTTTGACCAGTGTTTTCCTGTCTTGGTTTGATTTAATCAGGGGCCTGTCCCATGTCTCCCATTTCATGTTTCTTCAGCTTGATATCTTATTCAGATTACACTGAGCAGAGCCATCCGATTATCTTTTAAATTTTTGGTGAAAGATTTATGCCTTGTCAACTTTAAGTACCAACCATCGATTCCTAATTTCTTATTGCGCACTATAATCATTGTACATCTCTCCCTCAGGCTTCCATTTGAGTTAGTGTATTCAGCTTGATCAGTAATGGGGTATAATTTTTGAATGAAAGTAATGGGGTATAATTGGTTCTGATGGATGGTCCCTTTCTTTTTTCTTTGAGATGCTGGATGGATGGTCCGCTGAGTGAACTTGAAATGATGGGATTTGGGTTATTTTTGGATGTACGAATGGTTCTTTCATGGCAAAGTTGTTGAAAGGACTTAGATAATATATACAGCCTTTGAAAGTACTTATTCTTGTAGGCACCTAATTTAAACTTTAGCTTTATTAAAATAAAGGAGAGAACAAATTTCAGCTTGGTGTTAGTCATATGAAAAATGGAAGAAATTGCAATGGTGAAACTGGGATTTGCTAAAACATGAACAGTCAGGTGATGGAGAAGAACAAAAGGGAATTTTGAAGATAAAAATCTGTGTATTTCACAAAAAAAAAGGTGGTAATGGAGAAGATATGTCTATGTTAAGGATAATTATTCTGATAAACTTTAGGTAGAATCCAAATTGATGTTACCTTTTTTTCCCCATGGAATAAAGTACTTCTTAGGTGGTTAATAACAATTTGGTAGGATATTTTTAAAAAGAACGTTCTTGATATTTTTTTGCAAGAGAAGATAGAGACAAAGTTACTTTGTTGAAAAAGTTTTCCAATCCTTTTTTCTTGTTTCTTTTTTTCTGAAAGAAATATTTTTCCTGTCTTTTTCCTAATATATTCTCTGCTTTATCGTTTCCACGACAGGTATGTTAAAACTTCCACTGTGGATGCAGTACTGTAAAAATCTTTAGGAAATTTCATTTTGGCATTCAATATACTTTTCTTTTCCAGTAAGTAATTTTTAAGTTGTATCTGAAGGTAAGCAAACTATTATTTCGAATGGAATGCAGTGCCATGCTGGAATCAGATCTAAACACAAAGTCAGATTTAGAGGAAAAGCCAGTGCTTTTCTGAACAAACACAAGTACTGTGTGTCAGGGCAGAACACTGGAAGAGAACTGCACCTCAAAGGTGCAAAGTAACGTATCCTAAAAGCTGAGAATATCAAAAGCAAGAAAAACTTGCTTACTGCTGAAGTTGAGCTCACAAGACACTACAATCTGCAATTGAAGGGGTCGATAGTAAAACAAGATGGAAGTTCACTGCCTCTGCAAGTCTACATCTTAAAAATATCAAACTGCCAACTCTCTGCTTTACAAGACTATAGTAGTCTAGTAGATAAACTTCAGTCCTTTTTAAGTTGCTGTACTCCTATTAAGTTGAAAGTTGCTGTACTCTTGAAACACCTTTTCGTTTTATGTACAGTGAAAGTTCAAGGAATAAGCATAAGTAGCCTGCTCCTGTTGCTGAACTGTTTTACTGTAGGACATGAGATGCAGATATGCAAAATTCAGGAGTCTTTCAATGTTTTTTTTAAAAAAAAACACATATATTAAAATATACTCCACAAATGTTTGCTTACCTGAAAAACCTTGAGAAAACCACCTGCCGACTACCGTTACGTTCAGTAAATTACCATCTTCTATCCACTTGCAATATTCGACGATACCAGATAGAAAGCGAGGCACATGACCAGTTCACCTTACCACCCATTTCAACTTGCTCGAATATTTGGCAACATAGCTAAAGGCGTCGCGATCGAATTAAGTAAAATCAAAAACACCCCCTAGCCAATTCCATCCATGCACGCATATGCATTCATCTGCATCGCCATATGTCTCTCTCTCTCTCCTGCTATGAGAAATTGAGAATGGCATCCATTCCCTTATCCATCATCCAGAAGCAGCTAGCGACCAGTGTGCTAGCTACTCTCCTCACTCTAGCTAGCTGCTGCTCCATACCGCGGGCGCAGCACAAATGCAGCTGAATGGGTCGAATTCGAGTAGCAGCAGCAGTAGTCAGTAGTGCAGGTGAGAAAGAAAGAGAGAAAGCGCGCCGCGGGGGGGGGGGGGGGGGCAGGGTGACAGTAACAGCGGCGTGGTGATGCCGGGGGGATTCGGATAGCAACGAATTTACACGGCGGCTCGTGAGATTCCCGGCGCACTAGCCGGCAGCCTCGCCGGCCGGGGGAATATTAATGTTTTGACGACACCATCACCATGGCAAGGCTGGCGGCGTGTACACGCTTTATGCCGTCGTCGTCTCGATCGTACATACCCGGCTCGGCGGATTATTCCTTGGCTACTAAGCAAAGCAGGAAACCCCGGGAATTTGTTCAGGCGGAGGCGATGAGATTGATCGACTGATCTGATCTGATCGGATCACGAGCTGAAAGCACGGTTAGCGGCGACGTCGACAGCAACACATCAGCAGCAGCTGCCCGAAGATGATGCTCATGCTCATGCTCCCCACGCGTAACTGGGCCTGAATTTCATCTGCATTTCTCGGCCCAGTCCAACTGAAGTACGTAGTACTCTCATTGGAATAAGTTCACTCTAGGTCCCTCAATTTGTCACTCCGTCTGATTTTCGTCGCTTAGTCTGATTTTCGTCCCTAGTCCGGAAAACTGGGTACAACACATGCTCCAACTTTCAAAACAGTGCAATCGAGATCCCTCGGCAGTATTTGACCCCGGTTTTGACCGATGTAGCGCCTACGTGTATTGTTTGACTAGGTCTTCGTCCAACGTGGCACTTGCGTGGCGCTTACGTGGCAATTTGACCCAAATCTCTACTATTATAACAATTGAAGATGTTTTTGCCGGTATTTTGGTACGTCATCCGTATATGAGTCGGTTTTTAAGTTCGTTTGCTTTTGGAAATACATATCCGTATTTGAGTCGGTTTGTTCACTTTTGGTAATACATAAGGAATCATATAAGAAATTTGTTTAAAAAAACTCGCATATTAACTTGAGACGATCGGACTCCTAATTGCAGCTCATGATTTTTTTAAAAAAATATATATCCAAGCGAACTCCCACAGTAAATTTCATCTTAACCCTCCATGAGCTCCATGGCCTGCCGGGAAGCACCGCGTCCTGTTACTGAGTGGCTCCCCCATGGCGAGGCATCGGACACAGACGGCGACGTGCTGGCGGACGGGGATGGCAGCTCGGAGGGCGGCGTCCTCCTTGGCGATGGCGGCGGTGAGCTTGGTGTAGAGGTAGTCGACGTTGGGGCGGGACATGCGGAAGGTCGCGGCGCCAGGAGAGGGCGATCGAGACATGGAGAATCCACTCGTCTCCCTCCTCACCTCCACCCATGGCGGCCATGGCGACCCCGCAGCAGGCTCCCCCCCAGGCGGCGCTCCCCCTCGTTGTCGGGTCCCGAAACTAATGATTCGGAAACCGACATGTTTAGACTGTATCAAGCCCTGGATCAGTAGATTGATACAGGTTCAACAATCTAGATCTTCATTGCATACATTTGAACAAGGCTCCAGAGGAGATGTTATTACAAAATATACGGGTATTTACAAATTTGTGGCTAACTATTACAGTAGAAGCTATAGAATGAGCCAACTCTAATGTTTTGCTATAGACTTAAACCATCTATCTAATCTAGACTTGAGAATTAGATTGAAATGACACTAACTTATATGATTGAACTCCCGGCTTCGGTAAGAACATTAAATTGACTCTGGAAAAAAAAAGGGTTGAAGCAAGGGTGAGTACAACGTACTCAGCAAGCTATTATATTCAATAATGAATGCATGAAATGGTAATATCTGAGTAGAGCTAGGTTTACTTGCAGAAAGCAAAGAATATAGAGGAAGAAAGCCTAAAATGTTTTAAATGCAACAGTATTTAATAAAGTTTGGAATAAAGTTTCTAACCAAATACCATATGAGTCTCAATACTCAAATCCGTGAGCACGGCTATTCGAATAGATTCATTTATACTTTACTGCAGTAAATGTACGCTTTACCCGCAATCCATGACGTGCCAAACACATTAGCCTTGTCATGGCAAAGCTTTTCGGTTACTAACATCAGTGGTACCTGTTCCATAAACTCTAGTCCCCATACGCTCTGAACGTAACGTTATCAGCAGCGAGAGGAGTTCTAGCGTTCCCAAGGTCTTTAGAGAGAACTGATTGTATGACACCATGTCATCGCAATCAGGGTTCACAAACAAGTCGACATCAATAAATCTCATATATTTACCTGTGCCTCGGTAAATATCACAATCGCCCTGCTCGGCGTAAATTTGCCTCCTGCTCGAGGACTTAAAATAGAACCATTGTATAGAGGTACCACCTTTGCTAGATAACTTAATCAGCTAGGTCTATGCCCATACGAGAATTGCGGTCGTACTCGTATGTTCTTCACATGTACTTGGCAATTTTATGTCGGTTGGAACAGTACTAGCCACCCGGAAATCAACCATTTCTACCGTACTATTCCAATCTAAGTTTATTATATTTTATGTAATCTAACTAGGCATGGCTAAGCAAAATCTAGCATATATCTGGTTTGCTATATATTCAGGTTATGCATTTAGAATCATGTATGGCTAATGCACAAGATACTGGAAATATAGAATATAGGATTATTATGCTCAAAGGAGAGGAATAATAACTTGCCTTGCTCCAACGCAAATAAATGCGAGATAGGCAACCTGATTATCTGATCTTTGAAATACCACAGGTTGCCATCCAAAATATAATAGACTCTACTACAGAAGAGGAAGAACCAAATTCAATAAAAGCCATAAAATAGCAAGAAAGAGATAAACGGTTGGGAGGGTTAGGATTTAGTGTATAGCCTATCTCTTTTATAGGGTATATGGATTACTGGGCTGATATTTTATGTGTGGGTTATAAAGAGTTGGCAGCTGGGGTGGAGAGGGAATTAAGCGGCTAAGATCACCTATATTTTATGTGCAGACTTTGATTGGTTGGTGGATAGGGAGTATAGTGGATAATTGAATTGGTTGAGCAGATATGTGACTGGTATTGGCTGATGGTAGGTTTGTGTAAGATTATACCTAGGGTTTGGTTATATTTAGGCCGATTGAGGAGTAGGGCAATATATCGGCCAGGCTCTATATTTTATGTATAGGTTCTGATAGACAAAAAGTATGAGGCTGAGAGTATGGTGGATAAGTGGTATTGTAGAGGGTATGAAATTTGGATGACAATTGGGATTTGACTAGCAGGGTATCGGCTAGGATTTGGTTGTTTGCTAGTTGTTGCTAGAGTTGGCAACATAACGACTAGATTTAGTGTCTTCTCTAGCCGGTGTCAGCAGACATCATATCGGCTAGAGGGAATAGGAGGTAGGTGCAGGTTTAGTAGGGCGGAAGTGTTACTTCGACAACCGTGGGTGGCAGCGGAGCGGCTAGGATCACACAGAGTCCGAGAGCTAACTGTGCGGCGTGCTATGGAGGTCGATGGAATAGTGAAGCTCCGACCGCTATACGCATCAAGGCGTGGGGTGCCAGGAGCAGCACTTTGACCTTGGGTTTGGTTTATGCCGGGCTTTACAACCAACGGTTCAACGTCGGGGATAGAAAACCGCGAATGTCTCCATGGAAGGCGTAAAGTTCCAACCGACAGCTTTTTAGTGGCTAAAGGGTAATTGGGATAAAGGAAAATATTTGAAAAGTCAAATATAAATTCAAACGGTATTTGAATAAATTCAAATAAAATCTTAAAATAGAAAATTTGATATCAAAATGTAGATTTTGAATTTAGATGAATTTAGGTCCAAGTTTCACTGGAATCGGATCTACGGTTTAGGAGATATGGACTTCTAAAGAATAGAATTTGAATTAAATAGGGAAATTATGAAATAGTACTGTACAGGGGCCCACCTGTCAGTTCTTTGTCTCTTCTTCTTCTTTTCTCTTTCTTCTTCCTCCTTCCTTCTTCTGCTTCTTCTTCTCTTCCAGCCGAGCAAACAGAGAGAAGGGAGAGGAGGGGCGCCGATGCTCCGGTGGATGAACGGCCTCGACGACAGCGGCCACGCGTGTTCCCGAGCGACGCGCACCCGGGGAGGTCGGTGGCTGGCCGAGAGGGAGAGATATATAGCCGGAACGGCGGCGGCAAGGGCTCACCTCGAGCCGGCATGGATGATGGCGGTGGTGGCTTGACTTAGAGGTGGAGGGAGAGGGGAAAGGGGAAAAACGGACTCGCCGGATGGAGGCGAAGCCGGTGGCGCGAGGATAGGGGAGGTGGAGCTACGGATGGGGAGATCGACCGACGGCGTCGACGATCGGCCATGGATGGAGAGAGAGAAAGGGAGCTCGAGGCTCTGTTGATGTGTGGAGAAAAGGGGAGGGCTCGCCTTATATTTATAGGCGGCGAGAGGTGGTGGCTGATGGCGGTTCAGAGGAGAAGGTCGATGAGGACACGGCTGCAGCGACGTGGAGAAAAGAATGACGGCGCCGGCTCTGTCCTCTGATTGGCCGACGATGGCGGTTCGTCCCTGTTGCTGACGTCGGCGGAATGAAGTGTAGCTGACGTCGGGTGGCGGTTCCTTCGCTTCGACGGCAAGATGGCGGCGGCGGTAGCTGAGTCGTGCACGGCGGCAGTAATGGCGCACGGTGGCGGCGCCTGGAAGCACCCACGGGAGGAGGAGCAGGGAGTCGGCTTGAGTGGGAGGGGCTGGGCCGACTTGGGCCGGTCTGGGCCGAAGGAAGAGAGAAAATTCGGCCCAAATGAATAGGAAGGCTTTCTAATTTGTGTAGGGAATTGAGGGATGGAGTTAAAATCCAAATTAATATTTGGAAGAAATTTAAGTGGCTAACCTTTGAGATGAATTTATTTTGGAGATAATTTCCAAAGAGATATTTCCTAATTATTTGAGTGCAATATTTTAGAGGTAGCATATAATGGAATTTATTTGATGCACTCAAATGAAAGGGTAAGGGATATATGAATAAAATTGAATGTGTAAATAGGAAGGTGGGAAGAAGATAATTGGAGAAGGATAAGTAGGGTTTTAGCCTCAAAATATATGGCATGTGTTTCAAAGAATTGTTTGAGGCTAATAGGAAATTTGGATGACAATGATATAATCTATTTTCTTAGCACAAGAGCAATTATTCATAATATTTGCAATAATAATATTTCTTGTGCCGAGAAGAAAATCAAGCCACAAGAATTAAATTGGTGGCTAGATTAAAAGAAAGGATTTGAATATTTGGATCGAGAATCAAAGGATGGGTCGACAATTAATTCCAATTAAAGTTGGAATTGCACAGTGTAGGTTTGGAGGGTTTTCTTGGACCATAATTCATACAAATGAAAAGGGGTTTCCAAACTAAATTTGAATAAAAGGAATTTTGTCAAAATAAGGTTTTAAATTAAAACCAAGTCGAGAAACACCTTAATTTAACCAAATATATTTTTAAAGGAAAGACATAAAAGAAATTAAATACCAGAGAGGGATTTTATGCAAGTTAATTTTTGGAGGTCTCTCTCTAATTATATTTTCCTAGGTTTAGAAGGTTAATAAGAACATAAAAACCGGCATGATGCATAATTAGAAAATAGCTAATTTTCAGTATGTTACACTCGTCCACGCGCACCCTGCTCCGTGCCCCTCCGTACGACCCTAGTCTCCAGAGCTCCCGCCTCTCTCCGCTTTTGTGGGCGCCGCACCGCGTTGGCGTTGGTCTCGGACTCCATCATCGGATTCCCATAGAAGGGAAAGGCGATGTTCGCCTCCACCTCCGCTGCTAGCTAGGAGGCGTCCTCCCGCAAGTCCGCCGCCACAGCGTCGCCGCGACAGCATTCACGCCGCTCCCCCCACCCCGCTCTGTCAGGAGCCGCGTCGCGAAGAACAGAGGAAGAAGAGCAGCAGCAGCCGTAGGGGATTGAGGATGACATGTGGGGTCCACGTGGGCCCCACCATTTTTTATTATTTGGTGTATGAAACGGACATGTGGGTCCCACATATATTATTATTTTTCCAAATCGAATTGCCACGTAAGCACCACGTCAATGCCACGTCAGATGAAGACCTAGTCAAATTAGCCACGTAGGCGCCACGTCAGCCAAAACCGCTATCTAAACCGCTAAGGAACCTAGTCTGCACCGGTTTTAATAGTTGAGGGACCCGTTGTATCTGGTTTTCCGGTTGAAGGACGAAAATCGGATTCGTCGATAAGTTAAGGGACCTCGGATGAACTTATTCCATCCTCATTTCTTCCTGGGCCGAGCCTACCGACCACGGTCCATGAGGCCCATTATGGAGTGGCCCACGCGGCGTTGGGCGTCCGACCCAATTGAAATCGGAAGCACGCTTCGGCGACGCGATTCCACATTTCCACCCAGCGGCGCGGCGGGGCGGCGAGATGATGCCCTACTCCTCCGGCGATCGCGGGCTCCCCCAGCCGGCACCGGCGCCGCCGCACGCGGCCATGTCCTGGCCCTCCGCCGCGCTTCTTTTCGCCGTCGATCGTCACCGCCTCGCTGAACATTACCCCAATCCCACAGCCCTAGACCCCCTAGCCCGTGGCCCGACTTCCCCACCGCCCCATCGTACTACTCGTCTTCGGCGCAACCTCCGGCGAGCTCCATGCACCCCGTTATCGCGGAGACGGGGTATGCAGGTGAGCTAGCTTGCGCTCCTCCCGTGATTAGGGCCTGTATCTGTACGTGCTGCGTGATTAATTTGGTTTCTGGGTGTTGTGGTAGTGGTGAGTGGTGACAGTTCATGAATGCATCTTACACTGGTTTAATTTACGCGTTACGCTGTGTATTTGATTTATAAGAGGTAGATTTAGGGTGTGCAGTCATACTAACTGGAATTTTGTGTGCGGTCGAGGACAATCGTAATTACTGGTGGGTAGTTAACTATGCGATTTACTTCTAAAAATACTACATTAAGATTTTTTTTACTTCTAAAAGTATGTGATCATCTTAGATAAAGATTTTGTTTAGTGCATGGAGTCTCACCGTATGTGGCATTAAAGTTGTACATATAGAGACATCTGATTGTTCACTTGTTGTTACTGATGCTTGGTGGTTTCAGCGTCACAGATGATTTGACGGTGGCAAGAGGACTACTATTTCTCTTGTTGCTATCTTCGTGTGTAAATATAAACATCAAGAAATTGTCACCAAGGCTTTGACAAAAATTTCATTGTATACAACTGACAAACCAAATTAATTTGCAGGTACTGCAAATACCGATGGATTTCTGTTTAGCGATAGTGCACTACACAATGTATACCCGGAGGATCAATTTAGTTCCATCAAGCAGCTGCATCCCTGGATTCCCTCAACAACAGGAAGATCAAGCTGGCTGGAAGAGAAAATTCCAGTAATTCACCAAAGAACTTCAGCAGCTGCATCCAGTGAGATTGGATCATCAGTTCTCCATAAGCCTTCTTTGTTTCCCAGCATTATTGATTGCTTCGACAAAGAACCTGTTCCCATACATCAATCTGATGGCCGTTATTCTTATGATAGCCACCTATCACATCTTACGTCCTGCTCAACATCTTTGAATTATGGCCTATCCATGCCATCTGTTGCTGCCTCACCTGTAGTATGTGGCATGAAAAGAATAGATCCGTCACCAAGTGATCCTGTTTTGAAGGGTCGATTCCTGCAATATGCAAACCCATGTAGGTTTAATATTGGTCATTTTGATAGCGTGCAGGATGAGCAGAAAGATCATGCTGGCTTTCAGACTGCGTATAGACATTGCAGCGACTGGAACAGATGTACTAACGATACGGGAATAGTGGGAAACTATTTAGCTAATAGTTCTGGCGAGACTTGTAATGTTGGTGAGAATTCTATAACTGGAAGGTTTTCACAGGAAATTCTGTGTTCTGAAGTGCCTATGAGCAGAGTTCAGGAACCTTTATCTCATCATCACTCACTTGTTCAGGAGGACCTGAATGCATTTTGTGAGAACATCACCTACAGATGTAACTATCATGCAGAGTTAATCAAGTCAATGTACAATTTGTCAGTAGCGCTTATATCTAGTTGCAATGGTGATTATGAGTTGGACGAATCTTATCAAGAACTTATTCAATCTGCCATACAAAATCTCAGTTCTCTGAGTCCAAAAAGAAGCAAGGTGTGATGCAGACTCTTTCTTACACATTTCATTTTTTTCATGTTTTGAGAAAAAAACATATATTTTATTTAACTTTTGAACATTACCTCACCCATACTGATTATAATTATATTTTTCATGAGTACTGATTGCTTAACTTAAAATCAATAGAAGTTTTGGAACTTGTATTTAACAGCTATGCTTCATATCACATCTGTGTTGAACGTTTTTCGTTTATAGCTTTTAACTTGTACATGGTTTTTGAAATTGTGATGGTTTTATCCTCACTTCAATTTTCTTCTGAAGGTGCTAAAAATAGCTACACTTATATTGCGTTGTCATGGTGGATAAATGATAGGTCATTCACAATGACTGATATTCCATTTTAAGCTTAACATGATCCCTGTATTATCTGAAGAAATTTAATGCCTAGCACACTGTGTTGACTTCCATTTCTAATAATAACTCTGCCAAAGGACTTTTGGAATTATGCTCACTGAAAATGCTAATCTGCTAAACAAAAGTTTGGTGGTATCTCTACTCAACAATGAAAATCAAATTATTTCTTGTGTCATTTAAGCTTATGCTATGTCTCATGCAAGGGTCTATTAAACGATGATCATGCCAATATCAACTACCTTCAATCAAAACTGGAAAAGATAAATTGTGATGGAAATACTTGCCAGGCTCAAAAGTTTGTTGAACCTGTTCTGTCAGATATTATCACAGATTTCAAAACATCTATTTTACAGATATTGATTTATATTATATCCTGGATTGACTTCAAAATATTGTTGCGATCTGCTTAGTGTGGACAATAGTGATTTTCTTCTCAGAGATGTGCTTTACTCCCTTGTTTGCAGAATCTATCTATAGAGGAAAATAAGTCTGGCAATGATAAAGATGCACATGTGCTGGCATATAAGAATCTGTGGATCGAAGCAGAAGCTTCCATGTGTAAACTCAAGTATGAACTTCAACTTGCCCGTATGGAACTTGCACTGAAATATCACAGTCAACAATCAGGTCAGTATATTTTGCATGTCTATTAAGGCTTGATTTATATCAACAATTTTTAGCATCTCCTTACTTTGGAAGTTAAATAATCTTGAAGGTGCACCTCCTACTATTCCATTAGATGTCCAAGATTCTAGCTTGTCCAAATCCAAGAGCTTGTTATGTGATGAAGTGCTTGATGATCCTAGCAAACAACAAAACCATGTGAAAGAAAACACTATCTGTAGTGCAACCTTGCTACCTGAGGAAGGTAATACTGGCGATGGACAATCTCCTAAAGTAAATAGAAGCATTGCAAATGAAGTTGAGGCTGGTGTCTTTACTCAATTGAGAGTTTTGAGATCCCGTGGTGATAGTATATGTTCCTTTGGCGAGGGAAGTGATGAGGAGCAGCAGGAAACAAGTAATAACAAAAAAACAAATGGTTTTGATAATACTGCTGCAGTTAGTATGGATACTTTGAAGTCTGGTGATGATAGCATGAACTCTGTAGTGGTAGAACCTATCAAAGAGCGGGTGGAATCAAGTAAAACTGATGTTGATACTGCTGCACCTTTCTATTCGTTTGTTAAACGTTTATCGGGCTCTTCAAGCTCATCGGATGTGGACTTTGACAAGTTTCTATCTAGTATTAAAAAGCAAACTGATGTTACTGTTATGGCTAGGCACAAAGATTTCGTGTGCGATAAGGGTAATATAAGATCATTAGATGACACCACTAATCAATGCCAAGCAGCAAGTAATACGAAGCAGCTCGAAGATGATGCTTTAAGGTTTTTCCAATCCTTGAAAATTCCGGAGGGGATACCAGAAGATCATTCAGACGATGGGTCATCAGACTCAGATTATTATCAAACAGAACATTATCCATTACGGGTTGAACCAGGAAGACTTCTCTTCATCCATAAAGTCCTTGGAAGTGGAAAGGTAACTACAGCTTAAGTTCATACTGTATATATGTTCCAAATCTTAAATATGTCTATGTATGCAGGAATGGTGACATAATTTGCTGGATCAACCGTCGGGGTTGGTCACTTGAACTGAACTTCAACAACTCGTGCTACTTATGAGCTTCTGTGTAAATGTGATGTGTGCCCTATTGATTCTTATGATTGAAACAATTGCACATGTACTTTTTAGTAGTTTCATATTTAATCTCTTTTGAGCTTTTTAGTAGTTCCATGATTTGTGTACTGTTATATACTACCTCCGTTTTTTAATATATGACACCGTTAACTTTTTGACCAACGTTTGACTATTCGTCTTATTCAAAATTAATTTTTTTGTACAAATATAAAAATATTTATGTTATGCTTAAAGAACATTTGATGATAAATCAAGTCACAATAAAATAAATAATAATTACATAAAGTTTTTGAATAAGACGAATGATCAAACGTATCTCAAAAAGTCAACGACGTCATATATTAAAAAAACGGAGGAAGTAGTTTTTCTTTCACTTGTGACACCCTAATGCCCCTTTTCTAGCTGGCTGCGAGGATTTTGAACCTTTTTGTTCTTTGATGTCAGGTATGGGAGTGATGCCCTGATTTACCAACCTACTCCTATGCATATTTTCTTCTCTTTTACTTTTAGGATACGATGGATAACGAATCAACCGACCGTTACAAATGGGTCTTCATTTATACTAGTTATTACTTCATCTATTTCGCAATGCAAGACTTTCTAGCATTATCCACATTCATATAGACGTTAATGAATCTACACATATATGTGTGCTTAGATTCATTAATATCTTTATGAATGTAGACAATGCTAGAAAGTCTTACATTATGAAATGGAGGGAGTACATCTACAACCAACTTTTCTTTTCTTCTGCGCCTAGCTAATATTTGCAGGGGCAAGCATAATCAGATAGCAACAGAAGCCAAGAGGAACGCTGCATTCTTCATATTTTTCAGAATTGTCCGACTAGGGCCAGCTGTGCAACTACATTCTTGTTGACAGATCTGCTGGTACGGAATAGATTGGCTTACACAGATCTCGGATCCAATGCATGTGCTATTAATTAAGCAAGTTAAGAACTGTAACCTCACCAGGATTCAGGATCAGAGAGATTAAGGACACAACCTGGAGGCTGGAGGTATGGTTTATTCTCTCTCTATCTCTCCTCTTTTTAGAGGCTGGAGGTACAATACAATTCAGCGGCAATCTGGTAGAGATTGACGTATAGTAGAGTTCCACATCATTTAGTATTCAACCTCTTCTCTAATATCCAAGCCAGGGGTCCAGGACATCTGTACTGTTTGCAATGTAGCTAGAGGAAATCTTTAATGGAGCTAATAGCACCGGCCACCAGCCAAGGATCTGGTTGGTGTGAGCCTATCAGCTCAACATGGGCTAGAACACAGATTTTTAGTCGATTTGTATGCTGGGAAGACCTCCTGAATTTTTCAACCTCATCGTCCAGGATGCCTTCTGAATTTTTCAAGCTGCATTGTAACAGTCTGTTTACTGTTTACCACTCCAATTGGCAGGAAGAAGCAATTCATGCAAGAAAAGAGGGGAGATGTTGCATACAATGTGTACCAGGGGAAAAAAAGGAGAGTACGACTTTTACATGGATGTTGTCTTTTTTCATTTCCTGTGGAAGCAGAAGCAAACCGATGCAATTGAGTTGGAGTAAGCCGATGGTTGTGACAGCTGATCTCTACTCCCTCCGTTCCATAATGTAGCAATCTAGGATGGGTCGGACTACGAATCTGGATGTCTCATGTCCAGATTCGTAGTCCTAGGATGGGTCTCATTCTATCCTAGGTTGCTACATTGTAGGACGGAGGGAGTATCTGTTTAGGACAGGACTGATCCCTCATTGCCATTTCCTTTTTTCCCCCTTTTAACATGACCCAGTTGCAGGGGCTACATACAGCAGGAGCAACAGCAATGTCAGATTTGCTCCCCTGCCGTGACACAATTCTGATCAAGTGGAGAAAACTTGCATAGTGAAAGGGAGAGGTCAGAGGTGGAACTGTGGCTGTGGGTGTGGCTGGTATTTGATCTGCCGCAGATACGTGGGTCCAATGATGTCGACTGTAGTTTCGATCAGCTTGATAAGGTGTGCCATTTGAAGCCATCTCCCTCAACTCAACGTGCCCACTAATATAGCAAGATATGGAGGTATGTGTATTCCTTTTCTATCCTTAACTCAAGATATTTTGTATCGCTTGGATGCGGGGAATATTGTGGTGGATAGTTTGCAGATATAGGACAGTCAATATGCAATTTGATAGGGGATTCAAGGCATCAGCTGCATATTTGGCTGTTGCTATCTGAACAACCCGGTAGCAATGCCCACTATTTCAAATCATTTGTTCCACTTTATCCCTTGGAGAGCACTTCTCTAGGATCCATACTTGCCTGCAGTTGCTTAGGACTCCTTCTGTCCGAAAATAAGTTTATTTTTCACTCATCCTACACATATATCAATAAAAAAAAGACTATTAAATCCCAATACAATTATTTATCATTTTATCCTTACTTTCCTCTTATTCTGCGACGAAGGTAGTAACACAATTCGTACGACGGATTCTTGTGTGCATAGAGGGTGACGTGGCGTCGTTCGGGATGGGCAGGAGGTGACAGGGTGCAGTGTCGTAGTTGTAGAAGCGACCGAAACAATAGTTTGGCAGGCCCATGGTCCAGCACTCCAGCTGCCCAAAGTGGACGGTTGCAGGCCTGGCACAAGCAAAACCCAACTTGGAGCCCCTGAATCAGCCCAAAGATTATCATCCCAAAAAGGATTTGGTTATCAAACATATACAGGTTCCCCATTAGGATTATCTACAGGCTGCAGCTTTCTCCTCCAACCCTAGCTTTTTTTTAAAAAAAAAATTGCAAGGCCCATCAAGTACATACAGTTCTTTCTTTATATATATAAATCCAGTTTTTTATTACAAAAGCTCTGACAATGTATGTAGTTTAGTGGCCTAGGTTTAGGCCAGTTGCTCCTACATCATAGTCTGCATAAAATCACTGATCCGTACATATAAACAAATGATCATTAAAAAAAATGCTGATTTCATGATCGATGTATCATCAAAAAATTTTATCAGAAGCGGAGTTATAGCCAGAAAAATTTGAAGTATGGCTGTAGTCAATTAGCAAGTAAGCTAGTTGAGTCACGTATGCACTGCCCATGCGTGCGCGCACACTTTATATAAAACACATATATAGGGTACATATATGTGATCTCTTTTCAGCTAATATTAATTTGGAGTAATCTAAACAGTACAGGGGCTTTTAACTATTTGCCACTGTTAGATTTGGCAAATAACTATTTACCACCCCTATCTCAATGACATGTGGGTCCACATATGTCTATGACATGTGGGTCTAATGGCAAAAAGTTAATTGTCACATCTAAATGTGGCAAATGGTTAAATATCTCAAACAGTATATATTGACAACACTTGACCCTTCACTATGAATCATAGTTCATACTGCACGCATATATATGATACCATCTGCCTCTAGGGTGTTTAACCATGGATAGTGTCTGGGGATACGCATCCGTGTTCAAATTGTTCTGCTAGTGTGTGGGTGCCCAACTTCTCTTGCAAACTGGGAAGATTCTTGCTATCTTTTTAATAGAAGTATTTAAACATAAACACTTCTAGTTCCCTTTTGTTTCCAAATCCAAATATAAATTGTTTTAGATTTGGGCATAGGAATTAAGAAAGTGTCAAGATACCTCATTTATTGATGAGTGTGATAGCATTCAGATAAAAATCACATAAGAGAAAAAATGGGTTAATATCTAAAATTTCTGAAGAGTAAAGAGAGTCTAAAACAATACTCCCTCCGTCTCATAATATAAGGGATTTTGAGTTTTTGCTTGTAGTGTTTGACCACTCGTCTTATTCAAAAAATTTATGCAAATATAAAAAACGAAAAGTTGTGCGTAAAGTACTTTGGATAATAAAGTAAGTCACAAAAAAGTAAATAATAATTCCAAAATTTTTTGAATAAGACGAGTAGTCAAACTGTGCAAGAAAAAACTCAAAATCTCTTATATTATGGGACGGAGGGAGTAACACTTAGAAGGTAGTACTACAAATCTAGTGTAATAGCTAGGTTTTGATAGTACTAGACCCCAATCAATCACAAAGGTTCTGATGATGTTGAAAGGGCCACGCCCTCAATGCTGTATAATTGGTGGTCCATGGCATGTGCATATGCCCTATAAAACACCAGAAATATGCTGCTCCTCTTGCGCCAAACCTCACCCGGAATGTCATTGGCCCAAAGATCCCTCCATTATGCGAGAGAGAGAGAGGGGGGGGGGGGAGCCTAAGCATGGCAGGTCAGTCAGTATATTAGGCACACCTTAATAAAAAAGAAAAAAAAAGATTTGGAGGAAGATATGTTCCTTCAAACATTTTTTAAAAGAAATTATAAGCATATTGGAGGATTGAACATGGGATCTTGGGTTAAAAACACATATCCCTTGTCACTGCACTGTCAAGTCCATCTTGGCACAACGTAATACTTATGCAGGATCGATCATTCATTTGGCCTTGCTTGATTCTGCCTTCTCTTCACTTGCTAGTTAGCTCTCCCCGGCCCAGCCTTCACCAGTCACATTCTCAAAGGCGCCGGTCCCCTCACCGGCCTGTGGCTCCTTTACTAGCTAAATGCCATATGCCACGGCGACAGAGAGCCCATCGCACGCGACGGCAAGCATCCATCACCGGCCGGGACCCCGCGCCGACCTCCATCCCGCGCCCTCAGGGGCCAGATGAGAGGGAGAGATCGATCCATCCCTGTACTATAAACCTAGCTCCTACATAAAGACTAGAGTAGCTACTCTATATATGTATACAGCTAGAGCTAGCCGAGAGGGTGGTATTAGATGCCATGCTCACTTAATGATGCTTGATTATTCACCTTAGATTCTTCTTCAAATTTTTGCTCTGCTAAAGTAGAGAGCACGTATATATGAAGGACCCTAGCTAGCTAGCTAGCTAAGGGTATATAGTAAGCTTAGGCTGTGTTCGTTCCAGTGACATTGGGTGAGAAAGCTCCTCGTTTTTCGCGCGCACGCTTCCCAAACTACTAAACGGTGCGTTTTTTTGCAAAAAATTTCTATAGGAAAGTTGCTTTAAAAAATCATATTAATCCATTTTTGCAATTTAAAATAGTTAATACTCAATTAATTATATGCTAATGGCCCACCTCGTTTTGCGTATCTTCCCAATCTCTCCAATCCCCTTCTCCTCAAACACACCCTTAATGGGCCTGAAATATGGTGTAGTAGTACACATCCTTGCAAGCATACATGGGACCTCTCGATCTTGTTGCCCTGTGCAAAAGGCACAACACTGTTCGCTCAATCAGGGCATTCATGTGTGCAGGATATGAACAGAAAATGGAGTTAAGCAACACCCGGAAAAACCATACACGGTTTCATGAAGTGGCCCTGACGTGCAAGTGATGTGATGCTTCAATTGATCGGCTCAAAAGGTACTTGCTTCCCCCGCATATAACATCAGTTATTTAATATCTTGCTGTGAGTGTTTTATTAGATCCTCGTCGTTTCCCATATTTCTTAATAAGTCAAAAAATATTTATTATACAATAAAAATTCGTGGCGACCTAAAAACCAATATAAAAAAGAAATTATGTTGAAAATATCTTAAAATCAACTTTACAATTAACTTTAAAAATTTAAATTCTAGCTTCTGTTTTGGCTTATTAGGACAACCAATGGAGCTATTACTGACAAAAAAAAAAGGAAAACTCTTCTGCATTTCTGCTAATGCGATACCTGTAGTAGTTAGCCTGTCGATATATACATCCATCAATTGAAGTCATTTTCCCTCTCATGCACACGTCAATGTACTGCCATGATTTACTTGCTAATGCTTGAGCAATATGTGCATGGTTTCTTGACTTCTTCTGGTATGCATAGCTATCAAGCTGAATTAAGCTACTTTTATATTTAGCTGTACCTAGGCATACAGACACAATGACACATTGACATTTGCATATAAGATGGGGCGCCATGAAAAGGCAAAGGGGAGCAGAGGTCCTGCTCCTGCATGCTGATGCCTATCAAAGTGCTCCTATTGGGCCTGCAGTGTAATGGAAAGAGTGAAGGGTGTCTATTTAATTTGGCTGCACCTAGCTAGCTCTCTCTGCATTTCTGTTCTAGTCTGAATTATCTCTTCTCTTCTCTTATCTCATCTCCTCCTTCTGATGAAGGCCTAAAGCACAAATGAGGACTTTCTCTATGCAGTGGGCAGCAGAAGCATGCAGCTTCTCTTAAGACTAGCTAGAAAAAGGCTGCTTACTTTCATTAATATTCACCTGCAACTTCCCTTGCTGCTTGCATTGCTAGCTTTGCTATACAACGTGCAAACAATTCTATGCAACAGACCTATCCACATCCCTGTCCAGCTTTTTTAGCTTCCTCTTCCCCCTTCTCTGATCTCCTCCCTCATTTTACCACATGCATGCTTGTGTCTTAAGCATTATGATTGCAGCCTTGCAGGGGTGCTGGGGGCCTAATCTAGCTACCTTAGCATATGTTCAGTGTTTTCAGAAGTACTTCATTTTCATGCCTAGCTAGGGTGTATGCACATCAACATTTGCATATGTGTACCATCATGGTATCTATAGTACTATACACTGTATACCTGTACCATATATTATGTACTTAATTTGGTACAACTATGCATTCATGTTACTTGCAAATTTGCAATAATGACGGCTAGGTGGCCATAGTATATATGTGTCCTGTGTGCTGAACTCTTCCAAACTTCCAACAAATAATATTGTGGTGTACCGCAGTAAAGCCATAAATTAGGAACAGTGTTTGTAGTAGAAAATTGAAGGAGAGGACAAAGGACATGTAGGAAACTGCGGTAGTACAACAGCTATGCTAACCTTGACAATTGACATGTACACAGCGTAGTAAGAATGAAACGAAATGTATGTACATGGACTTGTGGATTTCGTCAAATTGACGCGTATTTGCGAAAGGAATTGCCCCGCGCTGACTTCACCCCATATATGGTCACATCGTAGACTTGTGTTCTGACGATCAAGCTGGTCAAACTAAAGTATGCATGCGCTTTGTGCCAAGTTGCTGATTGATCTACCCAGTTATTGTACATTTTGCTGCATATAAATCTATATAAGCTGCCAGTTACAAATCAGTAGATGTTGATGTTGGTGACACGGACAATACGCATGCGTGCAGATGTACAGTTGCTTTATCTTCCCTAGTCTCCATGGCGAACCATCCTGAGATATATCCAGGATTGCCTCTGAATCTGATCTATCCAAATCATTCAGAATCCATGTGTCACCAAGATTGTATATATCGATCAGTGCGTTAACTGTAGTCTGACCAGCGACTATTAAGTCATCCAGTCGATCTTTACAGATCTAGCGCGTCATTATCAGAAGCGCGCATGCAAATACAACTAGCTACCAGCCCAATTGCAATCGATCATCAGATAAACAATTTAACAAATTTTACTCTAATTTTTGTGTTCTCTCCAATTAGTTAATTAATGCTCCAGTTTTTACAAGCTTATGGACGTAGGACGTTTAGAACAGTTATTTTAGTTGTTTATGGTTTTGTTGATCTTAGCTCTTAGGGCAAGTGCTCTGACGAGTCCCCTAGTTCTCTGAAACTGAAACTTCGCGCCATCGTCGCAAGAGACATTTAACTTCACCCAAAACTAACACTTGGTTTAGATGGTTTAATTGAGCATTTCTAATCAACTCTGCCATCGGTTTTCTGTATTTTTAAAAGTTGACCAAATTGATCAGCCACCATGTGTCCCAATCATTTCATACTGATTTTTCCAGATGCCCTAATGCATTGGAGTAGTACTATCACTTTTCAGCAAAATGATTAATATATTTCATCCTAGATTACATTTTACTTTGACTTCACTACAAGCGTACTGAATAAATGCAGTTCTTTTGCTAGCTGTAAGCCGCAGTGCAATTACTCTTGGTAATTCAGTTCTCTTGCTATATAACCTTTTGAGCTCCAATTAATGTTAATGCACACCATATATGCATGGCATGTGATTGCAGGTCGACAGATCGCTAAGAGAAACGGATATAAATTGTGGAAGATGCATTTAACCCTGCACTGGGATGCCGGGCTTAAGAGCAAATTCAAAGTAGAGGTAACTATACTCCCTCCGTCCACAAATACACACATTAATTTTTAGTTTATCTAGCATAGATAAAATTAAGATTGAGTAAAAGAAACTTTGATGCCTCTCAATAAACGAGGGATGGTGGGGGGGGGGGGAATTATAGTTGGGAGTAGGATAGAGCAGATGCACTTGATAGTGCAGTAGCAAGGGGTGTGTGGTTTCAACCTGAGGTCCTGTGTTCAATCCCTAACACGTCCACAATTTCTTCTTAAAAAATGCTTGTAGGGACATTTTTTATTAGGATAGGAGGAAATTTGAACCAAAGATGATCGATGGATTAAGTGGTACTGAATGTTTATATTCGGATGGATTTCAAATAGTTGGAATATTTACATGTGTGGAAAGAAGGGGCACTGGCATTTCTTTTATGTTGAATGATTGAATAGATGAAAAAATAGTAATAAATATTGTTCAAGGGTATAAATGAATGAATTAAATATTATAAAGTTGAAAGATACATTTAAACAATTTTGTAATATATATGTATATATAAAAAGTAGATATATGTAGTAAGTGATAAAATCTCTATACTTTTTTGAGGAATGGAATGATGGATGAATGCGCACGTATGTGTAGCTAACTTTTTATATCTGAATTTATTTCTAATTCTATTTTCAATTTTATAATATCTAATTCATTTGCTTATACCCTCAAATAATTTACTATAAATATTTCATCTATTTAGTCATTCAGCCTAAAAAAATCATTCTTCGTGAAAAAAAAAAGCATTTCAAGTATTTTCTTTAATTTATCTATGAATATAATATTCCTAGAGTATTTATTTGTCACATCAATTACTTCTCACATAAATTTCTTCACATCTTACCTCAATCACCCTTCCTCTCCTAACCATCCTTTATTTAATGATGGGCCTAAAATACTTTCTAATCTACCTTAATATTTGCCAAATAACCTAGAAATATTTATATTTGTGGGCGAAGGGAGTGCAACTTTTTTTAATGTTTTCTTTTATTTGTATATACCAGATTCTCAGTGTTTTTTTTTCTTGATGACATGGAAAACATTGAAAGATGGTGTGTTGAACATGCTTAAGGGTTTGGATTGATGACACTGCAAAACTTGACGAACACTTTCAACCAAATTAAAGCAGACACACAAGTTCAAGGAAAAAGAAAAGAATACTCTTCTCCTTAATTTGCTAATTTCCTACATTTATATATGTCCACTTGAGATGTATTGTGTGCGCAGTGCACACACCCCGTGCTAAGCTAGCGTTGTCCACGGGTCAACAAAGTGCTCAACCAATCCACAGGGAGCCCTGCTGGCCCTTCACAAACATAATGTGGGAGATTCATGCACCTTACAGTGGGATCAACTTGGGTTTGTTTACTCCTTTGTGAAGTGGTAATCGGCCAATTAAGTAATCAAGGATTAGCCATGGATGATTTTACCTGGTTAACTAGTTGCATGCATCAACCAACCGAGAACATATTAAAAACCCCATGGACAGATGATAACCTTAATTAGCTAGCCAAAGACCTTAGTTCGTTTGTAATTTAACTCTTAATCCAGCATGGAAGCTAGCTCACTCCATAACAAAGACAGCAAAAGAAGTTGTTAACCCGATCGATGTAAACACAAGCATTTCTAGAAGTGATTCAAGTACAAATTAACTATGGCAAAAAGGCCCTTTTCCTGAGTCCAACAGGCCAACTACCCTCATGCTGTTCTCCCACAAACAAAACAACCTCCCCAAAATACAGCAACTGGCCAATATATATTACCACTGCCTCCTGTGCCACACCAACACCCAGCAACATGTGTGTGCACCATATAAAATATACCTCTAATCAACACTATATTATATGCTAAGCAGCAGCGGATTGTACCTTATTGTATGCACCACATGTGTAAGCCGTAATTGTCTGCCCATAAAATAGACGCCTCTTCTCACTCATGGGGCCGAATCAGTATTGTGATCAGAGGTAAGCATGCAGCAGCCATGCTGAGCTGAGAGCTGATTAGCACACTTGCCTCATCTCATTTCTCTTCTCTCTGCCCTGACACAATAGCTGGCTTTACAGGGACACTGCCAATTTCTAATGCCAAGCAGTCAAGCAGATAACCTGAAAATATTTAACTTCAGACCCAGCTTGCCCAATTAAAAACTGCACTTGTGGTATCACACGTTACAATATTCTATCTGGATGTATACATATTGATATTTTAATTAGTTTGGCAACAATATCTGCAATTTTAGGTAGGTACGTTTTAGTAGTACGTACTACCCTGCAATCATGTACAGCTAGGAGTAGGAGATGCTGCAGATTTGCAGTACAATCACCTTGAATTTATATATGGAGAAATGGAAGAACGACGACGTGCAGTTTTCAGAGTCAGAAATGTGTGCAGATTGCAACAAATTAAGGTAGAGTGGTTCAGACTGAGCATGAGTGATAAGAACCAGGCAACTAAGATTTAACATAATAATATAAGCAGCCCATACAGTTGCCAGAATGGGACCTTTTAATTTGTTCTATCGGAATTCCACTAAAACTAAACAAGAAGTATATGCATTAATTAATTTATTCTTAACCTGAAAATGCACGTGGTGACATTTAAAACGAAAAAAAAAAACTTGCTAACTGAATTAAAGTGTATGGTCGGCATAACTCTGAAAAGAACACATGCATAACATAACTTCCAAGTTCCTATACTGCTTAAGTGCTTATGTCATATGTACATACTACTATCAAAAGTAATCTAACCTAGAATGAACAATCCAAACTCTAGAAGAGCAATATTGCAAAAGTTTTAGTTGACATATAAAGATTTTTAATATATACTTCCAACTGAACCTGTAGATTGGAATGTTAGAGTATCAGCCCCATTGTATCTGCAAACAAATAATAATTTTTGAATAAAACTTTTATATATGTGTTCTTAAGGATCTAAAACCAAAGGCTGAAAAATAAACTTCGATGAAAAAACCCCAAAATCAACTCTAAATTTAAGGTTGAAAATTCAAATTTTGGCTGATAAGCATAAGCATAAGCGAAAAGATGAGGCCATATATATGGAAGTTGGAGATATATTACGATATGATTGATTTGCGTGGACTCATTCCTTATACCTTACTGTGTAACTCCTATATATATACCGCCACCGGCCATCTTAGACTCAATACAACGTGTGTATCTCTCTCCCTCTACTATTCAACATGGAATACACAAGTAAACCGACGGCACAAATACTTGGTACATTCGCACACATATAATATCTGCATAAAATACAGTTATAAGTTACCTACCAATAAGAAGAGATGTGCATGTTGAAAATTTGCAGCCTACAACTGGCATTTTGGGGGGTTCATCACCTGCCTAACTCACATAAAGGCTCCCTATAGCATGAGAAGGACAAGCTCACATGAGCTCAACCAGATAATTCGTGGGCCCCACACTCCTCTCACAATCCCTACCATCTCTTTCCCTCTCCTCCCCCACTCCTCCTATCCCTCTCTCTCATCTCTTCACCCTTTAAAAAGCAAGCTAGTGTATTGTGCCCACCCTTGCCCTCCTAGGCTACACCTCACCCTCCCTCTCTGATACACATGCATACATACACAAAGATACATAAATACATATATACATATACATGTGTACTATACCTACAACAACACACATCTGCTCCACACTAGTATATAGCTACTAGGTAAGTAGCTAGGCCAATTACCTTTGGTTGCAAGCCAAAAGTAAGTATCCATCCTCATCCTTTTCCTCCTCCCACCAAGAACCTTCATAGTACCACCACCACCACCACTCATCACATCTCACACTCATTGCCTCTTTCTTCTTCCTCCCCATCTAGCTCTAGCCCCTCTCTTGTTCAAACACCTTCATCTGAATCTCTTGAGCCTGAATTTTCCCAACACAAGCAAGCACTACAATTGAGCTAAGCTATAGCACACACACACACACACAAACCCTGAATTCCCACTTCCTAAGTTCCTATAGCTAAGCATATAGTAGCCACAAGGAGCTAGCTAATTCTTATTAGCTATAGCTCCAGATCCCTCACAATTCTAAATTTCCAATCCCAAAAGACCCAATTAAACAAGAGATAGTTGCCTCCTAATCCATATAATAAGCCCTCAAATTAACTAGTAGCCATATACTATCAATAGTAACAAGGCAGCACAAGCAGCATACCATAAGCATACATCGGGTCAAAGCCGAGGTCAAGTCCACCGGCAGGAGGACAAGCCGGCGGCCGGAGCCCAGAGGAGGAGCTGAGGCATCATCGATCGATCGATCGGCATAGTGCACGTACATGGAGTTCATCACGCCAATCGTGAGGCCGGCATCGGCGGCGGCGGGCGGCGGCGAGGTGCAGGAGAGTGGTGGGAGGAGCTTGGCGGCGGTGGAGAAGGAGCACATGTTCGACAAGGTGGTGACGCCGAGCGACGTGGGGAAGCTGAACCGGCTGGTGATCCCGAAGCAGCACGCGGAGAAGTACTTCCCGCTGGACGCGGCGTCCAACGAGAAGGGGCTCCTGCTCAGCTTCGAGGACCGCACGGGGAAGCCATGGCGGTTCCGCTACTCCTACTGGAACAGCAGCCAGAGCTACGTGATGACCAAGGGGTGGAGCCGCTTCGTCAAGGAGAAGCGACTCGACGCCGGGGACACCGTCTCCTTCGGCCGCGGCGTCGGCGAGGCCGCGCGCGGGAGGCTCTTCATCGACTGGCGCCGCCGCCCCGACGTCGTCGCCGCGCTCCAGCCGCCCACGCACCGCTTCGCCCACCACCTCCCTTCCTCCATCCCCTTCGCTCCCTGGGCGCACCACCACGGACACGGAGCCGCCGCCGCCGCCGCCGCCGCCGCCGGCGCCAGGTTTCTCCTGCCTCCCTCCTCGACTCCCATCTACGACCACCACCGCCGACACGCCCACGCCGTCGGGTACGACGCGTACGCCGCGGCCACCAGCAGGCAGGTGCTGTTCTACCGGCCGTTGCCGCCGCAGCAGCAGCATCATCCCGCGGTGGTGCTGGAGTCGGTGCCGGTGCGCATGACGGCGGGGCACGCGGAGCCGCCGTCGGCTCCGTCGAAGCGAGTTCGGCTGTTCGGGGTGAACCTCGACTGCGCGAATTCCGAACAAGACCACGCCGGCGTGGTCGGGAAGACGGCGCCGCCGCCGCTGCCATCGCCGCCGTCATCATCGTCATCTTCCTCCGGGAAAGCGAGGTGCTCCTTGAACCTTGACTTGTGAAGAGGGTACGGCCGTACACGTACACGATCTCTGCTACTTTATGCTTCAATTCTGCTACTACGTACTGACACAAATGGAAATCGTCGACGAAGAGTGTGACCGGAGAAGTAAACAAAGGCGGCGATGGCGGCGCGCAGCGGCGGCGGTGGCGGCGGAGGTGGAGGCGCTTGGAGCATCTAGCGCCTTCGTATTTCGTATATAGCTCATCATCTCTCTTAAATTAGTCAGTGCAGTGTGAGGGGGAACAGTTTAAGAAAAAAGAACGAAGCAGCAACGTACCCAAAAAAAATATTCTTTCTAGGTTGATGGTTTTTTCTTGCTTCGATTTGCTTTGCCTTTTTCTCTTGTGCTTAATTATAATTAAGTTTTCTTAGCTGCTCGATCTCTTCTTTGTGTCTGGGAGAAAATATATACTACTGGTACTAGTGATTAGGGGAAGAAGAAGGAGAAGAAAATATAATTGTTTCCAAGAACTCCAGCCCAATTGTATATATCATGACTGAGCCTATGGAAACACCGGTGTGTGATCCTCACATATGATAACAATCAATTTGCACTGATGGTACGAGTTTATATATGTACACTTGTTATATATACATACTGGTGATGAGCTAGCTATAGCTAATGGAGATTGTTACATTGGAGAGCCCGTACTCTACGCATCATGTATACTGGGCACATGGATTGTTCTTGGTGCTGCCGTTGTTTGTGCAGGTCAATTGGGCTCTCCTTCCAAGGCATCAGCAACAGCAGCTATAGCTAGCTAAGCTGTGATGAAGAGAAGAGAAGAGAAGAGAAGAGAGGAGAAGAGAGGAGAAGAGGCCTTTAAAATGTGGGGAGCGAGCCAGCCTGCAGGCCAGCTATCAAGCTAGGACAGGCAGTTATTGGAGGGCTGCAGGTCAGATCCTAAATCCTTCTCCTACACATGCATATTACAGTCTCTCACTCCTCTCTCACTCCATATGTATATATGCATCCCTAGCTATACATCTTTCTCTCTCCCTCTGCACATCACTGCTCCGTTCTTGATTTGGTTTGCGCATTTGTCTCTTGTGCTATTCCTTCTTTCGTCGTCGTCCCTGCTGCTGCTTCTGTTGCTGCTGTTTCTTCTGCGCCAGCAATACACTGTGCAATGTGTGAAATGTTCATCAGGCCGGCTAGCTAGCTACTAGCTGGCAGCAGAACTCTCATACACAACATGGCTAGTTTACTGTGCAGTGTGTGAACGAAATGCCAAGGTTAATTTGTGTGTGGAATCCCAAACCTTTCTGCGAGCAAGGAGTGAAAAAAAGGGATAAAGATGTGGATTAGAAAGCAGTAGTAGATCCTTCTTCTCTCCTTGCCTCCTATTGGGTTCTTCCTTTTGGTGTCAGGAGGAGGAAGAGAGAAGTATAGAATCTCCATCATCCCGGCCATCCATGTGGATAGACAGCAAAATTTGCAGGCCACATTGCACATACACTGGTTGCGCATGCATTGCATGAACTGAACTTGCAGGACTGCAAATGCACACTTGCATCGATATGGTAGAATTAATTCTGCTTCGCTCCCCGACTCATTCAGGGTACTGGGTCTGGGCGTACGCAGTGATAACAGAAGAAATTGATTATTGCGTTGATAGTAGACGAGCTGCCTTTTTCTGCTAGCTTTTGCCCATGAGTCTAGGACTCTAGCCTCTGCCATTAATTTCTGAGTGTCATGCTGGGTTTATATGTACAACTGGTTAGCTAGCTGCTCATGATCTATTTAGGTCATTGTAGAGATTGCCGTACGTTAATTAATATTGATACTTTCTTTGATTAGGTTCAGGCTCCCATGCATATGCCCTTTGTCAGGAATTCAGTATTTTCAGTCTGATTGGTGTTAATGTATCAGCCTTTTAGCATGTTTGCTTTTAACATAGCCAATATTCAATTCTATTCCTATATATTGGCAGATCATTCTGCTGTTTCTTCTGCGCCAGCAATACACTGTGCAATGTGTGAATGTGCATATATTATCTATGATAATTTCCCTTTTTAGCAATGAATTACGCATCACAAATTATAAAGTGTTTGCCAATTATTAATTCGATTAGTTTTTGTTCCTAAGATTGAATCTTCATGCAGCATGCATATTTTCTGTACATATGTAATCTTGCTTTAATTCTGCACAATTATTTTTTAGAAAAATCCCTCTGTTAAACGCACATATGTACATATATAGGAAATAAGAACATGCATGTATTGGTTAAATTGAGCCAATAAAAGTTAATTGTTTAATTGATTGATAAATTAAAGCACATTGCATCAATATATATATAAGTATGAAGAAAAGACATCAGATATATGGTATAATCTTACAAGATCATAAAGTTTTAGTGTATATATCATTGATGTATTTATAAGAGCCTATAGCTTAACTAGATCAGAGCATATGTGCACATTCTTGAAGCGTAATCAATTAATCTATCCTGTATATAGGAGTATTAATTAAGGATATGTTTAATTAGCAAACCATATCAAATTATCTAAGGACTTATTGAACTGTATGCAAGTTGAATATTGGCTTGATATTTTGGATTATCAATATCTATACAAAGTATAAACTGGCTTCATGAAACACTGAATAAAAGTACCAGATATATATCAACATAAAACTTAATTAGCATTTCCCCGCTAATTCTTCCTGTCATGCATTAGTTACTTCGTCAATGCTATGGTGTGCAACAATTAATGTACCATTACCAAATATTAATTTGTTTCGACCAACGTACATGCATGTAATGTTTGTGTTAATAATAATCTGTCACTGATAGTATATGAATTTAAGATTTTGATGAGTGATATGGTTTTGAGAAGAGCATTTTATGCATGCCTTAGTTTTCTGCTTCTCTCTATCATGCCCCCTTTTCTTGATTATTTTCACTCAATTTCTTCTGATAACCCGATTATTTGGTTTTTATATATAAGTGTGAAAACCGTAGGGCTATATATATGGATCATATATTAATTCTTGCATGTGTGCGTCTCTCTCTTAAATAAAAATAAAGCTGCACATATAAGTTTGGTTGTTACTCCTACATAAGTATCATATTCACGTACGTCCAAACGTCAGCCTAATTTTTCCTGCGTGCATGTTAATTAATTAATTTGTTTTACACAGCAGGTGTGGTTAATTATTATTAAGAATGCAAACCATTACTATATGCATTTGGCTAGCCCTGGATCGGCGCTTTACTCCTTGCAACCATGCGTGTTTCATTGATAAAGTAGCTACTTAGATATATATGAAGTTCAATTCTAATTAAGCTCAAAAGATATAGAATTTATTATATAGTTAGGACTGAGGACAAAGTAACGAGTTTCTTCGAATATTTATCTATATATTTATATTGTTAATTAACAGAAATTGAAAAAGGGACACCCCACATTATTCTAGCTAGAAACCTAATTAAAAATTACCACTTTAATAGGAGAAAAGGAGATATTTGCATTGTCAGATTTTAATGGTTCTAGACTATAACGATGTGATTTGATTAATATTGTTACAATTATATATGTGGCAACAGAAGCTAATTAGAGTTTTTTATCAATTGCAATTTCTAATTTAAAATATTGTTATATTTATAAATTACAACTGTACGTGTTATGGAGATAGAAACTAAAATTTGTATATCAAATCAAATTGTACTATTGTATATAGATTTCAAATATATCAATGGAAAAAAGAAGCTAAAAGGTGTGAAACTAAAAAGGTGTATATCAAATAAATTGTGTGGGAAAAATCCATGCTAGTTCATTAATTACCAGTATGCTGTCCCCTTTTTTTAGATAATGAGTATACTGTGCCCTTTTTATGTCTTGTTTTTCTAAATCCAGTGAGAGGCACTCTGTCTAGTTCACTTGAAATATGTGCACCATATATATATATAGTATGCTTGATCTCTAGATATACTAGTATTAATTAAATGATGAAATTGAAGTGAACCAAGAAATGTCTTAAATATTTTTTTTGAACGAATAGAAATGTCTTAAATATCACATATAATGAAACGCATGTTGTAATTTCTTTAATTTTCTCAATGTACATATGTATCTTGTAGGATTTGCTAGTTGTAATTTTGGCATAATCTTTCGATTAATTAGGCATCATTAACTAGACAGAGTGGTCCTCTCTATATATACACTTGATATGTAAAATATTGTTGGCCCGTAAGCATTCTTCAGAGAGAGTACTAAAGTTAGCTAGCTAGGGACAGCGGGTATATTACTATAGCTAGCTAGATCGATGCATGATCATGAAGTACAGTAGGAGACATAACACATATAAACAAAATTCAAAAGTTGTTAAAACGTACGATCGATGACATATGGTACATTATTTGTGCCACATTGCCATGCATATGTAAATGCAGAAACCGATCGTTTTTGAACGGCATGTGTATGCAACTGAGAAATGCTGTGTGTGATGCATATGTATGCAATACATATAGCGATATCCGTAGATAGACCGATTGCTTTGGTCTGAATTAATGCATGCTGCAAGTTTGGATCAATCGATCTTCTGGTGCGGGTGATCGACGGGGAAACGGTGAGAGATTGAAATTGTAGCGTGACATGTATGTATGATCTCGCTGGCTTAGCTAGCTGCAACTACCGGTGCCGTCACTGCCGTGCCGATCTTTATATCGCTACGCATGCACGGTGTGCATGGACCATCCTAAGTAGGGGAGGGAGCGCATATGTATCTCGGGGACGACCGGCCGGCCGCCCGCGGATGCATGCATCCATCAATGCATGTGTGTACATTGCATGAGAGGTGTGGGGACACTCCTACTTAGCTACATAGCTAGTTAAATGGTGGGTCCAGCCTAAGCATTCGATCACCTAGTTCCTCTCCTTCCAATTTTTATTTTTTTAAAAAAATGCATATATACATACTCTCCCTGTCACATAAAAAATTAACTTCTGTCTATAAATCTAGATACATGTACGCTACATCTATGCATGTTCGTAACATAAGTTGTTTTTTTTTGAGACGGATGAAGTATATGCTATGTTGTTTCCTTTCATTTATACACATTAAAAATATGAGCGACACTCGTATATGCTACTTGATCTCTCCTATTGAAATCTCACATTAAATTAAGAGGTGGGGTAAATTACCATGCTACCCTCTTTATTTACTCTAAGTCATCTTTCCCAAATCAAATATTGAAGTTCTCTACGAAGACTAATACTAGAACTTAGTATAGTAATTACTCCATTCGTTTCATAATATAAGGCGCAACTACTTTTTTCAGATGTTCTATAAGAGCAGGTACAATAGCAAGCTATTAGCCAGCTATAAACGTATTTTAATGAGATAAACAATGAGAGAGATCAGCAGCGGGATACAGATTTGTAGCCAGCTGCAGTACGGACTCCAAGACGCAATGTGTGTATGACAGGTGGGACCACATATTAATAGTATAGCAAGCAACTATTGTATGAATTGGTTATTAGATTGGCTATAGATGAATTGGAGTTAGTAGTGGGCTATACTATTGAACTTGCTCTAAATAAGACGTGCATGCATGCATGCAATTAATTAGTACCTCTTCTCTATTAAATTATGATTGTTTAAAATTCTC